AAGTGACACTGCCATAAATCTCCATTAAGGTGACATGCATTAATCTATTAACACCAACTGCGTGGAAGCCCACAAGCCAGAGTAAAGTGCTGGATAGAGAGCGCTAACAACAGAGAAATGCGGTGGAAGGAAGATGGAATCCTAATACTTCCTCCCCTATAAAGAATGCTTTGCCCCAACTCTGAACAGACTTTGGTTCTTTGTTTTTCCTGGGAAGCCAGTAGGTGAATGGTTGCCCCCGTTAGGGAAAGGGGAAGAAGGAAATTCAGTGCCTTTTTTTACAGGTGTTACAGTAGGAGAGTTGCTGCTGCACTCACTTTGTCTCCTCTGCAGGCGCAGTACAGCAGACAACAGATGGATCAGTCATATAAGTACTGGAGAAGAGAGAAGCCTCCAGGCAGCATAGAATCAGAGAAAGGTAGGGCTGGAAGGAGATCCTGTGCTGAGGGAGGACCAAGTGTACCCAAACCATCCCTGACAGGTCTTTGCTGTAACCTGGTCTTAAAAATCTCGAGTGAAAGGGATTCCATACCCTTACGTTTTTTCTAATATTTAACCTAAATCTCCCTGGCTGCAAACTAAGCAAGTGACTGCTTGTCCTCTCTTTGGCAGACTTGCATTTGGGTTTTTTACATCTGATGGGTCAAGGTGTCAATGCGGCGGGGCAGGAGCGGGAGATTGACTGTAGATGTTGTCTATTGTGGGCTGTACTGGCTAGTCTTTTGTTCCACAGTGCAGTATGCACCCAGATACAGTAACACTGTCCATAAAATAAATGGCCAGTTATTTTGCTTATCTCTGCTCTGCACAAGGTTTTGCGAAACTAAAAGGACCTATGAAAATGTTGGAACTTTTTCTTGCCTAGAAGTGAGATGGGCACAAAATTTCACAAAATACGTTGTGGCTCCTTTAAGAGTATAAACTCATGAACCTCTTTATCTTTAAAAAGTGTGTGAGAGAGAGTCTATGTTAATATTCTGGATGGCTAGTTAAACTGGATTTTCTGAAGAAATGTCACCCTGCCCTCTTCTGTGCAGTACACTGAATGATACGATGTACAGTATTCATTGCAGAACAGCTAAGCATGCATGAGTCATTTGTTTGATCGTTTCTGAGTTTTTATGCCAGGCACCTGCCTTTTAATTTGCTCCGACCAACCTGAAACATCTGTCAACTTTTTCCCCGTGAATTAATAACTCTGTAATTAAAATCCATCAGACAGCTCAGCTGAGACTTTTGGTTAATTAGGGCAGGATAGAGCCCCGGGAGCAGCAAGGCTTTACATTAGCTAAAGAGGGCATGGATTTGAACTGGGGTTCAAAAAGTGACAAGGAGCTTAACCACCCAGTACATAACTTAACCACCCAGCTCTCTGAGTTTGGTCAATTTGCTCAAATATCCAATATGTTGTTTTCATGGGCAACCAGAGAATCTGTTTAATGAGGACATGGTGCTTGAGAATTATTTTCCTTAACGTTTCCTTTAAAAGATACTGGTGGGCTTTTTTTATTTTCCCAAATATGACATAAAAAAGAAGAGAACTCATTAGTGCTAACCTAAGCTCTTGCTTGGAGCTGCCCTGCAAGGTGGTTGAAATATTACTGATAGCAACATGACCTTCTCAATATAAGGCCATACCTGCTGCTGCTGTATAGGGTTTATGAGGATTTCAGTCTCTTTCAGGGCTGTTTTCCACACTGATAATTATAGAGAATATCACAATGAGAAAGTCCCTTGTCGGAACTGAAAATTATATGTAGACTCCTTCAGTTCCTAAAGGTCTTCAGAGGATTTCCCAAACTATATGCTTGGCAAAGGAGTTAACGAAATATTGAAAAAGAGGCAGACCGCTGTATCAGACTTCAGGAAAACTGTAGATGCCAAGGTCTATCTAAAGACTTCATCTCTGGTCCAGCATAACTGGAATAAAAAACCACGCTGATTAATAACACAGTGTCTCTTTAAGGCTGTTCATGGGAGGTGAGGAAATCTGTACTGCAGCAAGGAATGAGATATGAAAGGTGTCTCTTTAAAGCTGTCCATGGGAGGTGAGGAAATCTGTACTGCAGCAAGGAATGAGATATGAAAGATTTTCATCATTAACTTTAATAGAGTTGACAAGCAGATTAAACTAGACTTGTAGCACTTGGAGTTATATATACCCCATATGGAATCCTGATGTCTTACTGCGTGGCACAGTGGAACTCCTGAGAGAGACTCTGTAGGTGGGATTAGATCAAGCTAGTATAACTCAGAAAGGAGTTCCTCTTTAAATTGGACACTTGCATTTTGTTTAACATTTTATTTTACCACTGGCCAAATGAACCCAGGATCTCCCTAGAATAAAAGCTTTTTCATAGCTTCTAATTTAAAAGGCTCTTTTGCCAGTTCAGACATCCCCTTTGACAATTTAAAAAGGTACCAGTTATCTGTTGTTTTCCTCCACAGACAAGATGGCAGAAAAAGGCAAGAACTGTCTGGTACTAGTATTCGCACACTACCTAGCCCAGTGGGGCCATGATCTTGGTTACAGCATCTCTGCTACAGCCTCTGTGATACAAATATGATGCCATCAGTGTTTTCCGTTACTTTCAGTCCCGAAAGACTTCACATCCCCCAGTGCTGTGATCTATGCCCTCCCTTACAGAATGCTTTGCACTGGATAACACTGAGTTCCTCCCTTCTAGCTAGGCAGGCAGCATTTTTAAGGCTAAAGAGCTGTGCCTGGACCACAGTGTTTAAATGATAAACTCCAGCACGCCGTTGCTGCTCTACTGGAACCCCTTTTCAGTAAATCAGGTGTATCAATAAAGGTGACCAAGTTCAGTTAAAAGAAAAGGAGTACTTGTGGCACCTTAGAGACTAACCAATTTATTTGAGCATGAGCTTTCGTGAGCCACAGCTCACTTCATCAGATGATCACATCACATCACATCACATCTGATGAAGTGAGCTGTGGCTCACGAAAGCTCATGCTCAAATAAATTGGTTAGTCTCTAAGGTGCCACAAGTCCTCCTTTTCTTTTTGCGAATACAGACTAACACGGCTGTTCCTCTGAAACAAGGTCAGTTAGTTAAGCAAGACTGCCCTCTACTGGGCATAACTAAACATAACCATCCCTTTATCCCACAAAACATTTTGTCCTCTTCCTCTATTGCAAATTAAACGTGCCATTAATTAATTTTAAAAAAATATTAACAGACAGACACTCAGGGACTGCTCCACAGTCTGAGAGATTGGATTCCAAATCAGACAAACATTAAATTAATTTACCCAAAGGCCTCCTGATTAGGCTTGCTGTTATCTGAATGCAATGAGCTAATGGAGATTATGCAAAGAGGATTTGATCTAGTCCTTTGGCTGTTTGTTGGAGTTCAGCTACCAGCACAGACCATAATAAGCCTCTGTCTTAGCTACAGTGAGATTTCTGTTGATTGTATTCTTGTTGCACTTAATAACAAGGAAGAAATAGAAACTGACTTTCAATGAAGACAAAGACAACTCGGGGAGGGATACTTATGACCCCAGCAAATCTCCGTTTAAAAACGGATCCCTCCCAAAATATCAGGCTTAACCCTGTTGTAAATGGTGCCATAAATCATCATTGTGATGTATTATTTTCATATAAAATATCACTGGTTGTTCAAGTAAACTACCTAATGTGTGTGTGTGTGTGTGTGTATATATATATATATATAAGCCTTTGGAAAGTGGCTTGACTAAAGACTAAAACAGATAAAGGCATTTCTCATTAATTTATTTAAAAATCGGAGATATTCTAAACTGCTAGGCCTAGTCTACACTAGAAACTTTTGCAGACACAGCTGTGTCATTTAGGGGTGCAGTTATTTTTACTGACATAGCAATGCCAGTATAAGCCAAAATGTAAATGCAGTTATGCCAGCAAAACTGTACATATGCTGGTATAACTTATGCCAGCTCAGGGAATCAGCATAAACTACAGCAGCATACACACCTTTTTGCCAGTATAGTTCCGTTCACACACAAAAGTGCTTTACTGATATACTAGCAAAGTACTCCTGGTGTAGACAAGGTCCTTTTATCCAGTGGCTCTCAACCTTTCCAGATGACTGTACCCCTTTCAGGAGTCTGATTTCTCTTGCGTATCCCAAGTTACACTTCACTTAAAAATGACTTGCTTACAAAATCAGACATAAAAATACAAAAGTGTCACAGCACACTAGCACTGACAAATTGCTGGCTTTCTCATTTTTACCATAGAATTATAAAATAAATCAGTTGGAATAGAAATATTGTACTTACATTTCAGTGTATAGTATATAGAGCAGTATAAATAAGTCATATGCAATTTTAGTTTGTACTGACTTCGCTAGTGCTTTTTATGTTGCCTTTTGTAAAACTAGGCAACTATCTAGATGAGTTGATGTATCTCCTGGAAGGCCTCTGCGTACCCCGAGAGGTACGAGTATGACACTGCACCCTATATTCTTCATAGGTATATTATTACGATACGATTATGGCATAATTATGATGCATTTTGTACAAGACGGTCATGTAAGGTATCATTGGAAAAGTTATGATTTGCTGAATATGATTATCCTATTTTTATGCATGTATCATTTTTTTATCTGAAGTTATGAATATTCACTAGGGATCTGTATTTCAAATGTAGTTACACTTGGGTGACACCCACTAGGCAAGGTGCTTTCAGTCTAGATAGTGGGTGCGGAAGGGCCTATTCAGGGCAATAAGCCATTAGGAAAAACAATAGGCCTTAGAAAAAGCTTATCCCACACCTTGTGAGCCTTCCTGAGAATGCTACAGACAGCCTGTAAGTAACGGCTGCTATGACTTTAGAACGACTTGAGACCAGGCCACATGATTCTGGACTCCATCTTGGAGTGTCAGTATTTTTCCACAAACTGGTCTGGGAACCAAGCATTGAAACAAAGGGTTCCCACCATATGCTAAAGCTATAGGCAGGGAGTTACATCATCTGGGGTTCTTCACTCCCCAGACAAGAAGACTCCTGGAAACACCTGAGGAACAAAGACTGACCTTGGGGAAGTGCTGGACCCAGGCTAAAGGGATTTCTAGCCTGTGTATGAAAGACCTGGGGATTCCAAGCTGTAAATCAAGTGCAGCTTGCCCTTTCAGAATTTGCAGCCTGCTTGTATCATTTCTCAGGGTGAGAATCTGCTAATTCATATCCAATCTATTTAGTATGTTAAGGTTAGTGTACTTTTTTTGTTTATTTGCTAGGTAATCTGCTTTGATCTGTTTGCTCTCACTTATAATCGCTTAAAATCTATTTTTTATAGTTGTTAAATGTATTTTATGTTTTAATCCAAACCAGTGAGCTTTGACTGGAGTGCTTGGGGAAAATCTCTGCTTGGTCACCACAAGTGCGCATTGCTCTCTTCACATTGAGGGAGAGGTAGACCGGGTATATACTGGCCAGATTTGACCAGGGCAGGACGGTCCTGCTCTGGGGTCATAGGCTGGGAAGCTGGTGGTTAGAGAGCCTGCGTGTAACTGCAGATGGGTGTGTCCCTACCTGTGTGAATGCTGGTGAAAGTGCAGGATGGAGGGCTTTGCAGCTTGTCATAGCAGTACTGTGTGAGAGGGAGCCCAGGCTGGTGCATCAGGGGGCTAAGTGGTGCCCCAGTTCCAGGCAGCACCCCGAGGGGAACCCATCACATTGTGTACCCCTGGTTGAAAACCGCTGCTCTTATCCATTTCCTCTCTCACAAGGATCTCAAAGCATTCTGCAAACAATTAGCTAGCCTCCCAACATCCCTGCAGGGGATGGGCATTGTGAGACTCATTTTGCAGATGGGAAAACTGAAGTCCAGAGAGTCATTATTCGAAAGTGCCTCAGCACCAGACTTCCATAGAAATCAATGGGCGATAGGAACAGAGAGGCTTCTGAGAATCCCAGTAGTAGAGGCAGATTTTCCAAGGTCCCTAAAAATGTTGCTAGGCAGTTTTTAAAAGTGCCTAAGCAAGGGTAAGTGCCTGCCTATCATGGAAATCATGCTGGAAAATGGGACTGAGGCACGTTTGGTAATTTTACTGAGGGACTGTCATAGAATCATAGGCTATGTCTACACTTGGAGCTGGGGCAGTGATCGCAGCTCAAGGCACCGTACCCCTGCTAGCACTCATCAAGCTAGCGCATTAAAAATAGTAGGGTAGCAGCAAATGGCAACATAGGGTAGCTGTCCCGAGTACATACTCATGGGGTCCGGGCAGGCTTATACTCAGGGCAGCTAGCCCATGCAGCTAGCTTACCATTGCCCATGCTACTGTGGCTACCCTACTATTTTAGCAGGCTAGCTGTCGTTGAGTGAGCATGTGTATGTCTGCGTAAGCTGGGAATCCCACCCCTATCTCTAAGTGTAGCCATAGAGTGAGTCGATGGTGAAGCCAGGTTACTGCTCTAGGCACTTGACTACACTGCAGATTATCATTAATTATTTGTATTACACAAGTATCGACAGTCCCCAGCTGAGACTGGGGCTGCATTTGTGCTAGGGACCAAGTCGTAGTAAAAGACAGTCTCTACCCAGAAGAGCTTACAATCTAAAGAGACAACCCAGACTAACAGTGGGAGAAAGGAATGTAGCTGGGTTTTTCCGGTTTTGGTTTATTGTTTTTTGTTCTTCCCCGCCCCCTTTTTGGTGATAAAGAGGAAAAAGGGGGAACAGGAAGAGAAGGAGGGTAGGGAAAGGAAACCAGGAAACTGAGGAAGCAAAACACAAACAAAAGTGTTTTCAATAATGTTGGGTTGGGGTATTTTTGCAAGAAGTGTTGAATAAATGTAAAATCCTTCCATCCTGAATCCTGTGAAATGAAAACAATATAAATGTTTTGTGCTATTTTCCAGGGGCACCATTTCAGATTTTGGTATGGGGGGACTGGCAACTTTAACTGTGATTCCAGGGGTTACTTGGGCAGCTGAAAACTCTTGTTTTTTTTTTTTTTTTTTCAGATGACTTCGATATACTGCTCCAGTCAGATAATGATTTCTAATTCCTATATAAAGAAAGAAAATTAAACAAATATAAGACCCACTCAGCTCTAATACAAACATGTTCCGACATCTTGTGTCAATTCACTTAAGGGACACTGGTTAGGTTTAAAATTTTGATGTATATTCTTATTTTGTTCCTAATTCTTGAGTCCAACAACTGAAACAATTGTAGAAAAATCTAGATGACTTTCTATCACTTTTCTGTAGATCCTCAAGCTTGGAATGGATCATTTAGCTTTTGGAAACACCCTACTAGGGCAAGGCCTCATGAGTTTATACTGCACCTGCCTGAGGCTCTAGGGGTGTTACCCCACCACAAATAATAGACTAGAAACTGACACTTTCAAGTCCCTTTAATAGTATTGAGAAAATCATGATATTGGCTTTAAAATAAAGAGATTATGTAAAAATAATAATTTGGTGTTCTTTTTATTTGCCTTCTGCTTTTTGAGCCTTTAGGGTGCACTGGGGTCACATTTTGAAGTTTCTCCACAGCCACAAGGGCTAGAAACTTCATTTTTCTTTAAGAATGAAGGCTGAAATCATCGCACATCCACTTGACCCCAGGAGCTGGGGCTTTAAGGAAAACAGTAATTATCATGTTTCAGAGTAACAGCCGTGTTAGTCTGTATTCGCAAAAAGAAAAGGAGGACTTGTGGCACCTTAGAGACTAACCAATTTATTTGAGCATGAGCTTTCGTGAGCTACAAATTGGTTAGTCTCCAAGGTGCCACAAGTAATTATCATGAGACTCGTGACAAAATCGTAAGAGTTGGCAACACTGCTGTTTCACTTTTGTTTAAAAGCTAGTTACTTTCCACACTACAGTGATTGGTTTAAAATATTCTCCTGTGAAAACTGCAATTCAAACACCAAGAAATTTCCCACATTTTAAAGTTGAGAAAAAAACTGAGACTTATGAGGTATATCAGGGCCACTGCAAGTAGTAAAGGAAAATAAACAGGAATGGGAGCTCTGGGCAGCTCTTCCTCTTGAAAGAAAGTTGGAGGGTCAAATCTCCTTAATCAAGTAAAACTTCTATTGCCATCCGTGTTTCCACTCATAGATATTAACATCACAGTGAACATGTGATAACATGTGTGGTCAGTAACTATACACTTCATACTTATATATCTGAGCCATCTTATTCAGAGTTTCACATCTTATATCCATTGGCTCAGAGACTACATTTTCTGGCATATTCTGAACAGTGCTGAACACACAGATGGTGCCCAGTGAATAATACAAATCATGACAATAATCGTCGACTTTATGGACTTTGTGGATGCAATTTCTGTTCTTTCTTCTGGAATTGTCCTGAATACAGCTGAAACCCTTAGAATTTGAGGTATAATCAGATCTATACTCACACAACACTTTCTCATTCCTTCCTTTTCTCAAACTCAGAAGAAAAAATGACAAAACAAAATGGTTTTCAGTTAAAATCTAAAACTGCAAAGCAGCCATTGTTGTGCAACCCAGCCTGGGGCAGAACCTGCCACCCATTGGAGGTTAAGTGTTCTCCTCTCATCTGACTCTGATTCTCTTTCTTTCTTCATCCTTCCTGACCTCTGTGCTGCTTTTGATACGGTCAACAATGACATCATTCCCAATCATCTCGGACCAATTGCTGGAGTCTCAGAGAACTGGCCTTCTTGGTTTTGCTCCCATCTAAATCAGAGGCCTCTTTTTTGCAGCATACAGCAGAGAGAAAGGCTGGTCCAGTGGATAGGGAGCTAGTCCTGAGAGACCTGAGTTCTACTCCTCCACCATGGATTTCTTCTTTGACCTCAGGTCAATGCATTAGGGACAGAGTTTCAAAGGTTTTTAGGCACCCAAAGATTCAGCTAGGCATCTGGTGGGGTTCACAAAGCACCTAACCTTCTAGGCGCTTTTGAAAATCCCACTAGGTGCCTAAATACCTTTGAAAATGTGGCCTTTAGTCTGTGTGTGCCTCAGCGCCCCATCTGTAAAATGGGAATAACAGCACTGCTCTACCTCAGTGTGGGGCTGTGATGGGGCTACATAAGTACCACAGGTAGAATGGGAACTTCTCTATACCACTGCTATCCCTTCCCTGGGTTTTGGCCTCTTCTTTTCATCTATGCCCCTCACATCTCCCTCTTTTCTGAATGTAAACTTGGCTCCGAAGGCTTAGCAGTATTTCTTCTGAGTCCCCTGCAGACTCAGGAGATGGTGGTGGTGTGTGTGTGTGGGGGGGGGGGGGGGGAGGGGGAGGTTTCTTCAACATACCCCATCCTCTGCAGTGGGGTTCCTGTTTTACAGGTTCATCTAACAACTTCCAGATCCTTAATTTAATTACCAGCCTTTTTCTTATCTTAATCACCCTGCCTCTGTTTGTAAATAAAACACTGACTCCCTGCCCCAGGGGCACAAACTGGGAGAAGCACCTTTCTGCAGAACTCACATTCCTCACCAATGTGGTGTAGTTAAGAGCTCCACCTGGGAGCACACCTCCTGTATGAAACTTGGGGGAGGGAGCCCCCCCAAAATGGGACCCCTGCTATTTTCCCCCTCCATTTTTGGTCTTCTCTTATCAGAAGTCACTCTTGCATAGCAAGATAACCACCTACCTTCTCAAAGGGGCCATGAAACATGTGCCAGATCATCTCAATTGGCAGAAACTGCTCTTTGGCTTGCTTTAACCATCTGCCCCCGAGCAAGACTCTATCAACACACAGTTCCAGGCAGTAGGCATGTGCTAGGAAATGCATCTATGGTGCCACATGGGAGTTGTAGTTCGGGTGCTGTTTGTCCCTATTGTCATTCTATGGATTGAGCTCACTGGCTGCACTACATCTCCCATTGTGCACCACCTCCCCATGGAACAGCCTAGGGCAGTGGTTCTCAACCAGGGGTATATGTACCACTGGCCTACACAGAGGTCTTCCAGGGGATACAACATCTCATCTAGATATTTGCCTACTTTTACAATAGGCTACATCAAAAGCACTAGAAAAATCAGTACAAACTAAAATTTTATACAATGACTTGTTTATACGGCTCTATATACCATACACTGCATGTAAGTACAGTATTTATATTCCAATTGATTTATTTGATAATTATATGATAAAAATGAGAAAACAAGCAATTTTTCAGTCATACTCTGCCATGCCACTTTCGTATTGTCTGATTTTGTAAGCGAGTAGTTTTTAAGTGAGGTGAAACTTGGGAGTATGCAAAACAAATCAGACACCTGAATGGGGTACAGTAGTCTGGAAAGGTGGGGAACCACTAGCCTAGGAGATGTAGTCCTCAGGGAGCCCAGCCTATAATGGAGGATGAGAGTGAACTACAAATCCCATGAGGCACCACAAAATGTAATGTTTTCTGCTGAAATTATTTAGTTTTTAGCGGAAATTTTCCATGGGGGAAAAATAGTTTCTGACTAGATTCACAGGGAAAGGCCCAGTCCTATAAACAGCTGCATACTTAATTGTTCTTGTAAGTAGTTCCAGTCATTAACTTCACTGGGATTATGCACATGAGTGAAGAGTCTCACATATTTGGACCATCAATCTGTGAGTTTACAGGAGCTGCATACTGTGCCCCAATGTGATGGGAAAACAGTGCAAATATCAGTCTAACCATATGAACCTATGCTGGCACATGTCATTTTGGGCATAATCTGGAATCCAGCTAATTAGTGGCTACCACCCGGGGGTGGGGTGGGGAGGGATTGCACTCTGCCAGCTCAGTAGAATGTGTTGCCCCTTCTCTGATCCCCCACTGAATAAGCAACTGAGATGAGCTTCTTTAGATATAAAGATAATGAAAGAACTTTAAATCAGGCTGCACGTTAGGATTAAAGTGACAGACCAGCGACTACATGTGTAAACTGAGAGGCAGCATGATCAGTAAGCAGAGTGTTACCTATGACAAAGGAGACCTCGGGTCCCTTGGTTCTATTCTTGGCTCTGCTGCTGACCCTCTCTCTCCCGGGAACTCTGTTTCCTCTCACTCTTTGTCCCCCTTGTCTATTTATACTATATGGAGCTGGGTGAGAAACATTTTTCCCATCTTGGAAAAGTTTTGAGATTTTTGACATTTTCCCTCCATCTCTAATTAGGATAAAGAGTCAAAAATTCAAAAATGTTCATAGAACTGAAATCCCACAATATTTTGTTTTAGAAACCCCACAATGTGATGTTTCCAAAATGAAATATGCTCTCGGGGTTCCTCAGATTGTCAAATTAACCAGTCTGGTTAGGTTTCCCAGTGCTATTGAGTGCTGGGCAGCGGTGAAACTAACACAAATTATGTCAAAGGGGGGGGGGACCTTCAGACAACCAATTTATTGAGCGTGAGCTGCTTTTGGATACAGACTAACACGGCTGTTCCTTTGAAACAAATTATGTCAACTTCAGACAGCAGCTGCCAGGTTTTCAGGATCCCTGGCTCCGGAGCAGTCAGCCTGATGTGGCGCTGGGGACCCTGGAAGCCTGATAAGCTCTGTGTCCTAAATAGCTTTCCTGGGAGCATCAACTCCCAAGCCTGGGACTTCTAGTGCACCTGGTAGAGTCCTGCCTGGAATCCTTTGGAAGCTCATCAGAACTGAACCACTTCTGCCAAACATTCCAAATTCAAATCAGCAAATTTCAATGAAAAAAATGGTTCATCAGAATTGTTCTGACCCCAACATTGTAAGCTTTCTGGGACAGAGTCTAACTCTTGCTAGCTGTTTGCACAGGGCCTAGCATAGTGAGTTCAGTTGGGGCCTCTAGGTCCTACCATAAATAAAATAAGAAGATACCAAATTTGTATTTCAAACAAGGGATCTATAACTAAGAAATTAGATAAGATTCTATATGATGTTGAGATGTTAAATGAAAAGCCCCCAACATAATCAAATAACAAGTAAAATATACGTATACAAAATTGGGAATCAACTGATCAACTCTAATCTGGAATGAAACCACAAGAAGAACATGTAATTAGCACCACCCACTTATAATAAATAAGTATGTGTGTGAGGGAGAGACAAACAGTTGGCACATGATCTAATTAAAATGTGTACAGATAATTTTCAGCAGTAGACCATTCTCGTGACAATAAATCCTACACTTATTTTCGAGCAACTAACTTAATGTAACCCATACAGAAAATGTATGCCCTTCTGCAGCCCTCATGTTAAGGTTATCCAGCAGATGGAGACACTGAGTCACACAAAATGCAAAAAAAGTCAAATGAGTAGTCTACAGAGATAGCTAGCAATCAGGTCAAGATGGCTTTGTTTATTAATGAAATTCTGATATCAAGTGAATCATTGATTTGTATATATTATTACATTTTTATGATATGGCTAATTATACCATATTGAAACACTTGTTAATAAAAGAGTCCATATTTATTTTACACTGAAACAGCTAGATCTTCCAATCAGCAAATGCAAAGATCTTTAGAGTTGATTTTCATTTTGTCAAAATTCATCTCACCTTGCTGCTCAAGAATGAAAGAAGTCTGAGTCACAGCTTAGCTTGTGAAGCGGTGACACTACTGTAGCCATCAACAGCAAATGTATCAATCCTAAAGTGAATATCCCTGTCTCTGGAAGAATTTGTGTGGAGAGGGAGAGTGGTGGTTACACAGCACCATGGGATGAGACTACATCAGCAACCCTTGTGTTCTGTTTTCTCTACCCCTTTTCCCTCGGAGATCTGTGCATCTGTTCTCCATCAAGCCATGGGAGAGAGGGGAACATATGGCCTAAGAAAACATTTCACCTGATTCGGTGTCAAGAATGTTGCAAGAGCAAACAGTCAGTCAGTTCCGGTGATTTCACAGTGGTGGATGCTAAAGTAAACAATGGTTTAAAATTGACATTTACAATGCACCAGAAGCTGACATTCCCATTGTATTTGCTGTAATTCCAATTGTATGGAAGGGAAATACAGCAGTACATTTAATTAGCAATAGCTATTGCTTGACCAGTGTAATTTCAATTTTACTGCACACGAAGGTGCAATTTTCTGTGGTCTTTACTGAGCTCAAAGCTATGGGCAGTTATCCTGGTCAACAAACGAATACCTTAAAGTCAATAAAAGAAAACCAAAGGAAGAAATCAGAAACAGGGCTAGACTGTAACAGGCTGCTGAATGGGAAACCTTCTAGGTAAGTGCTTATAATCTTTAATGCCTCCTCACAGTAGTTGGTGGTGCAAGGGAAGAGAGATTTTTCCTTTCTCCCTGTAGACTTCAGTCCCCATTTCACTGTAAAGTTCATGAGATAGGAGGAGCCACTGAGAGTTTTGAGCAGAACAACAGGGTGTGGGGATTTAGCCCAATGTGTTTTAATTGATAGTCCCACACAAAAGGTTGTTAAGTAAACTGTGAAATCAGGTGTTGAGAGAGAAAGTCTCCTCCTGTACTAAAGTCTGGTTAAAGGACGTGAAAAAGGGAGTAGGAGTAGGAAAACACTAGGATGTTGGAGTGCCCTAGAGTCCAGTATTAGGCATGGAGTTGTTCTGTGTTGACCAGTGACCTAGAGGAGGGTCAATGCCCAGAGCACTGGAGTGGGACTCAGGAGATGTGTGTGTTCTCTGTTTAGATGTTAGCTCTTTGGAGCAGGGACTGTCTCTTACCATCTGTATGTACAGTGCCTAGTACAATCAGGGCCTTCTAGGTGCGACTGTGACATGGAGGTGGAAAACTGATGGATGGCACAAAACGTTTTAGTTTACACCTAGCAGTTGGAAGAGTAACTCTGCCTTAATATTTATCCTCTGGTAGCACCCAGCGGCCCTAATCAAGTTGGCAGTGCCATTGCGCTAGGCACTGTGCATGAAGAGACCCATTCCCTGCCCCGATGCTTCGCTGGCTGAATCCCCAAGACTGATGTGGCTCCATCCTTTCGGGTTGAGAGAAGGGGGTTCAGGAGATCTCTGCTGGAAACACACCTTGTGACATCCTTCCTCACTGGGGAAGGAAATGTCCCAGAGAGCCAGCCAGTCTGCTCAGCTTTGGCAGATGAGCTCTGCCTGGGAAGCCATCCCAGTCTCCCAGGCCAGCTGATTCTTCCTCTCTTCACCCCTGGGAGGGTAGCTCAGGCTGTGCCAGGGAGCAGCCCCCGTCTCCAGGCGCCCCAGCTGCCAGGGCCGGGCTCCCGGCCAGATCCCCTGAGGCTGCAGCAGCGGCGGTGGATTTGTCGCTTGCCTTCTCGGTGGCTCGTAGCCCAGGCCGGGCAGGTCTGCGGGGGCGGCACGTGACGCTGGGGCAAAGAGCCTCCCGCCGGTCGCTGCACGGCTCGGGACCTGGGCAGCTCCTCCCTCGGAACCAGTCACCAGGGCAGGAGGGGAGCTGGCAGCCGGCTCCCTGCCGCCGCCGCAGCCGCCGCCTTCGCCCGCTGCTGCCGGGAGGCCCCGGGGCGGGGCTCGCAGCTCCCCGCGGGGAGGCAGAGGGCGCTTGGCTGGGGCAGGGGGAAGGCAGGAGCCGGGTTTGCCCGGGCTGGGGAGGGCAGGAGCAGCATGGCTTTTGGGAAAAGCCAGAAAGATCCCTTCAGCACAGCCGTGGGGCACCTGATCGGTGAGTACCGGAGACCCACCCACCGACCCACCTCTGCCCCGATCTGGGGTGACTCGGGTGGGGAGAGGAACCCAGAGCCCCTCCAACGCCCTGGGAGAGGGCAGAGGAGAAGCAGGAGGCAGCGACCCCCCGTCTTCCCACATGGCCACCCAGTGCAGCCCCACTCCCAGCCGGGGACAGCTTTGCCCCAGCAGCAGGTGTGGCCAGCCTGGGGGTTAGACCTGGGTCTCTGCCATCCAACTTATTAATACATCACCCATTAAAGGCGTCTGAGTAAAGAGGCCAGGTGAGCACTGTGGACTGGAATAAAGGATTGACTGGTTCTAGGATCTCCCAATCTAATCGCCCTGCAGTGTGTGTGTGATGCAGAGCAATAGCCGGCTCCCGGGGGGAAGTTTCTTAAAGTCACAGCGCCCACCTGTAATTTAAAAGTCTTGCAGGTAACTCTGACTTTTTGTGAAGCAAGTCCTCTTTTCCTTCCAGAGAGAGCAACGATTGGGGCGCTGCCCGCTGAGGAGTGGGGTCAGTTTATGCACATCTGTGACATTATTAACACAACGGATGAGGGGTAAGTAGGCTAATGCTCCCCTAGCCTGGTTTGGAAAGTCATTTACCAGGTGACACAACTGTCACTGTCCTGAGTGAATAACAGATGTCTCAAAAATGTCTGCATTGCCTATTTAACTGCTCCTGTTTAAAAGAGCCCTGGGTGTGTGTTTCTGCACATGTGGGATAGATGTGCACACACACACACACACAAATCTCTCGAATTTATGTGGCTAATAAGAATAGCCAAAGTTACGCTTTGCTATTCAGAAGTAGGACCAGCTTCTTGAGAGTAGGCCAGTATTCCTTCTAGTTCCATATGCATTATGTCAACTGCTTGAGGTCACATCTAATTAAGTCATTACTAGAGACTGGATCCTGATGCCCTTAGTTGGTTTTTATTCAGCCTTTTCTCAGGAGAAAGGTTCATTTGAGTTACTGGGAGTCTTGGTTGAGTAAGAAATCAATAAAGATGTCAAGATTTGACCATTAAGGGTAGCAGTTGCTGCTACATTGAGCGGAGAATCCAAAGTTTACAAGATTTGAGACATCTGTTAGCTACCACAACATGACTATGGTTTGGGGTTTGTAACTTGATTAGGGTTCCTGATTAGATATTTCTGATGCCCGCCTCGATTAAATTTATCATCAGAAAAGTCAAGTGATGTCACACTTTGTATCCCAACATATTTTAGTGTACCTAGGTATGTATTTAGGATCCCTTGGGAGGCAGTGTGACCTAGTGGGTAGGACACTGAAGACTAGGTTCTAGTCCCAGCTTAGCCAAATGCCTGCTGGGTAACCTTGGGCAAGTCACTTCACTTTTCTGTGCCTCAGTTTCCCCATCTGTAAAATGGGATAATGATCCTGACCTTTTTAAAGTCCTTTGAGATCTACTGGTGAAAAATGCTATACAAGACCCTAGTGGTATTATTTACCAGAGAGGTTTCAGTCCTGAGATGATAGTTTTGCCATAATGACTGAAAAAAAGTCATCTGTCCTATGCACTTCCATTTCTTGCTCTAAGTCCATGCTCTTGTTTATGGCTACAGCTATTTGCCTATAGCTCCATGTCCAGCCATTGGCAAGGGGATGGTTTAGCGATGAGCATTGTTTTTTATGTATAGTATCTACACAGTGCCTCTTTTTTAGGAAAGAGCTTTCCCTTGTGAGCAGTTTATTCCATAACTGTCCATTCTGAAACATCTTTTGATTTGCTCTTCAGCATCTGCTACTGGCCACAGCTTCAGACAGAATACTAGGAACAAAGGAATTGCCAGACCTGATCAGATGAGGGGTCCATCTAGCCCAGGATCCTGGCTCTGATAGTGACCAGACCCTCAGAGGAAGGTTTTAGAAACCCTGAAGTGGGGAATTATGGAATAATTTAACTACAAGGGAATTTTTCTTCCTAATCCCCCTTCTCCTGTTTTAGGCTTTGTCTATAGCGACAAGTGAAAGACAAAACTTTTGTTGTTCAGAGGTGTTAAAAAAACACCCCCCTGAAAGATAAAAGTTTTGTCGATGACAAGCGCTGGTGTGAACAGCGCACTCCTGCCAACAAAGCTAATGCCACTCATTGGGGGTGGAAGTTCTCCTGCCGACAAAGAGCGGCTATGCTGCTTGCCTTTTAGCAGCACAGCCGTGTCGCTAAAAGCTGCGTAGAGTAGACCTAGCTGTAGATTCTCCGCTCTTTTGATCTGCTATGGCAGTTACTATGTTTGCAACTTACAATGGTATAAAAAGAGAGAGAAATCTTGATTTTAGTGGAGTTTTAGAAGAAATACATTAGGACATTCAAGCTACTGTATTTACAAAGGTGAGCGCTGAATTAGGGCTTTATTGGCATTGAGTGTTTTTTCCAGTAAGATTTTTTTTCTTAACCCAAATTTTGATGGGTTGCATTAATATAGTGCTAGAAGGATTTTGGTTTTGTTTATCACAAGCAATCCCAGGGCACCAGTTACTGTAATTCCTGGGTGCATTATACACAAAGTATGTTAAGAAACAAAACTATTTTCCATATATAATGAGCTAACACCTAATTCCAGCCTGTCACTCCCACATAGTTATATATAGACAGATATAGAAAATATATGAAAATCACAGTGCCATGATGGATATGTAGGAAGCAGTGGCTGTTTACCAGCACACAGCAATTACTAGGATTGTTTAGAAGCATCCTGCAATTACCAGGATTGAAATTTAACCAGGATATTGATGCTAACACCTCTGGTGTTGCCAAAATTCCCATTAGGTCTCTAATTCCAACGCATTTGAAAAATGGGCTCTAGTTAGCTTTTGATGCATTGGCCATTTAAGCTTTTATATTAATGAGAGTTGCACAGGTAAATCTCTCGCATGACGATAAGAGAAAATAATTTTAGAGAGGAAACTGCACTGGGGAATTATGTTTATTCTTCTACACAAGACACTGGAGTACAGTCTGTAGTGATGACCCCGATTCACCACCACATTACTCCAGTTTAATACCAAAGTGACTCTGTTGAAATCAGTGGAATCATCACACTGGTGTGAACCAGCATAAAATTAGAGTAATACTGGGAGCTGATTGACTCCTTATTTCATGTCAGTATTTTCAGATCTTGGACAATTTTTTATAAAATAGCCACCCTATTTTTCATTGGTACCTTTCTCTGCATAATTTCTTGTTATCACAGGCCTAAAGATGCAGTAAAAGCACTAAAGAAAAGGATTTCCAAAAACCTTAACCATAAGGAGATTAGATTCACGTTGTCTGTAAGTACAACTGTTCTACTTCTATTAATTAGATACTGAGAAGGAAGCCATATTTTAAGAAATAAATCGATGTGTGATTGACATATAGGTTGTGAGCTCTCTGAGGCAGTCTTTGTTATATGTCTGCACAGCACCTAGTATAATGCAGCCTTGATCTGCAGTTCCTAAATGCTACTGTAATACAAATAATAAATAATAATCCTATATCACCTCTACGCTTAAGGCTTGTCCAAGACAGTCATCATATGTCTCCCATTGGCTGTCCTATAGATTATACCCCACCAGTCTCTGAAGGATACAGGGGTTAGAATATTATACGAAGGCTGAACTGACTTGACAATTCTCCTAATAACACATCTGGTAGCCTTATTACTCACGGCGTGTTACGCATTATGGAATGTGTGGTATAAGTTTTGCAAAAGCATGCCTTATTGGAAGTGAGGAAGTAATTAGGGTGAAGAAATGATGTTGTTTTGTTTGGAGGTAAGACCTACAAAGTTCAGCTCTGAATCTAAATTGCCCCAGGGTTGGGGCTGTTGGGATTTGATCCTATTACAGATTTTTCTGAGTCACAGAGTTTGAGTCTGCCTCTGAACTTTCCCAAACTGTGGGGCAGTTTGGTTTGGGCCCATCTGCGGGTTTATTGGAGCATGTTAACACAGTTCTCCTCTCTCCTCTGCATTGATATCGTGGGTCAGATTCTGATCTTCTTTACACTACTAGGTCCAGTGCAGTTCCCAGTGTAACTCAAGGCCCTGTATCCTTGTTAGCTGTCCTGGTCTTTAGGTATAAATGATTTCCCTGAGGATTTCATTTTCTTTACTGTTTCCATTATTTGGACGCAGAAGTTTCTCCTTATCACACCAGCATCAGCGCTGTTACGTATTATATGGTGTGTCTGGTGGTAGATAGGGGACTGACACTGTTAAATTACAGGATGGCCAGCAGTGCCCAAGTGTCAGCTGGTGAGTTAGGGATGCAGCTAAAGTTATCTAAACACATCAGTTACATGGTTAGCGTGTCCCATTTCCACTCCCTTGTGCTCTCCTCCTTCTTCAGTTACTTAGATGAGTCACCTTTTTGCTCCACAGGTTTGCATAGCCGAAATGCTCTGCTTCCGCTCTGACTGCACTCTCTGTATCAGGCTTGCTTTCTCCTCCAGGCCTTTGTTTACCTTAACCCTGCACTGAATGTGCAGGCTGGAGCTTTGATAACACAGCTTGGAGCTTTGGGAATGTTTATCTGGAGATTTGCTTTGCAGATACAGCTGGGGTTCTGTTATTGTTGAGCCTTGTAGAAAAAAGACGTTATGTTCATGTTCCTGGTGGAACCAAATAACAACACTGACCTGCTGAAAATGGATTCTATTTGCTTGCAGATAGGGATAATAACTGACCATTAGGTTTCAGATCCAAGAAGCATGATGCCATCTCTCCGTTTCCAGGGTTCCAGCTATGCTCCCGAGCTCCTAGCACTGTCTCATAGTCTCTCTTGGATTTCAGCTCCTACCTTCTCCTTCTCTGTTCCCACCTACTCACAAGCAACTACACCCTGCCAGGCAATTTCAACCTTTCAGTCCCAGATCTTTTTCTGGCCTTCCAAGCTCTCTCTGCCTCAATTTCCCAACCTTCCTTCATTTGGCAAGCCCTACTCTTTCCTCCAAATCCCCCTTTCTCTCCTCCTCATCTTCTTTATTCTTTCAATCTTCTTTCTACAAGCTGCAGATACTTCTGTGTCTGCCAGTGCCTTTTCCCCTGTTGCTGGCTTCTTTCCATCTTCCAGTACCTCCTGGCCTCAGATTTCCACTCTCCTCAGCCGCAGTAAAACCTCCCCTGCAATACCTCAGTGCTAGCCATGTCCAATGTTACTTTCTTGGCTTCTAAAACCACGTACTCTTGGTGCAAGAGCTGGTTGAATATTTTCTGTCTGTCATTTTGTGACAGGAAAGGGCTGAAGGAAAAGTTTTTGTGGAGAATTTTTGTTTTTTATGAAACAGTTCGGGTTTTTTTGACAAATCATCCTTCCCCCTCCCCACCCTGCTTTTTCTATTTTTCCCCTGGAAAAGAGGGCTAGGGGGGGAGACAAAAATATGAAACACGTCTCTGTTTTTGAAAATTATTTTCAAATGTCAAGTTTTTAAAAATTCTCCTGCAAAAAGCTGTTGGTGGTTTTAACCAGCTCTTCCCCTTATCTGTCCCCCTCATGCCAATTATCTTGCATCCCCTCCACCCATTGAGAATCGCCATCCAATCCCCTTTGCTTGCTACTTTACATACAGTTAAGAAAAGAACAAACAAAGGAGCCACTTTCTTTTAGATGTAATTTGATCTGGTTTCGTTTACTCCACCTCATGTCAGTGGACTTATACACAAAGCTTAGCTTACTCCTATGAGAAACATAAACAGCACTCGGAAAAACATGCTGAAAGTTCTTGTTTTGCCTTGAACTAGCAGAGACGTACCTGTAGGCCCCAATCCTGCCCTTGAGACATTAGCACACACACGAGTAACTTTACACACCTGAGTGTTTCCACTGAATTTTATGTTGCTGCTCATGTACAAATTTAATCATGGGTGTAGGTTTTGCTCAAGGCCTTAGTTAACTCAGTTGACCTGCCATTTACCAATATGCTAAAATTTTAGCACGGCTTTTACTTTATTGCTGTTTCCTTGTTCCTATTCCGTGTATTTTCCTTGTGTGCTTGTTGATTTAGAGGAACATGGGTGACAATCAGGTGTATAAAAACATTCCAGAAGTGACTTAGTTTCATGCGCTCTGGCCTGCTGAAGTCAACTGCTGCTTACGAGTTACATGAATGAAGATTTTGCATGCTGGGCCCTGTAGTAGTTTCATAAAGTATCTTTAATAAAGGCAAGAGATCAGACTCGGCACTGCAAGTTTCACAATCAGATGTCCGGGAGGATTATGACTTTTAGGCAGGCAGCCAACAGTGTGTGTTCGTTAGTTGACTCTGTATTATTTGTGGGTGTGTCAAACCTGTTTGCATGCTTTCTCCCTGTTTTTAAAAATGACTCCTATTCAGCTTACTAGAACTGGTTAGCTTTTTTTTCATGTTTGTAAATACCAATGTCCCAATTCTTACTGGGGCTTCCGGTTGCAGTATTAAGGATGACCAAAACATGGAACAATAATTTCACAATAAATAATTTAAAAAAAAAGTTTTTTCCATGGTGCAGGATTTAAAATGGGCAGGAGGGGGAGAGAAATCGATTTCTGCGTTTTTTTCTCAAAATATTTTTGGGAAAAATTTGAATTTTGAGTAAGTTCTGGGACTGGGGTTGTTTTCCCCCCACCCACCCCACTTTTTCATTTTTCCTTTTGAAATTTGATAACATTGGAAAAAATTACCAAGGAGCAAAGCTATGGAATTTCAACTGTACTTTTGCCACTCTGAAACTTTTTGCAAAGCTGAGGATTTGGAAAAGTTACGGGATGGAAAAAAAAAAGTGTGTGTGAGAGAGACCCCCTGAACATCAGTCTATTGCACTGCAGGGCAAACAAGGCGATGGGAGGTGAAAAAAAGTTGGAGAAGGTGGAGAACTGTGGTTTTGCTTTCCAAAGCTAACGGTGGAATCCCGATCACTTCAGACATTAAAAACTAGACTGGGAAAAACACTAATAAATGTACATAGGCCATTCATTCGGGGGATGGATTAACAGACCCTAGGCTGTGACACTTTGGCGAATGCTGACACTATAAACTGGTATCTACTGAGTGAGGTGTATGAGGAGCCAAAATATCCACCCATGATCCTTAGCAGCATCCTGTGGCTTAGAGGCTTCCGCTGTAAACTGAAACTGTTCATTCCAACTCTGTGGACCAAACCCTGGTTGCCTTACTCACATGATTAGTCCCACTGAACTTAATGAGTAGAATCTGGCTTTCAATGGAAAATACTTTTCTTTCCTTCTACCACTTCTCCCCCACCCCCCGCCTTTCAGTTAATGTTTTGTAACAATGGTGCCTTTGCCTCTGCCTTTTGACAAAGGGCTGGGATGCCCTTTTATTAGCTGACTCTGGTTTTGGTTTGTGAATCTGTGAGCTTGGATTGCACAATCAAACACCCAACTCCCTTCCTGTTGACACGGAACTCCTCTCACCTGGGGTGTAGAAACTGTGCCAGCTTCTAAATTCATCTGATCCCACCCCCTAATTATGGAAAGTTTAACAGGACAGTTGAAAATACATTTGCTAATGCTTTGATTAAAACCTTGTCAATAGTGAGTTTCTGGGGGTGTCAATGCAGCAATTGGGAGGTGCGATTGCAGCACAGGGAGGGGGCTACCTGGGCTAGCTTTTAATTGAATTAGCTCACTAAAAACAGCAGAGTAGCCACGACAGAATGGACAGTGGTATGGGCTAGCTGCTCGAATACAGTCTCACCCGGGATACTAGTCATATTTGGGCTGCAAGTCCATGTCGCTGCACCTACATTGACTGAGCTAGCTCACTAAGAATAGCAAATCTAGGACAGGTTTGCTGACATCTTCTGTCCCAATTGCAGAGTAGACCTACCCTCTGGAATACTTACCAGTGCTGAGTGGCACCTTACTTCACCACTATGTCCCATTGATTCCAATGGAACTGCTTAGGGAGGTAGGATACTACTCTCAACAGTAAATAAGAGCATTCGAATCCTAATGAAAGCATAAGTATCAAGGTAGCTCATTCTTGATTGCTCCAGAATTGATCTGGGCCAAATTCGCTTTGCAGTTATACCCGAGCACCTCCTTCAAGTCAATTGGGTGGCATTGGCATAAACTGAGTGGAGGGTCTGGCCTACTAGCTACAGTAGTTTTACTCTGAGGGGTAAGTGTTCAGTCTCAGGTGTGGGGAATTAATAATAGGAGTTGCATACCTCATTCCCCATGCACGGGGTTGAAAATGTTTTACACAAACTGCAGCACTTATTTCATGTACCCTTTCAAATAAGAAAGGAATCTGTCAAGCTAAGGCGCTCTGGTCATTGTCTTTTACTTGGCTTTTCGCACAGCAGTCTGCCTCTTTGTTCTACACTCACTTTATTTCTGCGGGAAATTTTCTGCTGCTCTTGTACTTCCCTTCCCTTAAGGCCTGTTCACGCTAGAGAAAAATCCCTATGTCGCCAAGCTAGAAAATGAGTTTCTAAAATGGTTTTAACACCCCCTTGTGTAGCCTGCGCTGGACAGGGAAAGCATGTTTAATCCACTTCAGCTCCATCCGCAGCTACAGTGGTGCCGCTTAGAAGATTTGTTCTAATCTGAGGACTATTTCCAATGCGTGTAATGGGGGAATACTGATAGAATTGACCTAACTTATGAACTGGTCTAAACTTTTCCCTCCTGTCTGGGTGGGGCTTAGTAAAGAGAGAGACCCTCTTCCTCTTTGCTTTGGGCACCATAGTCAAGGGGTTAGGGCTCCAAAACTTTGAACCAGGAGAGCTGGGTTCTAGTCCTGCCTGTACCCACAGATGTTCTATGGGCAGGATTCTCTTCAAGTCAATGAAAATACCTTATATTGGCTTTATTTCAATTGATTGGGTGCTGTGGGACCTGTTAATGCCTCCGATTCCCCATCTGTAGGATGAGGAGCAACTGTCTTTCAAAGAGCATTGAGATCTGTAGATGAAAATTGTTAGATAAATATCAAGTATGGTGACATTCAATGCCTTGAGGATCTGTCATCTCTATGCATCCCATGAAGTGGGCTGTAGCCCATGAAAGCTTATACTCAAATAAATTTCTTAGTCTCTAAGGTGCCACAAGTCCTCCTGTTCTTTTTGCGGATACAGACTAACACGGCTGCTACTCTGAAACCTGTCATCTCTGTGAGGCTCTAGCTGCATATCCAAAGCCTGCTTTGGAAGGTAGATATTTCATAAAGATGATTCTGACAATCAGAGTAATTTGTCTACCTTATTTCTGGTCTCCAGGATCCCTATCACACAGCCCTCACAATTGGAGCGCTTCAATTTGTTCTCTTTGTTTTTGATTACCTTTTGCTTGTAGGTGATATGAGCAAAAGAAAGGGATAGCTGTTCCTATTATGATTGATTTGTATTGTGACTGTGCCTAGCAGCACTAGTCATGGGCAGGATCCCACTGTGCTAGATGCTGTACAGACACTACTGTCTAATCTCATCTTTCCAAGGTAACCATCACAATACCATCCAGGCATGAATTTAAAAGCAAAAAAAGAGGGGAAGGGCTCAAGTTATTTTTAAGCACCGTGTCATAGAAATCCCTTCTCTGTACAGCTTCTCGACATGTGCATGAAAAACTGTGGCCCCAGCTTCCAGTCTTTAGTTGTGAAGAAAGACTTCTGCAAGGACAAGCTGGTGAAACTCTTGCATCCAAGATACAATCTGCCAGCTGATACACAGGACATAATCTTGGCCTTTATCAGGGTACGTCAACTGTAAATAGAGAGATATATACAGAGTAAATATTTAATGATACAACCTGGTGATGTGCTGGACGGGGGTTCGTGGGAGCCTTTTGTGAAAATGTTCTTTGATGTACTTGCTGTTTTTGCAAGTGCAGCCGGGAGTGGGAGGTGGAGGGAGAGGAGCAGAAAGGGGGCATGGAAAGGCTCCTTTGGATACCCCCTACCCTAACTACTGGATATGTTCCTTCCCCAGCTACACTGAACGAGAAAAGTGAAAGGGAGCTTTGAAGCTTTCTCTGTCTTGTTCCCGCTGCTTAGAGTGCAGGCCAAGGGAGCAGGTAGCTCATGTGGAGGAAGCCACTTACCTAGTAGAGAGCTTCAGGAGCATGTGTAGTAGAAGAACCCCTCTAGAAGGAGATTCTTTTCTTCCCTGACCCACTGATATCTTCGGCCTTGGAACCAATTCCTCCAACCCGCAGAAATCCTGCATTTTCCAAGGAGTCTAGTAGGTGGGTGGACAAGGAAAGGAAGAGAGGCAGCCACCTGGGGAATGGAGGTTCAAGCCATGTGGCTTCTCCCAGTGAAGAATTCTGGGTCTCAAGCATAAAAACATTTTGATTTCCGTCACCAATGATTTTTCAAAAACAGACCTGGGCCTACGGGTTCCAAGGAACTGTGGATGTGAGTGAAGTGAAGGAAGTGTACCTGGAACTGCTAAAGAAAGGAGTGCAGTTTCCATCCTCTGATGCCAACCCAGGGACACAAAAGGTCAGGACAACATTTGCTACTGTTAATCAGAGTTAATGTACAAAGAAGGTGTGTTGATTGTCATTAATTATTATGTCTGAAACCATGAAAATCCTGCTCACGTACTCAGGAAATCAATCATGCATTCTGCCATGGAGTATATATATTTTTTAAATTAGATAATAGTGCTTTTGTTATAAAAATCAAAGTTTGGGGGATCCGTTGTCTCAAACAGGAAGGATAAATCTCTGGGATTTTTTAAAGCTAGCTAAGAGATTTGGGCACTCAATTCCCATCAAAATGCATGGCAATTGAGTGTCCAAATCTCTTAGGCATTTTTGAAAGGCTCAGACAAAATGTATATGATTTGCATGAAAGCACCCAATGATTCAGAATATGAACACTATCTGGTCCCAATTTGGAATTGGGAGAGGTAGGGATGTCTAATAAAAAAGGTCTTTACTATATAAGACTCTATCCACTTGTTTGTACAGTCTACAAAATAATTTGCAACCTTGTGGATAAAGGCTCTGTCTTTACTATTTAAGTTGATCAAAGGTATTGTGTAGATCTGGAAAACAACCCTCTGTCAATATGGCTTGAGCAGTCCATGCCATCTCTGTGTGCAGCAAGTTTCTTAGATCCGTTCCTTCCAATTTCCAGTGACCTGGAAGAGCTTTCACAAGACTTTTGAGAAGAGTGACACCATCAGGTGGAATGTTGCAGTTATGGATTTAGAATCCTCTAGTCAGCCCAGGCAGAAGGGATTCAGAACTATTGAGAGTCTGGCCTGAGGATTAAATAGCGGCGTACAGGAAGGGCAGTGTATTTTGACTAAGGCTGTTCAGATGAGGCTACGTGCTGATTTTTTTTACTAGGTAATTATTTCTTCCCCACCCAGATGTAACTGTGGGAAGGAATGGCTTCTAAAGCTCTGGTCCTGTACCCACTGAAGTCAATGGCAAAGCTCCAATGACTTCAGTAGTGCAGGAACAGGACCTACATACAGAATTTGGCCCAGAGTGCCTAAGGTTGGAAGGACTTAAGCATAGTGTCTGATGCAGGCCTTCAGTTTAACCCAAAATGCACATGAGGCTTCTTGCATCCAGAGCTTTCCAGCTCTGGGATCCAGAAGAGCCTACTTCCCTCATCTCCCAGACCCTTTCTTCTTACAGTTTCTGCTTTCCTAGTGTGGCCCCGTCACCGGCCACACCTAATTCTTTTTCCCAGAGCAGGGTTCTTGTGCACTAAGGACTGACCCCTGTTAATTCCCGTTCCAAAGAAATAATAGAATTCTCTCACCAAAGATGGGCTAATCTCAGTTATTCCAGTCACAGAGGCATATAACTCATGCTTTGCCATTCACACTCCTTCCTCTGATGGATTCATTTGCCAACAAACCAGTTGAACGGAAACCTGGATCCAAAGTCTGATTTTTATTCCAAAATGGTTATTGGTTTTACTGTAGCGAATAGAAGGAACTCAGAGAACACCATCAAAGCCTTCCTCCCTGGTAGCGTTGCAGCGCTGATTATAAGGAGGCTAATGCGCTGTTGTCTAGTCTGATAATGATGCTTTGTAGCGCTGTCATCCGGATGTCCATGTCAAATCCCAGGTTAAACAAAAACTCTCTTCATATCATATAGCAGCGAGTTTCATCTTGGCCCTCTGAAAAGCCACCGCCTCCTTCTGCTGCCTCTGTGAAAAGTATTCCAGTGCCTCGTCCCCCCGCTCTGACAATAACATTGACTCCTGAACAGGTGCAGTATGGCCTTTCTTTTGAAATATGCTGACTAAGTGTCGGTACCATGATTCCCTGGCCTGTATAGGATATAATATGAGAGGCTGCTGCAAGGAAAATCTCCATTAGCTCAAGCAGAATAGACTTTTGTTGACAGTCCTGGGCTAAATCCCTGTTCCATTACCGTAGTGTTTTTATTTTGTGAGAAAATATCACACACTCATGTGCCAGATCTTTGTAGAGGCCAGGAAAGGAGATTGCGTAACTGCCAGAGAGCTGCTCAACTGGAGAGTAGAAATCTTTGCTTGAGTATGTGTATTTCTAATGCTCTTATCAGGGTACTGTGGTGCAAATTAGTAAGAGAAGAGAGCAATTCAAAGGCCGAAGGAAAGGGTAAAGAAAACTTTTGCAAGACACCAGTGTCAAGAAATAATTTTTAAAAGTCAGAAAGAAACGGACAAGCTGGTTCCACACCTGCCTGTGGATAAATGAAAAGTTTTGTCTGCTTGATAGTGATAGGACTTAACTGTTAAGGGAAGAAATGGCAGCACAGCACTCAACAGAGCTCAGGTTCGAGACCCGCTGCCTTATAGTGCTTTAAAACTGGACTTACTCCCTTAACGTCCGGGGATCGGGCCCTGTCCATTTTGATCAATTTCACTGTCCATTTTGATCAATTTCACAGCCAGGGTTTTAAAATCGGTCAATTTCACATTTTCAGCTGTTTACATCTGAAATTTCATGGTGTTATAACCCTGGGGGTCCCAACCCAAAAGGTACCTGGAGGTGGGTCTGATCTCTCCCCTCTCCCTCTCCCGCCCCTGCAGCAGCCCTGCAGAGGGACAAGTCCTGTCCCTCCCCAGCCCAATAGGGTCTCGCAGCTAGGAGCCCCCTGGCTTGGGCACTCCCAGCAACAGGGGGAGATCAGACCCACATCCACTAGCCTCCTCCAGCTGCAGGAACCTCTGGGGCTGCAGCCTGGCACTGGAGCTTCCTGCAGCAGGAGGAGGCATTTGGAGGTGGGTGTGATCTTCCCCTGAGAGTGCCCATGCAGAGGAAGAACACATCCTGTCCCTCCCCAGTCCGGCGGGACTTGCAGCTAGGAGCCCGTGGGCTGGGGTGCTCACAGCAGCAAAGGGGAGATCAGATTTCAGGAGGAAGGGCTTATTTCACGGTCCGTGACACGTTTTTCACGTGAAATTGGTAGGATCCTATCCATGGAGTATCATCTGTGTAAAGGCTGGAGTAAGGCAGTGCTGCTCAGGCCCATCGTATATCTGATAAAAGAGCAAGCAGGACAATAGATGTGGAAAACGTTGTGTTTTCTGTACTTGCACATATAACATTCCATTGCCCTGAACAGATTGGGAAGCTGTACAGCGAACTGGATATGGCAAAAATGAATGCGAAAGTCATGTCAGCGATATTAACAGAAAACGTTCCTGGGTCTGAGAATCTTGACGACATGGAGCTCTTACAGGTGCAGTACAGCATTTTTGCTAGGAGTTTGTTGGTTATGGTTTATTTTAAAAATGTACATTGTGCCCATCCTTGTTACATCTGGGTTCATATTACAAAGTGAAAACAAACATCTGTTTTCAACCTTTGGTGTTGATCTAGCTTAGCTTCAGTTGACCAATGGAAAATTCACCCTGAGTCAAGTGTGGGCTGGTGTACGGCCACTTATGTCACCCCGCCCACCTTTGGCCTCCAGTGCAGGATAATAGAGGTCCCTGGCTGCAATATTTTGTACTGGGGAACCAGTCCCAGAATTGGGGGTGACCAAAGTAGTGTAAAGCCACCAGATGCCAGGATATGGCCTCAATTCATCAAAAATTTGGAAGAAAATCCACTCAAAGTAAAATCTATAACTATACAATTTCACAACGGCAAAGAGTAGTTCTCCATCTGCTCATTACTGCACTTTCTTTTTAAATCCCATGTCATATAGTTCCGCTATAATATTTATGAGCTGCTACATTCAAACACTAAAACAATATGAATTTTAAAAAGTCAAAATTAAATAGTGATAAAATCGGTCCCCAGCACAACAGATTGTGGATTTTTCAAGGTTCGAGTTGCAAGAGAAGCCGTTACAAAGCTCTCTGGTAAATAACATGCCTTTTTTTTATAAAGGTTCTCTGCCTAAATATTTACTGTACACAATAGACTTAATAGCTTCTCTGAAATGAGGAAGGGTTTAAAAATTCCCTTGGTGTGCATTTTAAAATGATCTTAGTGCACATTGATTGTACACAGTAATTATGACTGCAAAGAAGCAGAGGACTCTACCCAGTAAATAAGACTCATTTAAAAAATTATCTCAACTTTCATGTTCTTCAAGTTAATTTTCTCCCCCAGCTAACATAAAAATATTGAAAAAAAAACATTTAAAAACAGTGCAAAGGGGTTGGCTTAGCCTAATAAACACCAGGGATCTGGAGCTAAGTTCTTCACTCATCTTAAGGGGAAACAAAGCAAACAGAAAGAAAGTTGGATAGCCTACAAAAGTATGAGGACTACAAAACTGTATCAGCAATGGTTTAGGCTTTGAGTCCCACACTTATTGTACACGGGAGCAGCAATCTGCACTTGGAGGTCTTAGCAAGGGTGGAGTGGGGTCTAGGGATTCAGCAAGGCAATGAGAGTCAGGCCTTCTGGATTCTCTTCCTGTTTCACCATGTGACCTTGAACAAGTAATATGACCTCTCTTTGTGCTTCAGTTTACCCAGCTGCACAATGGATATTACAATGCTTCCCAGCCTCACAGGTATGTTGACAAGGCACTTGGGGTACAGCTATAAGCCAAGCAGAAATCCACATCACAGAGTCCAGGCTTACAGATCTGGGCTTGTCCTACAGTGCTAGAAATAGCTGTGTAGATATTTGGGCTGGTACTGGAGTTTGGGCTCTGAAGCCTAGGCTCTGAAGACCATAGACCCAGCCTCTGAGACTCTTTGGGTTTCTGCTTGCCGTGTAGACGTACCTTTAGTTCTGCTGCTCTAAAGGTGCAAAGTAGCCTTCCTGCTGGTTTAACCAGCCAGTGGAAGATTTCCTTGGTGCAGGGGAATCCTTGAGTGGCATAGAACTGGCAGCTCCCTTCCTGACGCCCTGGTGTGAGTCATGTTACTGTGGGGAAAGAGGATAAGGTCAGGACATGCCCGTGCCCTGTTGCTCCCTAGCTGCTACAATGGACCTTCAAGGCCAGATGCAGATGGGTGAGCATTGGACTGGCTCCAGGATCCAGTAAGCACGAAGGTCACCTCTTCACAGAATCCTCCTCTTGAACTGCATCCACTTAGCACTGTTTGGCCGGGGCCCGTGATCGAGGCCGTGGTGTCTAATTTAATTAGTTCTTTGAGAAACTTGGGCAAAGACCCCTGCAAAGGATTATTAGAATATGTCTGCCTATTTTAAATCGATTTCTGGAAGGGTTTTGGAAGTATATTTTGTAAAAGGAAGAATGCCATCACAAAGTCTGAGAAAGCTCAAGCAGATCTGCTTGCTGGCACTCAAATAGTTAAATTATTGGCCAGGTTTGGGGCAGGGAGTGAATTTCACCATTCATGAAGACATGAGTAGAAGCTCATTCCTTTTATATGTGTTTGTTTTCTGTTCCTTCCTGCAGCACCCTGAGATCCTTATCACAGCACAAATGCCTAGAGAAACAAATGCGAGTTGCTTTTACAAGAATGAAATACGTTCTTTTCTTTAAAAGAACAGGAGGACTTGTGGCACCTTAGAGACTAACCAATTTATTTGAGCACAAGCTCAGTCTAGGTCACTCAGTTCAAGGGACTGTGTCCTTCTACAGTAATAGTTTCATTGGAATTGGTGCAGACCAGAATCCTCTGCGGAAAGAGTTGCATGCTTTAGGACTTAAAAGGACTGGAGAATTTTTTTTGAACCATGTGTCACCAGAGATCCAGCCTAGTCAGATTAACTGAAACTTAATAATGGGCAAAGTACAGCAATGCAAGTCATGGCTTACACTGGTGTGGCATATCTCCACTCAGGGTTTGCTCTTATACAGATGCATCTGTGGCTAAAAACCCCATTGTAGACAAGACCTAAGACACCTGAAAACAATAACCCCCAAAATATTAAATTGGCTGAAATCATTCGTAGTAGTAGTTGACAGAGCAGTTCAAGTTCTTATATCAACTCTCACAGCCAGTAAGAGTAGGGAATAAGCAAAGCTACTAGATCCAGACCCCTCGTGGGGACACTGGAATGTGAGGCCAGTTTCTCAGCTGATGTAAACTATCACAGTTTTATTGACATCACTGGTTTTTATACCAGCCGATGATCTGGCTCTTGGAATGCATAATAAACAACTCTCGTTTCAAGGGGTCAAGGTTGCATGCATCTTTTCCTCAGCAAAATCTGGCAAATTTGTGATTGAGATCAGAAATAAAAAGGGCTGTGTCTAAATTCTTGTAGAATTTCCCTGTGTTAGCAGGTCGAAAATCACCTCTGGGCTGAGGGCAGGCAGAGACCCTATACATTGATTAGAGCTCAGTTTTCAGGACTTACGGTGTTGCATAGTCCTTGTGCTGCAATTGTGAACAGAGGTGAATTTCACCCTGAGAAATGTCGTTGGGTAAACACACTTTTGGAGCAAAGATGGGCCAGTTTTACAACAAAACCCAGATAATTTCTAAATGAAAATGGAGAGAATAGCCCCCTCTCTCTCCACTCCCTCCCCCCCCCCTTAATCAGAGTCAGCATTTGCAAGTAAATCATGGAAAACCTGGAGGTGGGAGAAGGGGTGGTTAAGTTCTTGATGCAAGAATAGCCGTTCTTTGAACCTGCTATCAAAGGGAAATCAATGTGGAAGAGGAATGTAAAACTCTGTGAAACTAAGTAGCTGGTAGTTCTAGTTCTAATTGCTACTAGAGGAGAATTCCACTCCGTGAAATTGTGAATTTTATACCAATCAATCCTGATGGGTTTGTATTACCTATAGAATTGAGACAGGTTTGATTCGGAGACTTGATTCACAGTCCCCACCAGACTGAGGAAGCCAGGCCTTGGTTTTCTGCCATCTGTACTCCAAGTTATGATTTTCTCTCTTCCTTATAATGAGCCTGAACCAATATCCATTGAAAGTCCATGGAAAGAGCCCTATTGATTTCCATGGGCTTTGGATCATATCGAATATGAAGTCCAGTAAATGCCCCTTCCCTCCCAAAAATCTGCTCTTATCAGTCATCAGGCTCTTTTGAGCATTTTTAAAGTGTTTTGAATTGCTCACTGGATTTCCAATTGGGAATTCTTGGAGTGCTGGTCTCTGAGCGTATTCCATAGGCACCTGGAGCTGAAGAATTTTGAAAGCAGTGTCCACTGGTCCACACACATGCCTGGCTCACCTCTTGCCTCTGACCAAGGAGAAAAAGGGTGGGGTGGACCAGCTGCCGCTCCAGTTCCTTCTCACTGCCTCATGATCCAGGTCGGAACCTCCAGTGTCCGACGCCTTGGCTTTCTTCTTTATCTGTGAAAATATATTTAGAGATCTGTAAATAGTTTTTTTATATTCTAGAGTTTAAAGTTTCTATCTGATAGTTTTAGTGGTTTTTAGTTAATCAGTCAGTCTCCCTGACTTGGGTAGCACCCTCCTCTCCCCACCCACCTCAATCCCTCCAGACTCCGTTTGGGTATTGGACTATGCCCAGGACTCTGGGCTTCAAAGTTTATGCTTCCTGCCCGTGATCCTTCTCGCTTAGCATTGGTGGTTGTCACTGGCTGAGAAGGATCCCAGCAAGGTGCAGTATCTGCTGTTTGTTCCCCAGCCGTACCCAGGAAGGGTGGGAACTTCACCTAAAGAAGCATAATGGAAAAGTGCATGAGGCCACAACTTGACCCAGGCCAGTGGATCCTCCCCCCTTATATATTGGCCTGACTTAGTAAGGGGTGCACCTCCTGCCATGAGGTCCAAATCAGGAGCAAAGATGTCTATCCCCCAGGGGGTCTTGTTGGGAGAGCAGGGAGCATTCTCATAAGCATGAGGCCAAGTCTTCCTCCAAATGATCTTTGAAGAAGTCAGATCCAGGCCAACCTAAACTGAGCAGTAGCTCAGCCCAAGAGAACTTAGTATGTTCAGAGTCTCAGAGGCATGATAAGAAAGCCCACAAACTGTGTACTTGCTAAACTGGCAATCAATGAGCACCATAGTGACTGTTCCCACCAAAGTGATATCGGCCCTGTCATGGTGGAAGAATCTCCATCAGGTTTGCATCTGCGTTTCCTTTCTTGCCTCCACACAGACAGGATGATCACTGCCAATGCATCCCTGTTAGGTTGAGGACCTCACATGGACAACCATACAGTACAGGGCATCTGGACATCTCAAGTGTCCAGGATGCACATCAAGAGCCATGAGCAGTTCGAAGGGCTTGTGAAACCTTTCTCCTCTTCACTCAAGGTCACCGTGCCTTCATTATGTCAAACAACATCACAATCGCCTTTTACATAACAAACAGGGAGAAGTGCAATCCATCCCTCTGTGTGCAGAAACGTTGAGTCTGTAGAACTGGTGCATCAGCAATCAGATTACCCTGTCGGCAGTCTCCATCCCAGGAAAACCAGAATGTGCTAACGGGCTCTCTCAGCAGCCACTTTGTGGTCAATCATGAGTGGGAGCTTCACGACACTGTGGTAAACAATATTTTTCTTCTATGGGGCCTGCCCCACCAGAGACCTGTTCATCTTCCCAAGTCCTGACCCATCCTCAGAAAAAAGGAGGTTCCGTTCTCTTGACATTTGATGAGCTGCAGCCTTTTACCTGCAGAGAATGAAAACAGTCAGGAAATCCTGTAGACTATTTGTTGCCATATTGGAAGGGGTTTGGTTATAGCCTCTGAAAGAACCTCAAAATGGATCTGGGGCTGTGTTTTGCTCTGCTATCAGCTGTCTAATCTTCTCTTTCCACAAGAGAGCAAGCAACGTCTACCGTACTGCTTCGAGGGATGCCCCTTCTTGATATTTGTGAGACAGCCACACGGAGCTCAGTCCACGTGTTTGTGAGACACTCTGCACTGGTACAGGACTCCACTACTGCTGCATCTTTTGGAACAGCAGTCCTTCATATGGCTCTGCCATCTACGACCTCGCACCCTCCTCCTATTTAAGTACTGCTTGTCAATCACCCCCTTTGGAATACACATTGGGACTAGCACTCGAAAAAGAAGAGAAAGTTACTTGCCTTATAGTAACTGGAGGTTCTTTGAGAGGCGTGGACCCTATCTGTATTCTACTACCTTGCCCTCCTTCCACTCCACTTCAGATCTTCTCTTATTTGCAGTGAAGAAGGAACTGGAAAGGCGGTTGGTCCACCCCACCCTTTATCTCCTCAGTCAGGGGCACGAGTAAGCCAGGGCAGATGTGGGCTAATGGACACTGCTTTCGAAATTCTCTGGCTCCAGGCATGTAGAACCCATCCATACCCGCAGTGGAACATGAATAGGGCCCACACCTCTTGAGGAACCTCCAGTTACTATAAAGTGAATCACCTTTCTCTTTAGGGAGGAGGATGACTTTCCAGAAATGAGACTGGGTTATGAGTTGGGGTAGGAGTGCTGGTCATGGTGAGAGCAATTATCAGCCGCGTTTTGTCGGAAGTTTGCCAGAAAGAGACTTGGGAATCAAATATAAGGGATTTGAGGCTCACCCTTTAAACTGTATGTCATCATGTGAATTAGACAGTGCATTATCCTTGTGTCTCCAGCACCCAAAAGTTTTATAATTCTCCTCCCAAACTGACAAATGTGGGAAACCACAATGACATTGGTTTTGGTTTTTTTCCTGAAAAGAAACTGTACAAGATATGTCGGGTGATGCAGGAGAGGATCGTGGAACTGCTGGTAGCAGTGCAGAATGAAGATGTGATTGCTGAATTAACACGAGTGAATGAAGATCTGAACAACGTCCTCCTGGGACATGAAAGGTAAATATATTAGTGAAACCAGAACCTGTCTTTTCCTGTTTGGTCTTAGTAACAGGTTCTCCTGACTGGGCCAACCAAATCTGTTAAAAAAATGTAACACTCTGGTATGATGTTTATGTCATAGTGCAGGGAAGCTGCACCTGTATTCCCCCTCCATGGTCCAGCAAGGGCACCCACTCTCAGGCATCCAGCTCCCCAGCGATCACCTCCCTTGGGCGGAGACGCATGTCTCTCTCCCTCCTGACCAGAGTGTTTCCAGGCTGCACAGTTCCCTGCTTGCCCTGTAAATTCCCCAGCAAACTCCTAAGATACTTAAACTTAATTCAATTAGGTTTAACTTAATTCAGGTTTGTCCAGGAAATTGTTATGTCTGTTGCAGTTTAATCTGCTCTTTCAGGGTGAAATTCACCCTTCTGCAGAGGACTAACATGAGGCATATGAGCCATTAAGTGCCACTTGAACTATAAGGGGCTTAAATGGTCCATATGACTGGTGCTGGCTGTCTCCAGAGAGATGAATTTCATCCTCCATCAACAAGAAAGGAACAGCATGTTCCTTTTTGTGTTGTGCTTATATTTATCTGCTGATCTTGTCTCTCCATGCACTTGAGAAGCAGCAGACAGGTTAAAATTTGTAGACGTGTCCCTAGAATACCAGCTTGCAGGGTAAACCAAAGTACTAGCGTAGCTGGGAATACTAAAGCATGAGGAAAGAAACAGGCTCTGAGTCCTTCCATTAGCATGGGACTCAGATACAGTGGATTTGGCTTCAGTCAATTATGAGCCCTCTTTGTTCCTTTAGCTACCCAGACGCTGAGCTTAACTGCAGCATGCACGTGCTCCCAGGGAAGACAGACAGTTTTACTGCAGGCATCAGCCAAAGGGTGGAGTTCCCGCTTCCTTAAAAGGATCACATGCGGCTCTCTGCAGTAGCAAACAAGTGTTTCTACCCCCACTGCAGGCACAAATATTTATTATTTCACACAAGGAAATCCTGAATGCTTGTGGTGATGACATCTGCAGTTATTTACTTATTGATTTCATCAGTGGGATAACTAGGGCTTACACGATACCAGAATTTCAGCATTTCCCAAGCAACAAATAACAGAGATCATCCTGGTGTATCATGATTAGCCTTAGCTGTGAATGGATGGCTTTCCTAACCAGAGGTGAGATGGCCATGTTCTAAAAACCATTCTACAGCACCATGCGGGTTAGGGAACAAATTGAAGACTTGTGCTTCCCACATAGGAAAAATTAAGCTTTTCTAGGAGCATTGAACTCCTTGGTCTTTGGGCTAGGCAGAATGGAGTGCACTGATGAGACCACGCTCTTCTTCATCCATCAGCAGATTGTCATCAAGAAGACCAACTTCTCACGTTTTTAACACTTCACAGGACACCACACATTTCTGGCAGGCCTTGGAGACAGGTTGTCCTGCCACCGACTCTGTTCAGTCACTCACTGCTGAAGGACTGGTAAAGGGGGGGCATATTAGAGGGCAGTGGGGTGACCTGAGAGAAGGAGAGTAGAATAAAGAGGAGTTACAATGACCAGGAAAGGGAAGAGGAACAGAGTAGGGTAAGGGAGGGGAGGAAAGCTCCAATTAATGCCTCTTGCTTGTTTGCCTTCTGTCAGTTCCAGTTTATTCCAGCAGAACTTTGATTAACCTCTTCACGCCACAACGCTTAGTGCTGTAATACTTGGAATGTGCGCTCCAGGCATATTCACAAGATTGTTTTTCCATTGTGTGACTTTCTGATACAGGAGCAATTTTTGTGGAAACTCTGAAGCCGCTAACAGAATGAACTGAGAGGCTCTTATAAGCTGCAGTAGGTGCTGTTAAATCACTGCAGGTACTGCTGTTCTGTCCCTGTAGTGGGTCTTAGGAAAATCCAAATAAAATGTGTTCTCTCTGGAAAATAACCCTGACCTCTGAGAATTTGCACAGTGAGCTTTTGGCTGTAGCAGGGATGACAGCATATAGACAGTCAGAAACAGGTATGATGAAACAAAGCTATTAATAAGTAAAATAGATGGACTTTGTTTTTGGGAGGAAAGAGGGGGTTAAAGACAAAATAAGAACCCATTCTGGTTACGTTAATCTTTAATGGCTCAGTCTGGCTTACAATTTTGGCTTTGGGACTCTCATTAAAGTGCCATGAATATGTTTGGTTCTGTGTTTATACAGCCCCTAGCACAGTGAGTCCATGATTGGCATTCCTAGGCACTATGTCTATAAAAATAATTATCATCATAATATATATTTACAAAATAATAACGTAGAAGTTAATGAACATCATGTGGCTTGCACTTGCAGTTAATATTTCAGAATTTCTTGATTTTTCTGGTTCTAATTTGGATTATTATTGTTATTATTGTGTGTTGTTATTATTATTTTTATCATTAACTGAGTCTATCCAGAAGAATGCCAAAACATTTTTCAGACTACATAATAGCTTGCTTTTTTTATACAGTGTTTTTTATCAGAGGATCAAAGCATTCTGCAGAGATGGGTGACATTAATTAATCCACCTGAAATACCTGTGAGGTGAATCAGTAAATATGTTTGCCCCCATGTTTACAGCTCCGGAAACTAGTGTCACTCTGAGTTAGTTTCCCAGACCACAGAAGAGCTCTATGTAAGCTCAAAAAGCTTTGTCTCTCTCACCAACAGAAGTTGGTCCAGTAAAAGATATTCCTCTCCCTCCTTGGCCCATTGATTATAATGGCCTTTAGTCAGGGCCTCAGGTTTAAGACTCCTGCTGTCGCAAAGAATGCTGTGGGATCTCTCATGATTGGGAGGAGTCAGTTCTCCTGGTCAACATTGTCTACAGTAGAAGTTTTCAGATCTGTAATTCGCATTGGGTGCAGCTCCATCAGTGGTAACCCTGATGGAAGTTGCGGTGTAGAAAAGGCTCAGACAGGTTCAGATGTTTTTATCTCTGTGTAATTTAACTTAAAGATTCAAGGATTCCAAGCTTGTTCAATACACCCACTTCTAAATAACAGCACTGCAGAACACCATCCCAGAGGCCAGAGCAGACTTCTCTCTGCTTCACTGTGGATTTACTGACTTGGAAAAACATTGTGATTTCTACACTGAGCAATTACAGCATCTCTTCAGCTGTAGCATGGGACCTGGCTCAGTTGAAACAAATATTCTGTTGTGTATTACCCAGCTGCATGGTTAATACATACCCCTAGTATGTTTCCTTTTAGGCCTATCCATGAGGTATTGTGAACAGAAAGCTTTGCAATTTCAAAAGATCAAAATGTTGCATTAGTGGCATCTTGAAGGTTACTGAGTTGCCAGAAGACTATATTTTGCACTGACCACTGCTCTGGCAACATCTTAGTTACTATGGCTTATGAAGTAAAGAATGACCACATTAGAAGCAACAACTTACCAATTACATTGCAAGCCTTGTCTCTCCTTCCCACAAGACAACCAGCCTTCAGAGAGTGTTATCACTTTTGCAAATGCTTCAGTGTGTATAACTTGTGTTTAGTTTTTGCACAAATGTCTTATCTCTGTCATGCAGATGCTCTAACGAGTGAAATCAGTGGGTATGCAGTAAACAATGACAATCTTGTCCCATCCTTCCTTCCTTGTTTTATTTTACCCTCAAACCTCTTCCAAACGCTTCAGCCAAACTGTCATTGTATCTTCCCAGTGTCATTCTCACAAACTTCCATGCTATTCTTCACAATATTTTATTCAGTTGATTCGTAAGTCTAGTGTTTACAGCTGCGGGTTATGTTTTACAATTCACTCTTTAAAGAGGGTTTTTCACTTCTTGCCTAAGGAAATTTGTCATGTAAGTAAAATACAAATGAGTTTCCCTTTTGGTTTCTGTAAATCCACTTTATCCAAATGTTGACCTAAAATCTTCTTAATACTGACGATTAACATTTTTCTTGGAAAGCTGAAACTTCCCCCTGAATTATGAATAATAGCTTGTGGGTATGCCTCAACAAATCCCAAGTGAAACGGTTCACCCATTGATTGAAAGGGCAAATAATTGCTAATGGGAGTGTGAAATTCTCATGCAGTAGTACTGTACACTTATTTAACTGTCATTTCTGGTTGCAGTTGCATTGTACCTCAAAGCTGCTACACATGTTATTTGCAGTTGTTTCTACTGGCTTGGTTAATATTTGCTACATAAGGATTTATTGTTTACTATAGAAAATCCTCAGTCTGCCCTTGGATACACAGGCATATGAGATGCTAAAAATTATATAGGTATGTTTTAACTAGTTGCAGCTGTTTACATACATTTGAGTGGCAGTATGACTGCTTTAAGGCAAATCACGTTGCATTTCCTGTATCTGATTATCAACGAAGATTCTGTGCAGAGTCTCAGTGAAGTGAAGGACAGTGGTCTCTGCGTGTGTAGTCTACTGGCCTGCTGCATGTAACCATGGCTCTAGTGGTTTTGATAACTCAACCATAGTAGTTCTCCCTTATGTCAAGTGACACAGAGCTGTGGTTCTGGTTCTAATATTCCTACTGAGGACATTGGAGTCTGTATGTGCATTTGGCTGGGGCTTGTTACACACTTTTCTAGATCCTTTTGTACGATCAGACCTTCGCAGTAACTGCTGGATTCTTATGAATGACACTTTCTTTTTGAGTGATACCTACGCCTGGGATGTTTAAGACTAAATTATTGACAACGTATCATTTCCTACAGGTTTTCTCGAAACAGAGTACGTTTCTTGGAGAATCAGAGACTCCAGTGTGAGCAAGCAGAGGTGAGTAGTTAAGCACAAACCCCATCAACTTCAGGATAAGAATCTGGCTTAGATTTTATAAACCAGAGCTTTTCCTCTTATTTGTTGCAACAAATGTGCTTTTTGTGACCTAAGGAATTATATTTGCTTGCTACCTCTGTTGGATTCAATATTCTGTCTCCAACAGAGGGTAATGTTTCTCTATTAATTTGCAAGAGTCCCACTTACAGAATCTCATTTTGTAGCACAAGTATCAAATTACCTTCAAATATAACGTGGAGAATAGGAAAGGACAACTGGAAAAGAGAGAAAATCTATTAAAATGCAGTTTTATTACCTCTATTGCTATGTACTAGATTCAATTCTAATCTCTTACATGATGTGAAGAGATTTGTTTCTTTTCATCTATAGTCTTATTTTTCACTTATTGTCTCTAGGGGCATTTATGAAGCTGGAAAATTAATTTTTAAAGGCTACTTTTCTCCCATCACTGCTCCTATTTTATTAACCATGCTGGCCCTAATAGTGATACACACGTTTCACCTTGTACAAAGCCAAAATTAACTCAGTTTCCTTTGCATCCTGCATCAAGCTGATTACATTGTGATTGAAATATAGTCCATAGTTATTACAGGAAAGTAGTAATCAGTCTGGGTTTTTCGATGAAACACTACTATTACTGGCTTTCATTTTTAGTCAGATAGTTCATTTGTAGTTTCTGACTATTGGATGGGTTAATAGTCCAAAATGATCCAGTTTGCAGATCTTGTAGCTCATTCACAAGTCCCCAGGTTTAAAATAAATTTGTATTAGCTAGTGCTAACAAAACACTTTTATATTAAACATGTGATATGGTTAATTCTCTTCTGATTTCATTCTTAACTCTATTAAGACACACATGGGCTTAAATTGGAGCAAGGCAGGTTTAGGTTGGACATTAGGGGAATAAATTGCCTAGGGAGGTTGTGGAATCTCCATCATTTGAGATTTTTTTAAGAGCAGGTCAGACAAACACCTGTCAGGGAAAGTCTCAATAATACTTAGTCCCACCATGAGTGCAGGGGACTGGACTAGGTGACTATGATTCTATGTTCACTAGATCTGAGTAGGAAACAGTTTTCCTGTCCTGCAGAAAATTGAGATTTTTTTTAAACATTTTTCTGTCCTGAATCAGGTTATAAAGTCAAAAAGTTAAAAAAAAAAATCATGAAATGAAAATTAGAAAAAAAAAAACGGATTGGGTCAATCGAAACATTTCATTTCAATTTTTAAAAAAAATACTATAAATTAATTTAAATTCTGAAAAAAACATTTTGAGCCACTTTTTAATTTTGAAAATGTCAGAATGGGATGTTTTGACAACTTCAGACATTTCTTTTCAAAAATTTGTAAAAGGGGAAATTCAAATCCAACTTGTTCCTGCAAACAGTTCTGGTTTTGATAAACTGGCATTTAAAAAAAAAAAATCATAGAAAAATTCCCGACCAGCTCTACTGGTCACCTTTCCTCAATAATAATCAGATTCTGATTTCAAATTTTTGTATTAAGTGAAAATAGCAACTTAAGTTTACTTTTTAACTCTTTTTCTTCTTAGATCTACAGCAAACAACCATCTGCTCCTTCATGTGATCTACTCGTCGTCAATTCAAGTTCTTCAATTCCTGTGTCAGCATTGGGGGGAACTGGCCCCGAGACTCCTCAGTTTTCAGAATTAAGTGAGTAAAATACTTGCATTTTCTCTGAAACATTAGGAAGTTTGGTATAAAATATTTCTAACCTTGTGGCTGGAGCCTATGCAGATGGAAATGAAAGTATGCTGGCATTCACATCACATGGATGTGGGACTAGAGGGCTGCAAAACTAATGAAGACATTTCTGAAAGTAAGAGTAAGAAAGTAAGAGTAAAAGTTGCTTGTTGCTGCCATGCCCCGCTGCTGCTATGATTCAAGCATGTTTCCTCAGATGAATTTCAAATACATGCGAGAGGAAACAAAATGTAGGCCATGATGAGAGAGTTCATGAATGTGCACAGTATCAAACAGAACACTGGCCCCAACACAATAGCTCACGAAAGCTCATGCTCAAATAAATTGGTTAGTCTCTAAGGTGCCACAAGTACTCCTTTTCTTTTTGCAGGTGTGTACATCTGTTGTTGGATAAATGAACTACCATAACAAACCGTATAAAGATGAGGTTTTTTTGTGTACATCTCCTGAATGTAGTTTTGGAATGGCTCGCAATCAATATGAGTAGTGTTATTCCTTTGTAGTGGTCTTTCCTAAAACAAAGAACCACTGTGGCCAGAACAAGAAATTCCTTGCAAGAGACAAATGTGTATCCAAATGAAAATGAGAGAGTTCTGGTTAGAACCTTGAAGGGAAAGTAGAGCTGCTTTATTATTGTATACGTAAGGTACTTTGTACAAAAATCTGTTGAAGTGAGAGGTTGTGTTTTAAAATAATCTGCCTCCTCCGTTATTAAATGGGGGATCATTAATAATTTACAAGGAAGCAATCGCTGTCATCCATGCCCAAGAACGTCCATGTAACCATGCACCTACAAAACTTGCTGGCACAAGTTCAGAAGGGAAGGGCACATTTATCCTTTCTGAACTTCCTCAATATTTTCAGGGAGCCCCTTCAAATTTGCAACATTTTGTTTGTATTTACTTAGGTTGGGAGAGGTAAGAACTCAGAGTAAATGTATTGTTATCCGACTAGAATAAGAAACGGGCGGGCCTCTGGTTTTAAAATATGTTTCGTAATATGCATAGTGCCACTCATTTTTTTCCCTCAGGCAATTTAAGATGTCAGGCAGAAATACAATGTATTTCTGAAATCAACTCTACATTCCTTACCACTTTGAAGGCAGAATTATAATAGCCCTAAATTGAATAGCAGCACCTTCAGTATGTATTTCAAAGTAATTGCACAACACTGCAACTTCTCCCCTGCAATTTTATACCCCTCCAAAAAATCATTGATAAATAATATCCCACCAAAGACTTAACTGTTTGCCAAATAACAGTCATGCAAGTTTTAATAACAGCTTGAATTTTAGATTGCAGATCTACAGGTGCTGCAGATCCAAGCATCCATCGTCCTTTGCTCTACCCTCAGCTAGATTTACTCGCTATAACAAACGTTCAACAGCCCTCGTAAGTAATACGTTACCAAGAAACTGTAGCATAATGTTTTCAGAGATGTTTGTTCTTTATATTGCTGCTCTGCCACATACTCTTGGAAGGGTCTGTGAACGTTTGGAACAACTTATGATTTGCACACTCCTTCAATAAACCAGGAATGCCTAGCTTGGGCTCTAGATGCGTCCTGCCACACTTTAAAAATAGGTTGCTTCTGTAATACCCTTTGACCAATAATTAACAGATTTAATAACCCAGCAGCCAAAAGTATATTTAAGATTTCCTACCTGTCCTCCCAACCCTCACTATCAGGGAGGAACAGATGAGCCTTGCAGAATGCCTTAAAGGTCAATAAACTAAGACAGCGTAGGACCTAGGAGAGCAAGTTCCAAACCTTGCAGAGACCTTCCTGGCAGCTGTCCCCTTTTGGTGACCCTAGTGATCTCAGCTCTGGCACAAGGTGACAGGCAGCCAGTAGCAAAAAAAAATCTAATTGTATGAGTTCATGTTCTTCTGTTCATTTCTCAGTGACATTCCCTGTGTTAATCGTTACGTAGGTTTGCAACTGAAACACAAAACACAAGACAAAGCATCCCTGATGGTCATATCTATAGCAACGTGAGTAACAAGGATACTCAGAATCGCGTTCTTCAATGGCAAGTGTTAAAACAGAGGTCTCCTCCCTCTTGTTCTGCTAGCTGTTCAGATGGAAGTAAAAGATCCATCCCACAGCCCTTTTCCAAAGCAATAGGGAACAACCTCAAACACATTCTGTTCTGAAAGGTTCTGTGTGAGATGCTTGCTGTGGCCAGCTGGGTCGCTGCAGTTTGCCTAAGCCATTACTGTATGAGTAGTATTTAAATAATGGATGTATACAGCACAGTGAGAGAGCCACTCTTCAGTGTGTTTACTCAGCTATAAGTTTCCTCTTGCAGACCATCTAGGTACTGTAAGTTAAAAAAAAAAAAATAAAGAAACTTTAAGAAAGGAACCAACCTTCCAAACACAATGTAGGATAAATGGTGTATGTCATGGGCAAAATATCCCACCCACAAAGGCATGCATTCTCAGTTTAATATGAGGAATGTGTATGGTGCAGGGAAAGAAGATTGGATATAAAAGCAAAGGGAGTGGGGACCCAAATGAAATAAATGACTTGTATCAAACTCTGAAGACAGCCAGAGCGGAGGTTGCTCATCTGTTCTTCAGCAGACCCTTTGGATGGGGAGTTCACCATGTCCAAGAAAGATTGCTGCATTATTATCTATATTCTAGCAGCACCTAGAGTTCAGGGCTATGTCCTGCTAGGTTGAATCTCCTGGGTGAGGTAAGATCAACCCTGACCAGCCATAGCTGCAAAGCAGGGTTATAAGGAGAGAGGAAGTTACTCAAGTGATTCTTGCCAAGATTATGAAGGGCTTTCTATGATCACATAAGAACTTGCATTGTATTCTTTGCAAGCAGTGCAAATCTTGGGAGGCTGGCGTCACCCACTCCTTCACCCCTGCTGTCAAAGAGCAAGTGAACAGCCATGTACAAATCTCACAGCCTCTGGCTCAACGTATCAGAATAGAATATGTACAAGTAAATTATACAGATGTACACTAAAGTAATAGAAATATTGGCTTTAGCAGTTTTACATGGAGAACAGCAATAGATGATTGTTTTGTGCTGGCTGACCTGATCTGTAGACTTTGTCTGGTTTTACCACTTTACGAAATAAACAGTATAAAAAGGTGGTCTACCAGCATACAAATTTAAACAGTTTTTTGTTTGCACTGCCTGCTTACATACTAACTTTATTATGATTGATTTCCTTAGCTTGCCACTCTTTTAAACCCAGTGCCTTTGCAGACCGTAAACCTCCAAACTGTTAATGCCTCATCACTGAATGAGACAACACCAGGTGCATCACCAGCAGGTAATAAAGTCATTTTACACTTCAGTCCTAACCTCCACATTATGCATCTGTTTTCCCAGTGTCCCACAGGGACCTTACATAGTGTATCTGAGGGATCACCACAAAAAATCAGCAACAAAAACTAACGTGGTCCAAGGCTCTGTTTGATGACTTTGAGACGTATGCATATGTTTAATATTTAGAGTGTGAAAATGTATTGCGGATAATCAGTTGTCTTATGTCAATTCAAGATGCAAAACAAAGCAAACACTCATCAAGCGTGTTATTTGCTCACTTTAAAATATGTGTTCATTTGTCTTTTTCCCCCACCTCTCTTCAGACAAATCAAAGAGCAGTTTACAGGCACCTCATTATTATGAGATAATGGAATTTGACCCTTTAGCACGAGACTACAGCACAGAGTGAGTAATTTTGAAAATTACTAATCTGCAGTTTCTCACCGCCTTTTAGTAGTGTATGATGGAATGATTGATTGGACGAGAGAGACAAGGTGAGTCAGGTAATCTTTTATTTAGTGCTGTCAATTACCTGCGTTAATCCCAGACCCTCTGGGCAGGAGGGTAGCATGAGCTGCTCCGGAGAACCAGTCTGGTCAGGCACAGTAACAGAAGCCGCCACCAGAGGGTGGGAAGACAAGAGGCTCTGGAGAAAGTAATGTGGTTCTCACCCTGGCATTTTCAAAGTAAAAACAGGACGGCCAGGGGCTCGCTGGAGCCACCATCCCCACGCTTGCAGGGCTCGCCCGAGCTGCCCTCCCCATGCCTCCCGGGGCTGGGGCTGATCCCCCCGCCCATCCTGTGCCACCTGCAGCAGGCTGCGCCCCCAGTTCCGGTCCTCCCCCGGCTGAGGTTGATCTCTTCCCCTCGGCCCAACCCCCCTCCAGCTCTGCACTGCTCACGGTGGGGTCTCCCCCTCCCAGCCCTGTGTGGCCCGCAGCTAGGACTGGCCCCTCTCCCCCTCCCCCTGTGCTGCCCGGGGCCGAGACTGACCCCCTCCCCCCCCCGAGCTCAGGGGCTGATCCCCAGTCCCCCTCTCCCGAGCCGCCTGGGGTTGGGGCTGATCCCCCACCCCCAAGCTCGGGGACTGTGTCCAGGGCTGCCCGGAGTTGGGGCTGCGTCCCCCCCCCCCCCAGCTGTGTGCCTCCCCCGGCTGAGGTTGAGCGGGCAGGGGCAATGCTGCCTCTAGCTGATCCCCAGGCAGCAGCCGCCACCTCTCTCTGCTCGGCCTTGCAGCTGGGACAAATGCCCAGGTTTGGCGAAAAAGTAGGGACAGCCAGGACAGGGCCAAAACAGGATGCATTGGCATCCTAGCCAGCCCGGGCCCTATTGTTCCCGGCCAGCCCCTTACTCCCGGGGCCAGTCCCCCTGTGTCGTGTCCCATTGCCCCTAGCTGGCTGCTCACTCTGGTGTACCCCATAGAGAACATGAGTCTGGCGAACTCAGCCTCCCTGCACCAGCCTCTTCTCCCCTGCAGTATGATGAGTCCTGGGGTTAAAATCCACCCTCCCTTGCAAACGAGGGCTCACTCAGCTGAAGGGAGCCCACCTAGCTCGGTAAAAGGAAATGAGCCTGGTACGAGCCAGGTACCAGAAACCACCAGTCCAGAAGCAGCAACAAGACACCTTCCTTACCCTCCTCCTGCACAAGTCATTGCTTACCTCCCCTCTTCGCTGTCCTCCCCCAACACTGAATGCTTGTTTGTCTGAGCGATTGGCTGAACAAGAAGTAGGACTGAGTGGACTTGCAGGCTCTAAAGGTTTACATTGTTTCATTGTTAAGTGCAGTTATTCTTTTTTACATAATTCTACATTTGTAAGTTCAACTTTCATCATAAAGAGATTGTACTTCAGTACTTGTATGAGGTGACTTGAAGTTTCTTTTTACAGTGCAAATGTTGGTTATAAAAATAAATATAAAGTGAGCACTGTACACGTTGTATTCCTTGTTGTAATTGAAATCAATATATTTGAAAATGTAGAAAACATCCAAAAATATTTAAATAAATTGTATTCTATTGTTAACAGCACAATTAATAGTGATTAATTTTTTTAATCGCTTGACAGCCCTACTTTTATCGTATGTATTTCTTTTGCCAGTTAAAAATGTATGAGATTAATCAAATTGACGTAGGCATCAGGTGAGGGCGATTGACATTAATGGGAGTGGCTAAATTCTGTGCAGTTCTTTGAACATTCCTGGGTTAGCTAATTAAGCAATAAACCAGCACAGGGTGTTTTATTAATAGATAACTGGAAAAATAATGTGCTGAAAAATAATCTAGTTATCTAGCTAACTCTTGTTCAATGGCGTGAAAAGCTGAACGTCCAAGTACTGATCCTAGTGAGGGTAGCCCGCTATATCCTCACAGTATATACTAGCTCAGAGCTATCTTCTTTTGTAGTTTTAATGTATTAAAATCAGTATGTATTTGTTTAACTTTTTTGTTCTCCAGCCATTTTACTTCTGGAGACCTGAACTAAAATCCTATTTTGTTCAAAAGTGAAAACAAGTGTAATGGTGTCTCCTAGTGTCCCAGGTGGAGATGTGCAGTATTTTCACAAATTCACCACAATTAGCAGTGTGCTCAATTTTGAACGCTGGCTGTCCTGCCACTTCAACTGCTGTCTAGTAGTCACTTTAAACACTTAAGAGAAATATTCACACTTGAGCAGGATTTCACTGGCACATTTTTGCTGAATACAATGAAATGAGCATGACCTAGTATTTACCCTACTCTTCTTCTTCCAGAGCTGTTTATGAAGAAATTGATGATTATATCTCCAAACCCGAAGTTAAAAAGCATACAGATTGCTAAGAATGGAAGGTGAATTCTCTTAATGAACATAAAAGTTATTCTCTGATGCCAGCAGTAGACTGCTTTCTATAACTGACAAGTGAATACAAGGAAAAGTCTTGTTTCCTATTTTGAACACAGCAACAAATAAGCACTGGGGTCTTATGTGTTATCCACTTCCATGTGTTATGTTTGGATCTGCTTTCAATTCTGATCACTGCCACTTTATATAAGCTAAGTAAGGCCCCATGTCTGCACACACTTATTTTTCAAGGGGACTATTATTGTATGTATTTGCAGGATTGGGGCCTGGAACAGTTTTGTGTGTTTGGGGCCTGAAACAAAATTGTCTACAGAATAATGCACTCTGCTGCAAACTGAAGCAGAACATAAGCAGTCTTCAATTACAGAGGAAAGCTTTACTTCAAGATTAACTAACATGCTGAACTGCTTTGTTTTTTATGTAGCAAACAAAATTAAACAACTATTCATCTACAGTAGGGGCGGGCAAACGTTTTGGCCTCAGGCCCACATCGGGTTTCTGAAATTGTATGGAGGGCCGGTTAGGGAAGGCTGTGCCTCCCCAAACAGCTGGGCATGGCCCGGCCCCCCGGGACTCCTGCCTCATCCACCCCGTCCCCCTACTCCTTGTCCCCTGACCGCCCGTGGACCTCCCCGTCCCTGACTGCCCCCCGCCACCCCATCCAACCCCTCCTCTCATTCCTGACTGCCCCTCCGGGACCCATGCCCCATCCAACCACCCCTTCTCCCTGACCGCCCCCGGAACCCCTGCCCCTGACTGCCCCCTGCTGCCCCATCCAACCCCTCCTCTCATTCCTGACTGCCCCTCCGGGACCCATGCCCCATCCAACCACCCCTTCTCCCTGACCGCCCCCGGAACCCCTGCCCCTGACTGCCCCCTGCTGCCCCATCCAACTCCCCCTCTCCTTCCTGACTGCCCCCCCCCGGGACCCCTGCCCCCATTCAAGCCCGCTGTTCCCCGCCCTCTGACCACCCCGACCTCTATCCACACCCCCGCCCCCTCTCCACCACCCTGAACACTCCTGCCCGCAATTCAACTCCTGTTTCCCGCCCTCTGACCGCCCTGCCTCCTATCCAGACCCCCACCCCCTGACCACCGCCCCGAACACCCCTGCCCTCTGTCCACCCCCCCACTGTTCCCTGCCCCCCTTACCGCACTGCCTGTAGTATTCACACACTACAGCTGTGCTGCCCAGAGCACCAGGGCAGGCAGCCGTGCTGCCTATCTGGAGCCAGCCACGCCACCGCGCAGCACAGAGCACCGGGTCAGGCTGCGGCTGTGCAGCTGCGCTGCCCGGCAAGAGCTCGCAGCCCTGCCGCCCAACGCATTATGCCAGCAGCGCAGTGAGCTGAGGCTGCAGTGGAGGGGGAACAGCAGGGGAGGGGCCAGGGGCTAGCCTCCCGGGCCTGGAACTCAGGGGCCAGGCAGGAGGGTCCCGCGGGCCATAGTTTACCCACCTCTGATCCACAGGAACTGCATAACTCAATCTGTTTTTTAGCATTAGTGCTGTCAGTTGGGCAATTAATGTGAGCGACACCATCCAAAAACCTAGGAGGAGTTCTGTATCTAGGATCCTCCTATATTAGATCTATCGATGGTTGTGTGAATATACTTAGTATGGAACCCTTTTGCCTTTATATTTTGAATGCAGATGTTACTTCATTCTAAAACCTGTTTGGTTGAAGAGTCTATTGTAAAACAAAGGAGAAAAAAACACCCCTACATTTTACGCAAGCTTTCGTTCAACAAACTGATTCATGGGTTTTTTCTTAATAAGGACCCGCTCTGAGTTGGAGACTGAACACTTTCTTCTGGGTTTGTCAGCACAGGAAATGGATTTTTTTGTTTCTGTAAACTTCTCTGCTTACTTGTATCACACCACATCCTCACTTTTAATTTTAATGTGCCTCTTTAAAAATTGGGTATGAAGCAATCAACACTTTCCTAAGTGTTGTTTTTATTTTTCAGAGTGTTTAATCCTATGAGAAAAGAAAAATACCTGTAGTGATGGAAGAAGAGCAATATGGAAAAGTTATTTGATGATTGAATTATTTTAAGTACCTTGATCATTAAAAAGTGCTACTTTTATTTGCAGGGTTAAAGTGCCTTCCATATTTACACTGAATGTAAAATTTGCACTTTCATGAAAGACTTAATAGTGCTCTGAATTGAAAGTTGTGATATAAAACTTAGTTAAATAGGTTTTTGCGGCTGGCAAGTCAGATTAAGATTTTTTTGAATCTGTGCGTTTAAAGTTCGATTTTATTATTTTAACTTCAAAAATGTAAGCAATATTAAATTATATTAAGTTCACCAACTGTTATACTGTCTTTTATCATACAAAACCAGAGGAAAAACAAATTATCAGTGGAAAACTAAATCTTACCACTTGGACTTCTTACCAGTTGTCATTCATAAAGGGTGAAATACCCCTCATGGTAACACCACCCCACAAATACTTACACCGCTGTGTGTGAATGTAAGGTGTGACAGATATGTGGGTGGGGATGGGCCTCCACAATGGCCAACATGCCAAATTGCTCTAGAGAACAGCTTTCAAGCTTACACAGAGCTCTTCTTCGGGTCTGGAGCTCTGTGTAAGCTTAAAAGTTTGTCTCTCTCACCAACAGAAGTTGGTCCAATAGAAGATATAACCTCACCCGCCTTGTCTCAAATATCCTGAGACTGACATGGCTACAACAACATGCATGCAAGCTGCTCTAGTGCAGACAAAGGCCTTACAGTGAAATCACAGACCCATTTAAAAGAAACATCTTGTCTTTAGTCCGATGTGGTCTCCAGCTTCAGAATCAGGAATGGTTCATTTAAGTTTCATTGTCAGTAATCAGGCCAGAAAATAGAATTTCTGTCCCCTGAACATTTTTTCCTGAATTGGGACAGAAAATCAAAATTTTTCACTGGGTGAAAAGTCTCAAAATTCCATTTTAGAAGAAATGAAATGGAATTTTCCAGCTTGCTGCTCAACTCACTCCAATGCAAAATTCCCAGCCGGCTCTATGGCACTTGGAATTTCATTTTTTTTTTTTTTCTTTCCTCAGCATAGCTAGGCCAGTAAAAGCCCTAATGTAGCTAGTTATACAAGTGCTTTATGGGGAGACAACTTATTTCATTAACTGCAATAAGCTATACTCATATAAACTGCATTGATAGTAGGGGTGGGGAGGCTCTGCTGCTTAACTATGCTGACACAGATAAAATGGCAAATCTTAAGTGTAGACAAGGCTTAAGAGAGGGATCCATGGCAGTGTTCTCGGATAGGGCCCCTATACCCCTAGTATTTGCATGGTATGTAATATTCTGAGTTCTTTATTTATAAGGCATATATAACATATCAGTGGCCCATAGAGAACTGGGTGAAGTTGGTGGAGGACTCTGGGAGAAATTTTATTATTGGGATTTATTCAACTTTTGTTTGTGCTGCTATGGCAATAAAGTGTGTTTATTTTGAGTTTCTAACAGTCTGTCTAAAGCACCCAGAGCTCCAGAGGAAGCTCGTGGTTGTTGGAGTATACATTTGAAGAAATAAGTCAATGGCTAAATCTCCATAGACTTCTCTGGGGCCAATATTTGGCCCTCATTCTAGAATTTACAATCCTGCACAGGGTAGAGCTTTGCTTAGACTGTCCACACCACGTAAAAATCATTTTATGCAGCAGAACAATGTAACACTCAGCATAAAACTACTACAATAATTTTAATCAGTCTAGTTTAGATTTCACATTGTGGTATTACAAAAGATACACTGGATGCCAGTAAATATACAGTACAATAATGTTCTTTGTTTTGAAAGAGACTTCCAAGTACTTTAAAAACAACCAATAATTTGGATATACGTAAAAGTTGCACAAAAAATAGAGACAGGGGAACAACAAGAGCTCCTCTGCATAGCACTGTTCTTAAATCATATACAAATGTAATTTGCTGAGACCTAAATGATAGCAATTAGATATTTTGTCATGATTTCTAATGTGCCCCTTACGGTGATATCTGTATTCTGAAATACTACTTTTGGTATTACTTTTATCACGGCCCATGCACTAAAGGGAGGGTAGGAAGGATGGTCTAGGAGGAAAAGGATACTAGAGTGGGATTTGAGACCTGAGTTCCATGTGTGTGTGAGCTTGGGCATGTCATTTTCTCCACCCTTTGCCTCAGTTCACCCATGCATAAAATGAGGATAACTGCCTATATCACAGGGTTGTTGTGAGAATAAAACCCATTAATGATTAAAGATCGTGTGGAAAGCCATATTAATACCTAGAAAGAAGGGCAGGTAGGGAAGAACTATTCTGATCTAGTATTGTACTTCCTCACTGCTTTTGAGATAAGCTACATCACTCTTTGAGAGTCTTCTGTGAACATTTTTGCTACTTTCTTTGGGGCTTAGGTAGAAACCAGCAATGCAAAACATTAAGCTCTGGTTCAAAACTGCCATAATGTTACAATAAAAAATAACCCAGTAAGAGCTTCTATACCATCTTTCAAAGATATCAAAGTCTTCACAAATCAGCCTAATTCTCCTATAAGATATGCATGTAGAAATTATTCTCACATACCGCCAAAACGCAGCCACATCTGAGGTGAAACAGCAGCTCTTTAACAGTACACAACACTGTACTGCTGTTTACCAAAATGGAATACCATAACCTATTGGAACTGTGAGAGAAATACTTGTCTAACAAATAGCTCAAATTGTTTTCTGAAAAATAACCGCAAGTAGTCAGGACCTCTGTTGTGCATGACATCCAAACCCCAGTACCTCTAGCAGCAGTGACCACTGGTATCTGTCAGACTACATTAATTCAGTACAGTCTCAAAAGGAAGAGTTCCACCTAATGAATCATCAACTTCTTTTCCTGCACCACTTAAGTATTCTTTAATGACCAAAACTGATTTTGTTTCTCTCATGAGGTCTCACAAGATTAGGTAGAATATTTACTAGTAAGGGGTATTCCTTTTCACCTAAAATACAAGATCAGTTAAAGTTGTCTTTCTTCTGAAGTACCATAAGCTCTTAATCATTTTCAGGTATTAACAGTTTTCTTATCAGGTTTCCATCAACAGAGGACATTACAAACTCCATACCCCCAGATATTTAGTAGACAGATCTGTTCCTATCAATTGAATGTAAAGCTAAATCTGAAAATAATTGTTTTGAAGATTTCCATTTGCACTTACCCACAAAGATTTCCCTTTTCCTATGTATTCAGACACATCATTGGTCCTTCTATAGAAAGTCAAATAAAATCACACCTTAACAGCATATCTGTCATGGTTTAATAATTTAAAATACAAATTCATATTGTACAGTAGTTCTATGTGGTGTTTCATATCCTTCTGTGTCTTTGGAAGAATGTGTTTTGCAAAGTTGACAAATCATTTGGCTGCCAGGTACCAGAGAAACTACTTATTCATTGTATAGATAGTATATTATTGATAACCTGGGAGTGGCAATTTGTGTCCTTCTTTTGCTTCAAAAAAGGTGTAAGAAAGAGTGATCAGATCAACATTGGCCATTCTTGGGTCTTCAGCAAATTCAGGATCTATGAAAAAAAACACAGGCATGTCCACCTCCTCTTGGGGATTAAGCCGCTGTTCTTCAAAACAAAAGCACTGTACATGGTGAAAAGTGAGAACAGTTACAAAACAAATACGTACACGCTGCATGTTAAAAAACAGCCTTTGTATTCTGTTTTTCACACTGCTCGTACTTTAGTAAACTTAAATGTCTAATGGAATGAGATCTGTGATTGTGACGGGATAGCAGGTTCTCTCTTATACTGTGTTTTAACAGAGATCTGGTCCATGATACAAACTTCTCTCCTATTTGTGATTCATGGATCATCTCCCCTCTCTGGTGAGTAAATACCAAGAGGCAATTACAGCAATTGCTTAAATTGAAAAATTATATTAGGAAAGTATTTAATAGTTTTGAAGTGAACAATCAGTACCATATGACTGTTCAACCCACAAGTGCCCTCAAGATCGCTAGTGGTCCATCTTTTACACTTTGGGAGCCACTCTAATGGGACTTTTAGTACCCGCCTTCTATGATTTAGCCTAGGCTAAATACGTGAATTGATGCATGCCCATTTGGAAAAGGATAATGTCTGAAATACTGAATTTTTCAGTTTGCCAGCCTAGATTGCCTAACACGCCTTGGAGTTACACACTTCACCTACTTGTATTTTATTGAAATATTGTCCTGCTTCAAATGGAACCACGTTATATGTAGAGATTCCAATTACTGGTTTGTCTGTAGAATTCTTTGCTTTGTAAAATGCCAATGCAGTCTCTCCTGGTACAACCTGTTTAAAGAAAAATACAATTATTGTATTTAATTTAAGTTCATTACACCACTCTCACAAAGTTCTGTAAGACTTAAGTTGCTAAATTTATTCCAGTGATAATTTTTTTAGCTGCCTTAAAGACAGATTCACTGCAAGTTCTCTATTTCCTATATTCCCAACATTAGTGAATCTGGAAAAGTGATTGTAAATTAAAAACAGTATTGAGAACTAGCTTCAATATCCACACACAAAATTAATCATAATATGGATACATTTTGGATCTTATCCTACAAGATACTGGACTTCCAGGGTATATCTACACAGCCCATGGCAGTGAGCCTCCCAGCCTAGGTCAACAGACTCGGGCTAGCAGGAGTCCAATAGCCCTGTTGAAAAAAAATATCAGAACACTAATTGCAATAATGAATTCAAACAAACTGATCAAGGAACATGACTGACCTCATAAGAGCCTTTGTTGGTAACCAGTTTTAAACAGTAACAATATTATTGAAGGCAAAAAAAAAATCAATACAAAGATCATAATGCAAGAATACTGACAAGAAGAGAAAGTGCCCTACTTGACCTAAGCCCCAATGCTGACGGGAATTGCTTTGGCATGACAGCGTGAGCCCTGCAGGCTTCAATGCCCACCTGCATTGTAAAGTGGAAGACTGGGGCCCCAACTTGTGTTTTTACCCTTGTTTGCAGCCCATGCAATTTTTATTAACCTTTTCAAAAAACGATCTAAGAAAGTAATCTACAAACCACTGTGTACAGCGGCAACCGAGAAAAATATCTGGTAAGGAAAAATATTTTAATTACTGTTTTTCAATTTAAGAGGCAAAAATCAAACACCTACAATTATTTTTTAAATTATTCAAAAGCCCTTTGACAGTATCCTTTAAAGCTGTGACATTAACATTTATTAATTCAAATGAAAGTAGCGTCAATCATACTAGTCGAATGAGTGCTGAAAAATAAGACTCCCATCCTGTAACTACGTATGAGTAGTCCATGAATAGGCTTACCTATAGTCTTGATCCTGAAAAGGCTCATACCCATGTTTAAATTTTTTCAAGATCAGAGCTAATGTACTGTGTTAGCTCCTAATACAAACAAGTTTTAAAAAGTTAAGATTTGAAGCCTCAATTTTTCAGTTTTGTAAGGTTTTTTTGTAGTTTTGATAATCATTCTATAATGTCTAAATGAATTGTTGTGTAAGTTTCTTACGTATATTTCTGTTTGCTGAGGTCTAAAATTCCAATGTAGACTTGCATGCACATCAGCATTGAACGTGACCTTAATGATGCGATCTTTAACAGGTTCCATAGTCTCAATCTGGTCTGAATCATGGCCTGCTACTGCTGACCCACCTAATCCAGTAGCCTTTACAAAAAGAAAAGTTGTAGTTAGTGGTATTAAAATTGAAAACTTGATGGTATTTGAGGTACAAGAAAGTAAACAATTTCAACCTCTGTAGAAAGAAGGTTAAAGATAACAATAAGATCTAGTCAATTGCAGAGAAGAATTGAAAGTAGTGTCAGGTACTATTCTTCCCTAAGAGTCCCCTTACCAAATCTATTTCTTTTTCATTGATTTTTTTGTCCCTTTCCCATTTATGAAAGATTCCATCCAAACACCAGACTGTAGTGGGGAAAGTGAAAATTACCATACACACAGTAAACAAACTGGGGAAAGAGTAATTTTGTTACACTGCTCTTCTGAAACAATAATAAATAAAAATAACTAGGCAGGTGAATAACAGGGTCTTAGCCATTGACTAGACTCCTAGGTGCTCTGATAATACCATCAACAAACAACAGCAAGTGGAGGGCACGGATTTAAAATATATGGGGCAGAGGGAAGTGAGAACCCTGGGCCCTGCTAGAGCCTGATATTCAGGTACATCGATGCCTTTGGCAAGGCGGAGAGTATGTACACCGCACGCCCACCTAGCATAGGTATAAACAGCAGCGCAGACACAGTCAAGGTTTAGGTGGGGAGCGTGCCCTGCACGACTGAACCCTAGGCTATATACCCTAGACAGATCTCTACGTGCCCACCGCATCCACACTGGTATTCTCAGCCGTGTAGCGTCCTGCTGCTCGGTGCCTTCCCTGATGCCTCCCCCCGGCCAGACCCAGCAGGGACAAGAGCGGGCGCAGGCTGCCTGTCCCTGCCCTGGATAGGGACGGGGGTAGTGTATGCACTTGACCCACCGCCTTCAGCCTGGATGCGGCTGAGAGGGAAGGGGGGCAGCGGCCCTAACCCTCCCAGAGTTCTGGGCTTCGCTTGGGGGGACCCGGGGGGCTGGGCCGGCCGGCGGGGGAGTCCTTGGAGGGGCGGGGGGGGGGTCCTTGTCCCGGCCCTGACCTGGCAGTAGAGGCGGTAGAGCGGCACGGCCGCGTAGGACATGCCCACCATGCCCACGGCCGCGGCGGCGATGTAGGTCAGGACGGTCTTGTTCCTGCGTCTCCACTCCTGCTCCTGGCCTCGCGTGAAAGGGTTGGGGCGCGCCGCCCCCCGCGCCTGCTGGAGCCCGGGCCAGGCCTGGCGGCGGGGGGCGCTGCCCGGGGTCCCCGGCCCGCGGGGGCCCCATTGGCTGTGCGGGGCCGCGGTCCGAGGGCACTGGCCGCAGGCCCAGCCCCCCCGGGCAAGGGGCGCCCCAGCGCCTCGGGCCCAGACACTGAGCACGCGGGGGCCCGATCCGGCAGACACGCGCGGCAGCGGAAGGACCCCGAGGCACCTCCAGCTCCGCCCGCCCAGCCCCATCCTCCCCTCTCACGTGACGACCCGGCTCCGTCGGGCAGGGGGACACTTCCCACATGTGACGCGCTATTCTCGCGAGATTCGGAGGGTCAGGTGGCTGCGCGGCAGGGACCGAGCAGTCTCCAGACTCCGTGGCTCACAGTCTACGGCGGCCGCAGGGGGTAAGTTCGCGTTCTCGTTGCCCCGCCCAGGAGCTGCGGGGACGCCCGTCGGCTGGCGCGTGTGGCTCACCGGGGTTTCTCTGTCACTTTCACCAGGGCTTTGTGCTGACACGGTGCCTCCCCTCACACAGCTCCCAGGGGCGGGGGGAGCGCTCCCTATGGGGGCATGGCAGGGGCGGGGGGAGTGCTCCCTATGGGGGCATGGCAGGGGCGGGGGGAGCATCTTCATTGGGGGCATGGAGGGGGGGGGGGCGCTCCCTATGGGGGCATGGCAGGGGCGGGCGGAGCATCTTCATTGGGGGCATGGCAGGGGCGGGGGGGCGCTCCTAATGGGGGCATGGCAGGGGCGGGCGGAGCATCTTCCATTGGGGGCATGGCAGGGGCGGGGGGGAGCATCTTCATTGGGGGCATGGCAGGGGCGCTCCCAATGGGGGCATGGCAGGGGCGGGGGGGAGCATCTTCACTGGGGGCATGGCAGGGGCGCTCCCAATGGGGGCATGGCAGGGGCGCTCCCAATGGGGGCATGGCAGGGGCGGGGAGAGCATCTTCATTGGGGGCATGGCAGGGGTGGGGGGGGCGCTCCCAATGGGGGCATGACAGGGGCATGGGCAGCATTTTCACTGGGAGCATAGTAGGGGCACAGGGAGTGCTGCCACTGGGGACATGGTAGGGCGGGGGGGCGCTCCCAATGGGGGCAGGGCAGGGGCAGTGGGGGCGCTGCCAGTGGCGGCAGCTCAGCGTTGGTAAGAGCACTCCCAATGGGGACATGGCAATGGGAATGGGAGCACGCTGAATGGGGCTGGCCCAGGGGCGGCGGGAGCGCTCTGAATGGGAACGTTGCTGTGGGAGTGCACTCTTAGTGGGGCTGCCTCAGGGAAGGGAAACCATTCTCAACGGGGACATGGCCAGGGCCGCAGTTGCACTGTCAGTGGGGATAGCATGGGGAGCATTCTGCTTCTCCCAAAGGTCTGATCTTGGGGGAGTGTCACCCCACAAAACCCTTTTCCCCCCAGGGCTGTCCCCAGCAAAAATGTCCCTGCAGGGTCATCCACCAGCACAGGGAAGGCTCATGGCTGTTTCTCTAATGTGAAGGGACCCTTTGCTGCAGGGACATTTCTCGGGGGCTACATGCCATTATGTCGTTGTAGGGAAGTTCCTGTAGCCTGCAGTGTTTTGGGGGCTGTGCAGAACCTCACCACAGCCTCATGTCAGACTGTTTGCATTGGACCAAGCAAGCATTCTGCCATGGATTGCCACACTATGGTTTTAGGGAGTCTTGATGCAGCACAGTCAATGTTATAACATGGCATGATGGTACTTGGTTGCAATGTTTCACTGTAGTGCCTTGGTTTTTTGGCCAAGTCTATTCTATTGCATCATAATGCTTTCATGCAGCACACTGGCATTTTCAGGCAGTGCCCTTCTGTGAAGTCATGCATAGCAGTGAGTTGATGAAGTTCAGAGTCGTTGTAATGGCATCTTGGTACAGAGTGATGGATGTAATGATGTAATTCCATTTATTTGAACAAATAGTTGCAAATGGCATGGTTTTGGACGCAAGCCAAATTTTTGAACACCATGTCCGTATGCTGTGTCCTGATGGCTTTTTGCAGTGGGATCAAGTTTGAGTCAATGGGTTATATTTTGCTGCATTGTCACCCCATTGTGTATTGATTTGACTATATTTTGGTAGGAAACATTGACAGGTTGTGTAACATACCAATGTGATGTTAACAGCAATGATTTCATGACAATCAAGTTCACAGAAATTCACAAAGGTAGCTAATCCTAACTGTGTTGGCCCCGCCCTATAGGTGACAATAGCATTATCTAGAGAAGATGAATGAATAATGAAACCTTGAGCAAAAATTCCTGGGGAAGCTTAGTCTGTCTTTTAAAAAATTTATTTAATGTAAATATTTTTCTTTACTTTTTCACAAACATATACTTAAGGACAGAAAGAACAAATTGGTCTGTGTCTTTAAAAAGAAACTTTACATGTCCAACAATTGATGGAAAATTTGAAAGTGGTGCAAAGTGTTTGCCATTATTTAGGATGTGTGTGGGGGAATTGGGAGTATCAAACTCAAACTGAGGGCAGCTATGCTACAATCATTGTATTAGTTGATGGGTTTGAAAGAATACCAATACTTTTCACTTTTATGTAGAACTTCATCCAAGGAACTCAAGAGTTTTGCAAATTTTATTAGGCTAAACTTCAGGACACCTCTTGTGAGTGTAGGTACTTATCTCTACTGATTGGTAAATGATGCATGGATAAGTCAAGTTATTACTCATGCATTGGTTTTCTGAGAATTGGTTTTTGTTTTAGATTTTCAAAAGGCTTCAGAGTTGCAGAACAAGCTCTACCTGATTTTGGCTTTGTAATTACTTGGATTTTATCTGATGAAGTGAGCTGTAGCTCACGAAAGCTTATGCTCAAATAAATTTGTTAGTCTCTAAGGTGCCACAAGTACTCCTTTTCTTTTTGCAGATACAGACTAACATGGCTGCTACTCTGAAACCTTGGATTTTTATGATTTATGAGTTCCTTTTTTACATCACTTTAAGTCAAAACCCACACAACTGAAACAATAAGCTTTGGATCCTATAGTTGGGCTGCATTTTCAGAATGTGTGGCACATCTTGTTTTCAGGTGCCGCTCTAGAGGGTGACAAGCAACTGCACCAGATGTTGCAGATAATGAATTTGCTACCTTCTAAAATGAGGTATACCAACCCGTCCTGGTAACACACTGATTACACGAATCATTGAAGGACTCTTGTTACAATCAAGGACGCTTGTTTCTTCAGCCGAAAGGGGTGAAAACAATATTCATAATTCCCCTGGTTAACAGAAGGGGAAGAGATAGTAAAAGCAAGGGAGGACGAAGTAAGTCATGTTCACTTAAAACCAACGTGTTGGAACTAGACGTTAAATGAACTGGTAGGATATTTTCACACCAGTAATGTTCCAGCACTTTATCAGATGACTATAACCTAAATACATTCTGACATGTTTCTCATGGACCTTCAGTTTTGGTGAGGCTGTTATAGGAGTGACCCTTTTGCAAAGTTTCATTAACAATATTTAATTCCACCTTATATCCCATACCTGTATATCTGACTTTTTTAAAGGCTATAAAGGAAGACTGTGCTTTATAGCAAGTCCCAGAATCTGAAAATCTATGGTCCTTTACTGTATATGGAACTAGATGGAAAAACTCTATAATCAATATTGGAATAAAATCAGAGTTCATATTTTCTTCTTTAGGATTATATTGAGGTTCCTCTTACAATGTAATCATGATTACTGTATTGGGTTTCACAGAAGGTTTAAATCACAAGGGGTCTAAATCTGTGTAACTCTTCAGTGTAAATCTGGAGGAGCTCTATTTGTGCCAGTGGAGTTACTCTGAATTTATAGTGGTGCAACAAAGAACTGATCTGAGGATGTTAGGCTTTTGGTACTTGCTCCTCAGCAGTGAATTCATGAACCAGTTATGACCAGAAGTGATCTCTTCCCACTTATCTTCAGGCAAACAGTCTTAAACAAATTAGTATGAGAATTTAAAATCAAACATATCTGCAAGTTTCTAAAAGTGGTTTCTCCTTTTTAACAGCAATCTTTAATCTGGGTTGAGGGTCTGTCCTTTATCTTTCAGAATCTTCTATTCCGAACATTTAACAGTTCATCTAAGAAGATGGCCGCTACAGAGTCCCTAAATTTACATAAAAGGTAAATTTTGTTGGGTTACTGGATCAAGTTCTCATTGTTAGCCTTGGTTGGTGATAGTGTGTTGTTTCAGTGAGTTCTTAAAGGTAAACACAGTCCAAAGCAAGTTCTTAAAAATGTAAATATTTTAATTGTGTCAATTTCTTGTTCACAATGGCCCTAGAGATTGAAGGCCTCTGTCTTTCCATTTAAAAAGCTTCCCCAGATTGCCACACAATCCTCATCTCTGCCTCAAAGCAGCGACCCCTAAGGGTTGGAGAATAATTCAGTCAAGTCCATTCATTCCTCAGTTTCCCTACTGAGACTACCTTAAGATTGCAAAATAGTACCAACTCTGGTTATATTTTTTTAATGTAGACACATGTACACTTGATACCAGATGGAGACCACCAAACACCAAATAAAAACAGCTTTTAAATCTTTCAGTCATTTAACCGACACTGGTTGCAAACTGATGCCCTTGAGATGAAAAGCTGCATATATTATAATTATAACCAATATTCCCTTGAAAACTTTCCTGTTGTAGAATATCATGCTATAAGTTTACTGAAGATATGTATTTAATGAGCTTCTCTTAGGAATGAGCCAGCAACAATAAGGTCATGCAAAAGATGGAGTTTATATGTTATGGCATGCTACTTCTCTGCATAATAATGTTTGCATTTGTCTGTCTTGTTTTTTTCATGCAAAAATCTCCAGTGTTCTAGAAACATTAATTAACTTCCTAACAACTCTGTCTCAGAAGTAAGTTTTATATTAATTGTATAAGTGGTTATAGTGAAATCTGACCCTTAAATCAGCTGACCCTTAAATCAGCTGTTACTGAACCAATGGAACCTTTCCATGGTTAGCTCAAAATAAATAGCATTCAGGAATCCTAACTCACAGATCCTTCTCAAACCACTAGATAACCATGCCAAGCATGTCAGCAAAAATGATAATTTAAAACATACACAAACAATTTGTGCAGAATTGTATCATGACTGTTGTGCTCATGCACAACTTGCTGGGTTCTGCTCTCAGTATTGGCAAACTAACTTACCATATTCACAAATTTGTAAGGATACTGGCAAAAGATAAGCAGATTAATAGCCATTTTAATTTCAGTTGTATTGGAACCTGAAAGAAGAAAACTGTATATTTGCCAGATGGAAAAGTACAAAATCAATAAAGAAATAAATTTTCTTTTTGTTTCTTACAAACAATTGAAAATTAAAAACAAATGTCCTATGCAGCACATGGCTGTATCCTTTTTAAAGGGCCAAAGAAACTTAGCTAAATATTCTTCATAGTTATCTGCATTGTCACTGATACCAGATCATGGTTCTTCAGAAAGCTTGACTATTATTTTTTGAACAGTGGGTGTGTACATGAAAAACATGAACACAATTGCATTCCTCATTTGGGTGTGCTATGCAAGGATCATAGTCGTGCATGTCTGGTCATTTGTAGATGTAACTTACCCAGTTTCTCTGTGTCGATGCAGGCACATGCAGATTAGGCACAATCTTTGCATGTGACGCTTCACAATTTTCTAATATATTTAGATAATATGATGATGTATCAATAATACACATGTTCAGATGCTAATTGAGATTTACAGGAAGTTTAAACATTACATTCCTTGTGTTTAAAATAGCTATGTAGAAGGGAATAGACAAAAACAATTCACATTAAGAACGAGGAGTCTGGTGGCACCTTAAAGAATAACAGATTTGTGTTGGATAATTTGTTAGTCTTTTAAGGTGCTACCGGACTCCTCATTGTTTTGGTGGATACAGACTAACACGGCTACCCCTCTGATTCTTGGTACAATTCACATTGTTGTACTTTGTTGCTTGGGCCTATTTTCTCATATTTTTTCTAGATTAACCATGTGTCATTTAATGAAATATATGTTTTAATCTTTCCAATGACATATTCCGCAATTCTTTTAAAATTAATTACTATTTCATGATAGAGCAGTTGCAAGTATTTTTCCATATTATATAACAAAGCATTCACCTGGCTAAGGGCCATAACATCTTAATGAATTTTCACCCTTTAAGGTTTTTAACCTGAAAGGTTACTGTTATATAATTGACTTCTGTAGGATTTTTTTTCCCTGATTTAATTTATCATTGACTTTTTTTTTTATGAAATAATTCCATGATTCTTGCTACCAAGGATTACAGGATTATTTAGCAGATGATAAATTACCTGAATATGTCTAACCTCAGTTGCTAACTGGTAATAAAATATAATTCGAGAAAAGTTATCACATAATGATACCATCAGTAATTTATAATTTATATCTGTTCAAAGAAGAATCTTAATCTCTTTGTCTAACATGTTGTGTGTTCTTATCTATTCATACTAGAATAACATGAAACGTCTATTAAATTTAATTTTCCTCAGAATTATCATCATCACTTTATGCATTATTTGTTTGGGTAGTGCCCAGTTATATGCTAGGTTCTTTCCAGACATACAAGTGATGTCATGACCTGAAGGAGTTTGTCTGAAAGAGAGATGTAGACAGAGGTCGGGAGCAACAAAAGAGATTTTCTATGTGAATCAAAAAGATTCACTAAAGGTGGAAAAAGAGGGACTTAAACGTGGAGAAGGTCAGGCCTTGCAGATGAGTTCAGAGAGGCTGAACAATGCAGAAGTGCTAACTGGAAGAAGGTAATGTAATTGTTTGAGAGACTGACAAAAAGATGGACAAGGGTGGGAACAAGTTGATAGAGGAAGATAAGTACATTACCCTTGTAATGTATTTAATAAACTAAGAATGCTTAAAAGATATAAATATTTTCTGATGGAGTTTTTATAGCATGAACCAACTTTTCTGATTTTTAGAAAAGACCTTTCTCAGATTTTTAAAATCAATTTCCTCAGAAAAAACCTAAAGGATAAGAAAAAGATGGAATTCCTCCTATTTGGTTAGATATTGCAAGGAAATCTTTTATCTGTGGTTAAGAAAAATGAACATCTGTTTGTGATTTGATTTTTTTTTTTATGAGTACATAAAGCCTTGAATGACATTTTTACTGGTTAAATAGAAAACATGACCCTAAATAACAACAAAGCCTTGTCTATACAAGGGATATTTTTGCAGAAAATTCCCACTGTTGATACGACTGATTCAGCTCCATTGGTTCTGGTAACATTGGCAGCTTTGCTGTAAAAAGGCCGTTAGTGTTCTAAGCACCATGTCAATTAGATATGGTTTTAGCAAGATTACATGACATGGTGCTTAAAACACTAACAGCCTGTCTACTGCAAAGTCCTAATGTTGCTAACACTGGTGGAGCTAAACTGGAATAAGTAAGTCTACACTGCCAAATCCAGGTCACTGAACTTATGAGAGTAGTCTTATTGACCCCATTGGAACTCCTTACATGAACATGGTGGGAGTCAGGAGATCTGGGTTCTGTTTCACCTTTGCCAGCGATCTGCTGTGTAACCTTGGGCAAGTCACTTTACCCCTCTGCACTCCTCTCTCTCTTCCCATAATCGCTTCAAGTCAGGGACTGTCTCTTTATGTGTGTTTGTACACAGTGCCGTGCTTACAGTGAAATTTTTTTTTAAAAGCCTTCCCTGACAAAAATGAAATATCAGCCGAATGTGTGCACTACAGCTTTTAAGAAGGAGGCACTCTCTGGCATGTGCGCCCATTTCTAGGATAGCCACGGCACCCTGCTGTGCAGTTCCAGACATTGGCAGATGCTATTTTGTCACAGTGCTGCTCTCTACTTTCGAGGGGATTCATTTTCTGTTGAAACAAAGCTCTGAGGTGAGAGAAACACAGAGAAACTGAGTATTTCATTTTACAAAGAAACGAAAGACAGGCGAATTGAGCTCTTCGGTCAAGTGTTTTTTTTTTTGTTTTTTTTTTAGGCAAAGGAGGAGTGAGGCGAATTTACGTACTCATTTCCTACCTCCACAAGAAACATTTGTGAAATGTTAAAATGGTATGAAATAATATTTTGCCAAAATATTCGACGTTGAATATCTTTAAAATAATACACGTCTCGCTCTAGACTAGAGTATGCCTGATATCAGACAGGTCTTCTGTTAGATTAAGGAGAACGGCTCTGCAGGTTTCCTTCTATCATAGTACATTCCTTCAAGCATTCTTGCTGTCGGCCCATTAGATTTTATCTAGAGTGGACAGATACTGAAATTCTATTTGGCTTTAGTAATTTGTTAAAAGAAGTGTCTCAGGATATTGGCACTGAAAATTGTGGGACAGCTTCTGGGACCCCTTTGCATGGTTTTATGAAAGCTCCCCACTTCACTGTTACTTTGTTCTGTACATTGAGATGTATTCTGACTATTTTGTGGGGATCTAAATCAGAGACCACCTCTGTTCTCTATCAATTTGTCTGTTGCTTTAAGAAAACGAAGTAAAAGGCAGGATTACTAAAATGAATTGGAGAGAAAGAGAGGAATATTGGAAAGAATGTTTATGAGATAATTTTGAAATGTGACTTAAAAGGGAATTTTATTTTCTGCTTACCTGATCACAGGGAAAAAAAAGTAAGAACAACAGGAAAATATTCCTTACATTTTGCTATCAATTTTCCATAAAAAGAGCATACATTAAAAATATTATCTATAGCATTTACTTCAGTCTGTATAAAAAGAATAAATTGTCAAGGTAATAATCCGGGTTCTGCATTAACGCTTGTCTGCTGTGGATGAAAACACTAGTGTTTTTTTTTTTTAACTTGGCTTTAATTCACTGCCATGACTGAGAGTACACAATAGTGTAATGAAAACGACTGATGGTCTTTGCTGTTTCTTTCATGGGTGGCTCATCTGTCTGTCTGTTGCTTAGTTGGCTTTCTTTTTGTGTGTGTAATCCAATCTATTAGGAAGATTGCTTTAAAAAGATCAAAGAGAGGGAGTTAGCTGTATATTGTACTTGACCCCATCTGGAGGATCATCTGGAGGGGGTAAATTCTAGGATATGTAAAAAAAGATGTATCTTATCAGTGACCTGTCTGCTGCCAGATGGACATGCAGTATCATCATTTAATCATATTTGAGGCTAATACGAGTAATTTTTCTCACATTTGTATTTTATGAGACTTGAAGGTTGCTACAAATCCATATCCCATAAAGGGAAAAAAGTAAACATTGCTTTGATAGGTGAATTAGCTCATGTGACGCACAGGGTTTCAGAAGAGATTAAATAGAAAGAGACACTCATCTCAGTCTCTGTCTGTTGAGATTTTTTAGTTGGTAACAGAAATTGTCCAGCATGTAATTGTTATCCTACTGAATTAGAAATATTGAGTGTCTTTTGGATGCTTTTGTTCTTCTTTTCACTGGTGTCTTGAAGAATGTCCCTGCTTTCACTGATGGATGAGGATGAACCAGAGCGTTTTGATGGGCTTTCTCTCTTGTACTGGTATGCCAAATCATTAGGTTTTAATAGCATTTTCATAGTGTGTGAACTAACAAAAGTGCAGTAAAGGTATTTTGAAATCTGTGACTCTTTTTAGTTTTATTTCAGTACACTAGAATATCAAACTTTTAAACCCCCTAATATATTGTAGGTAACAAAACAACAGAACAAAGTACTGAAGGTTTAGTTTTAATAGCTATTATTAGGATTTTACCCCACAGCTATTAGCACTCAGAATCTGTTCTGGCACTAAATATTTTAGTCTGAGTGTGAGGTTTTAATGGGTTTTTTGTTTCTTCTGAGAAATTTCAGCATCACTCAATTATACATATAGCACAAATGTTCTGTATTCTCACTTAGGTGGTATTTGGTGTCAAGATTTACTATTTTTACTTGCTTTTTCTCAATATGTAAAACTATTTAATAGTATTTATGACAAAATTTTGTAGGAGAGAAGAGAATGATATATCAAATATTGTATGGTTTATATTAACGATCAGATTTAATCTATTTTTTCCTTCTACAAAGTACACTAAAATGTGTTTTTAGTTATTTTTATTACTGCTACTGGTTACTCTTAGCACAGTTCAGGAATAGTTTTTCTTTTCTATATCATTTTACTAGTATTGGGCAGGTCATTAACATTTTTAGATGTTAAATAATCAAGATTAATTGATTATTCTGGTGACATGAAAAATATTGGGGGTGAGAATTTCCAAAGCATCTTAGGGCCAGATTCTCAGCTGGTGTGAATGGTCATAAGTCCGTTCTCTTCAGCAGAGCTATGACAATCTGATTTGTAATTACTGCATTTTGAATTGCCAGCAGTTTTCTTCAGAATTTTATGAGCAATCATTTCCATTCCAACCTTCCCCCATATTTTACATACCTCAGGGCGACTTAATAAGTTTAGTATTTGTATCCATTGTGTTACCATGGTTTGAATACCACATACCCACAGAATAGTTTTGGTAATTTTTAGTGAAAGTAGTATAGAAACAACTTAATGCCCAATGTGAATTCATGCTTTGTGCTGTTCTTAAATCTCATTTTTACATAATATATGTTTGCAGATGGCATTTATATATATATATTTAGTGACATCTTATTCTCCTCCCTACAGAGGGGTTTTTCTTAGCCTCCTGTATATTCTTTTCACTGTAGCAGCATCTTCTTGTAGAGCATATTAATCTTTTGAAAAGATGTTTCCAGTATTCAGTTTGCTGTTAGATATTTAAAAGCGCATTTTTATTGGAAATGTCCCATACCAAAGTTAGATTATTCTTTATTATTTTATAGTGCTGCAATGTGTGTCCTAGGGCTTGGCTACACTTACATTTTATAGCGCTCTAACTTGCTGTCTCGGGGGGTGAAAAATCACCCCCCGAGGGCAGCAAGTCAGAGCGCTTTAAAGCGTGTGTAAATGGGCTCCGAGTGCGGAGCCAATCCCTCCTGGAAGTGGATTACCAGGAGCACTGGGAGAGCTCCGGCAACAGCGCTTTGAAGTTTCCAGTGTAGCCATGCCCTTAGGCTCTGTTATTCTGGATGGTTACTCTGTTTCTTTTCAAGACTGAAAAGTTAGCCTAAATTCCAGTCCTGTAAATCCTTCTGGAAACAAAATTCCCTTGCATAGGAACTTCAGCATTGAGCTTCGAAGTTTGTTCTTGCATTTTTATATGATAATACTAAAAAAATTATGATTGTGGTGAAATTGACTTTAATAATATTCAAGGCTTCTTCTTGTTAATTAAGTTATTTATGAACCAAAGACCTAATCTATTGACATAACCAGATCCGCCACCTTTCAGCCTATGTTTGGATTAACATTAAAAGATCAGGAGAAAGTAAGTGTTCTTTATGGCTATTCTAGTGTATTGAAAGCAATTACTTAGAGAAAGATCAAGTTGAGCTCAGATATGTATTCCTTTTTCTTTATTTTTTTTAGTAAATAAAAAATACTTACATAGTGTCTCTGGCTTTGCAATATGTGAAGCAGTGGGTGCTCTGTTACATTTAAAGGTGTTTGAGAGCACTACAGAGCATTATACTATATGTGACTAGTACAAAAAGCCGGAAGATGAGACTGTAGAAGGAAAAATGCTCTAACTTGAAAGTGATGTGATTCTTATTTTTTGAGCTTTTCAATGATAAAAACACACATTTATGGTAGACCTGTAAATGCTAATTATTACTCACCTTCCTTATATATTATTTTTCAGCTTCAAAGCCCTTTACAGATATTAATTAATGAATCTATCTAAACAATTCTGTATGGGGAAAAATTTGAGAGAGGAGTCATAAAAATGTCTTCTTCCAGAATAGATGTTTCCTGCTTCCCAAATTATCACCATGTAATCATAGTTTTGCTCAATTGTGCATGGCTTACAAAAATGAATTCTCAATCAGCAACGCAAGTATAAATTACGCCAACAAATACATTTTCATTTCCGATCATGATAAAATATACTAATTAGGTTTCATAATTTTGTTTGAGCTTTCAGAGTAAATACTGGGGTGAAAGTGAGTTCTCACGAGCATCTGAGGCATAGTTCTTAAAAAGTAGTATTCCCTTCTAGTTCCTTCTTGTGACTTGGGGTAAAAGGCCCATTTAGCAAGTCTTAAGGACCTACAATCCAGAGAAAAGCTTGCTTGTCTACTAGGTTGGCTCTCTTTTCTTTCTTTGTGGGTATTTTTTAAGCTAATATTTTCAGGTTATTAGGGGTGTGTACCTTGATAAGTGCAGACAGACCTCAGTGCCACTTATCTTGCATATGACAGCATGATGGGCACTATGGAGCTAATAATTCCTCCTCTTCTGTAGATGCTGAGGCCCCTGACAACAGAATTGATTCAGTTCTGTTGTGCAAAAAGGAGAGAGCAGAATTTGGAGTGTTGCGTTGGATATATACACCCCAGTATGTTACCTTGCACCTGGATTCTCCTGTCCTCCCCCTTTCCTCTAGCTCTGCAGCTTGCCCTGACACCAGCTCCTGTCCTGGCTGAAATACCCAGCATATGGCTTGGTATACTGGTTGTGTGCTGGATGGGAGGCTTTGAGTATATGTGTCCTCCATTCTGATCTTCTTTTTCTTCATTGTTTGTGTATTGTAGTTGTTCTGATATAGAAAATAGAAGTAACCATCTAATTTAGAACCTTATTTATGGCATGCCAGAAAATCTAAGCAGCACTGCTGCATTCTTGTTTGTTGGGGCTGGCAGATCCACCCTAAAAATTGAACAACCGAGTGAGGGTGTTTTTTGTAATGCAAGTTTGGGTTTGTTTCAATAGCCTGCATTTGAATAAAAATATAAATGGATAAATGATGCTTGGCTAGCGAATACCAATTTGTACCCAGATTTTTAAGGCTTTGTCTGTTGTTAGATTAGTCTTGGAAATATTTTCTACGGGATTATACATTCAGGTCCCAAGATTATCATTTTATTTTGTGATTTTTCCCCCCCTTAATTCTTGACATCGTGATTTTCAAGAGCATTAAAAAAAAATCCTCTGCTGTTTGGCAGCTCAGACAGTCTGCCCTTATTCTCACCTCTGGCATTCTGTGTTTGGAGGTGGCGTTAAGAGTGAGGCTTTCATAAATCAAGAGAGAACAAATATTATTTGATGAGAAAAAGAGAGATGGTAGGAGGAAGAACACTCCTAACGAATGTCTAGAGAGTTGTGCTCTCCCCTTACTTAACTTTGGAAACATTTTTGTGGAAACCACTACAGCCATGGGTATTTTCATCTTAAACACTTTAACAAAATCTCTCCTGGTTGCCAGCTGTCCTGTTCTAAATAGGAGCACAGTTGTTGTTATTATTAACCCTCTTTTCTGTTATCCTGAGTAAGGCTTTGGTAAGAAATACTTCATTTTAAAAAGACAACCCAAAACCTCCACTGTATTTTAGATAGTACTACTTTACCATCTGTTTTTGATATTCAAATGCCAGAGCATATCATCTTGTCTTTTCATTTTTTCATCTGCACAGTATTTACAATACCCAGTGAAGAAAACGTTTGCTTTTTTTTTTTACTGGACGTATAATAGCAACTGCTGTAGTTTGTACACATGTATATTTCTCCAAGTGAATCTTCATGACTAAAATTGCAGCAGCTCTGATTTTATTTATTTATTTTAGGACTATTATGGGACCTTATGGAATCAATCGAGCTGTTCACCGCATTACTTTTTCTGACTGTCAAAATGGATTAGGTAATTAGATTACATATTTGACTCTAACAGAGTGAAATTTTGAGAGGTGCTGGGTACCTGCTGGGCATTTGCAATTCACACTGATATCAGTGGGAGTTGAAGTTTCTCAATCTGTTGTGATATTTGACTGAATGTGTTCGGTGCAATGGAGGGAATGACCAGTTTCTTGCTTATATCTGTTTTTCAACAGGTGTTAAAATTATTGGAGGTTATCGGGAGCAAACTGAAGAAGACTATGGCATTTTCATAAAGAAAATTTTGCCTGGAGGGATGGCTGCAATAGATAGTAAATATTTACTGTTACGTATTCTGTAGAATCCTACATTACACAGGAAGCTGTCAAGAAAGCAAACTGTCTTTTTAAATTTTATTTCCAGTATGTACACACACAGTAATGTGTAGGTCAGCAAAGATTCATCATTTTCCAAGGGGAGCATGTGGAGGAGTCACAGTAATGGACATCCGTTTAAATCTAGATCAGGCCAGTATGAAATCAGATTGCGATCTGTCCACATCGTCAACTTTCCAAACTGTGAGATGCTGAAAGCTCTCAACTCCCAGTGGCTTCAGTGGGAGGTAAGGGCATTCAGCACCTTACAGGATCAGGTCCTGTGTTTATATATTGTTCTAATAAATTCCGATTAATGTTCATGTTTTAGGTGATTTATATGGAAGGACCAAACTGTATTGTATAGAGTTTAGACTGGGGAGAAAATTCCAGTGTATACTAGGTTCAACGAGGTTTCAAAAACTTGGTCAGGCCTTGTCCACACTAGCTATTGGGGGGTAAAAAACCAAAAACAACTTTTCCCAAGTTTGTATTTAAAACTGCTCAGCAAACACATTTTCTGCACTCATGTTGACAGAGCCATTGAGTGGTTCAAACTAAGAACTGCTTTGAAAGCTATTATAAACATCAAGAAACACAAAAATGTTTAATTTATATATGATAACCTACATGTAGTCATCAATTTAAAACTCAGCTGACAGCTAATTCCACACCTGTGGAGCATAATCCTACAAATATGCACACGGTGTGAGGAGTCCCGTTAGGATCAATGGAACTACTCATGGTAGTAAAGTTAAGCACATGCTTAAGTGTTTGCAGGATCAAGGCCTACGGTGATAAAATCATTCTTACTTTTGCTCCAATCTAATCTAATGTAATAGGAGTGTATTTTCCATTTTTCCCTGTTCATTCGTATAGCTTTTACGTGATATTTTGTTAATCTCCTTATCAGGCCGATTGCTCACTGGAGACCTAATTTTAGATGTCAACGGAGAAAACTTAGTTGGTGTAACCAGTGAAAGGTATGTTCATAAAGATGACTAAATATTTATCTAGAGCTTGGAAAAATGTTACTAATACTGGTGTTATATAGTCAAAGACTTTGGACCCAATTAAACACTGATTAAAAGGATATAACTGCACCAAGTCCATGGAGTTGCACCTGCAGATTGTCCCAGAGAGCTCAGTATAGCTGTCCTGACTCAACAAAACTATCATTGACATTAATGGGAGTTTTGCCTGCGTAAGAGCTGATTAAAGAGATTTCATGTTGTAGTGTAGGTTTGCAGTATATATGTGTAAATTCATACCGAAATAGTTATTGAGCTAATAAAATATTTTATTTAACATTACTGTGATTATCATGGTATTTGGCTGGATATCCATTAAAGCAAGTGATTTGGTTATATATGCTAATAGTTGGCACTTCTTGTTCTCTCGGGTGGCGTAATTAAGGCAGAGAAGTTGCCTGTATTGTTTATGTGGTGTGATATATAGGGTCTGACTATTGGCTGTCCGACTATTACTATAAAGCCCAAAACATTGGTAGAATTAGGATTTATATTAAAAATAACCTCCTCCCCCTCAAATAAAACTACTATAGTACAGATTAAAAAATAAACAAACCAGAGTTGAACGGTACAAAATTAAAAGCCAGCTTTTACCCCATACAAACTTTTTGTGCCATATGATAGCCCAGGTCTTAAATGGAATGATGTATCAAAGGCATATTTCCAAAATGGTTTGTCTGTTAAGATAAGAAATTGTTCCATTTTCTGCCATTTTAATTCTATGTAGTGGATACAGAGCCCTTGCATTCAAACAGTGAAAATAGGCAGATTTACTTTTTTAATTGTTGTTGGCTTTTTTTCCCTTCCAGAGCTGTTGATGTTTTGCGAATGGCATCAGCGACTAATCACGTGTCTTTGCTGATTACGAGAGATGAAGAAGCAAAGTAAGAGAGTTAAAATGTTTATATTAAAATTACCACTACAGCATCCCTCTTCCTCAATAAACCACTTTCACTAAAATATTTGTTCATATACTGATGTTTTATAAATTTGGGATTACTCTTGAGATATCCACAACGTAATTTGTTTTTGTGTTTTGCGTAAACATTTTTATAGCATAATCCATTTTCTCAGAGTACAGTACAGAGGTTTTTGTTATCTTCCCCCCCCTATGCACATGTAGTATACCCCAATCTATGATACCAAGATGGCAGTGGTGAATTGAAAGTTCATCAGTATATTTTCTATCTGACTTTCAGGGCTATGCTGTCTACATTCCATGAATATATGAAAACTGGTCTATAAGTCAAACAGGAAATATGAATCCTGCTCACCATAGTCAAACGATCAGTCCCAGTTAGTTCAGTGGGACTACTCACATTAGTAAAGGCTGCAAGTTCTGACCCATTTATATTTCATGAATAAAGTCTAAATGTTACATGGTACAGTTAATAATACTATAAAGTATTTGCTGTCGTCATAATCATGATTTCCTGACTATTTGTTGTCTTTTTAAAATATAAGACGTGGAATTAAAAAAATGATTAGTATTTGTCAGTAGAACAACTTTAATTAGTGCCAGGCATCTGAAAATAAAGTCCTTGCATTTGCTTTTTTTCAGAATTGGCTTTTCAGTCTCTTACTTACAAGCTCTGAATTTTCAGAGGAACAGCCGTGTTAGTCTGTATTCGCAAAAAGAAAAGGAGTACTTGTGGCACCTTAGAGACTAACCAATTTATTTGAGCATGAGCTTTCGTGAGCTACAGCTCACTTTTAAGTAGGTTAAACTATTCAGTGGAGCAGATAGTCCAAAATTCCTACATTATAAGGACAGTTACACTAAAATATCCCTTTAATCTTGTTATCTACAGATAATCATATAAACCAACACTGGCATAGGAAATGTTGGGATGAAAAGAAGCCAGAAAGCCCATCCAGGTCTATCCCCCATTTTGATTTAGCAGCTGTTTCCTCCAAATTTTTATGTAACTATATTTGAAAATCATTAAAGAGTTGCTACTCTTGTTACCTTTCCTAGGCTCTTCCATTTATTAACTGCCCTCTATGTAAAGAAAGTCCACCTAAATTCCTTTAGAGCATGGCCTTTCTTAATCTTATGCTTGTGCCTCTTTATTCCTGTATTTGACAGTAGTTCAAATGGCTTTGTAGCTTCTATCCTCTCTCTCTTCTTCAGACTGTTTTAGATAGCTCTGAAGTTCACTCTTAATCTGCTTTTATCCAAAGCATACTGACCTAGTTCCTCTAACCTTCTTGAATAATTAAAATCCATGAGCCCCAGTATCATTCGGGTGATTTGTCCGGTGACAAGATCTCCACTAGCTATTTTAAATGTGTCCTCACTCCCTTTTAGAACTCTCAGTTAATTTCCTTCCACTGTACATATATATTATATTAAATACTTCATTTATACATAAGTTTTTGTGTATATGACTAGAACCTGGTGGTAGATAAGCACCAGTTAAATAAGTATATTTGTATTGCTATTAAGCAGTGTACCAAACTGTGATTTGAGTTGACCCTGTGTAGTCAATGGAATTACTCTGGAGTTATGGTGCTGTAACTGATATCACAGTCTGGCTATTCATGTTACCTCCACCCTAACTCTGTGATATTTAGTTTTCTGGTGTTCATGGTTCACAACCTTTTAGATATAAGCCCTCCCCACCTTTTTCTTTTTTACTTTTACCTTTATTCCTGAGGTGGTGGTGGTAGTAATGACTACATTTTACAATCTGATTTTTCTTAAATGAAGGTATAATCAGTGTTTGATTAGTAGGGATTTTTTTCTTAATTGAATAAATAATGTTTAATAATGGATTTGCAGGGTCAGCTTTAATTATTTTGTTGCTAATTAGTCCAAGAACTATTTCTGAAACTTCAGAAATGTTTGGAAATAGTAATTAGTTGATTTCTACAGAGCCAATCATGTAAATATTTTTAATACAAAGGAGGATTCACAGATTTATGAGATTCATTCTGCAACCAGCTGTATATTCAAATTGTGTATTCCTCTTGTGGGGGAAGAATCCAAAACATACCTGTAGGTATATAGCACTAAGTATATGAATCTTGGAAACTAATGCCCAGGGATTTATTTATGAAGTTTACAAAGAGGAAAGGAGCCACAAAAAGATGAAGCTGTGGATTGAGCCAGAGGCCTAGATTTTTGGGAGCTGACTCTGAAAAAGATATGGGGGTCATGGTGGATAATCAGCTGAACAAGAGTTTCCAGTGTGATGGTGTGTCCAAAAGGGCTAATGCATAAATGTGCCATCTCGAGTAGGATTAAAAAACGTCATTTCACCTCTGTATTTGGCACTAAAGTAACTGCTGCTAGAATACTATGTCAGGTTGTGGTATCCACAATTCAAGAAGGATGTTGATAAATTGGAGAGGGTTCAGAGAAGAGCCACAAGCATGATTCAAGGATTAGAAAAAATATGCCCCTTATAGTGATAGACTCAATGAGTTCAATGTATTAATCTTAACAAAGAAAAGGTTTAAAGGGGTAATTTGATTAGTCTATAACCGGGGTTCTTCAACTGGGGGTCGGGACCCCACACGGGGTCGCGAGGTTATTACATGGAGGGGCGAGCTGTCCGCCTCCACCCCAAACACGGCTTTGCATCCAGCGTTTCTGATGGTGTTAAATATATAAAAAGGCGTTTTTAATTTGTAAGGGGGGGGGGTCTCACTCAGAAGCTTGCTCTGTGAAAGGGGTCACCAGTACAAAAGTTTGAGAACTACTTGTCTATAAGAACCTACAGGGGGAACAAATATTTGATAATGAGCTTTTCAGTCTAGCAGAGAAAGGTATAACATGATCCAATGGGTGTAAGTATTCAGTATTAAGTATTCAGACTGGAAATAAGGCATAAATCTCTAACAGTGAGAGTAATTAACCATTGGAACAATTTACCAGTGCTCATCGTGGATTCTCTATCACTGGCAATTTTTAAATCAAGATTAGATGTGTTTCTAAAAGATCTGCTCTGTGAATTATTGTAGGGAAGTTCTGTGTTATAAGTTATAAGTCTGTGTTCTGCAGGAGGTCGGACTAGATGATCACAATGGTCCCTTCTAGCCTTGGAATTTATGAATCTGTGAATTCCTGGCAAGTGTTCAGAGGTGGCTCAGGGAGTTAGGTAGTTACATGCAGCTCGGTCTATTAGGGCCCAGTACCTTAAAAGAAAGGTATGCTTCTCTCAGAAGAGAGAGGTAAATTGATTGTGTTGACCGGAAACCAGGACAGAGAGCTCTGTGGAAACATAAGATCTATCTTGTGTGATTTCTACTTGCCAAAATATTTTTTAATCTTCTGCTTGTATAAGTGCATGGGACAAAGGTAGCTGGAGACTGTTAGAAAATTGGTGTCAGTTTGAATCCTGAAACCCCTACAAACAATTTCTACCCCGTGATGGTAACTGTGCATTCAAATCTGTGTCTGTTTCTTTTTGATGCACAACAGCCCTGAAACAAGGCCATAGAAGGATATCTGATGCTACCTAAATTCTAGATGTAAAGAAGACTTTATCACTCTTTATATCCAAGTACAGTGTCAACTCTCCCTCTAGTGTTCTCATCCTTTGGACTGTATAAGCTATTTATTAAATTAGACAACTACTTGCTGAATAAGACATTTCAGTTGCTAATATAGTACTGGGGAAAACCGCTACCTTTCCTGTAGCGTCTTTTGTACAAATTGCATCCCGCAGTACTCTACAGAATTAATTCAGTAGCAGAGGTAAAAAATTGCAGGAGAAAGAGAGTGAAGAGGTGTATGCAAGGGAGACAGGTATTCAGAATTAGAGGGAGGGATAAAAACATCTGCCTAGGAAGGAAAAGGGTCTTTCACCATTGGTAGCAAGGTTGTGTGGTGGGGTAGAGAAGGAAGTAGTGCTAGATGATCAGAAGGGAAAGTAATGTGGGGTGTGATTCCTGGGTTGTGGTAGAAGGAGTTCACAGATGGTTTTTAAATTAACCAATGCAATTTTAACTGGATCCTGAAAGAAATGGAGAGCCAGTGAGTCATTTGACCACTTGGGTGAAGTGCCTGTACTTCTGTGGACATGTTAGAAGGTGGTCAGAGGAGGAAAAAGCAGCATTATTCTTTCTCTGCCAGCTTGCTCTGTTATGACAGGCTTGTTGCAGGAGGGCTGCCCTCCATTTTTTTTTTGTAAAACAGAATACATAACAATGCTTGCCCTTATATGAGAACAGAAGCAAGCTGTAGATGTTAATTGCCAGTAGCTAGCTTTCCTCATTTGGTCAGTGTTTTCAAATAAAATTACCAGAATCTCTCTCAAAAACCCACAAAAAAATATTTTGTAAGCTTCAAAGTATCTTTCATTTTTATATGTGGAGAGTGCAGTAAATCAGCAGTAACTCTGGTGAAGTAGATTACGCTGGTGTAAAACTAGTGAAGGTGAGGTCAGAATCAGGCTCCCTGTTCCTAAATATTTGCAAGTCAAGTAAGTCAGCTGACATTTAAAACAATGCAGAAAAATAGACAGTGTCACATTTCACGTTTCAAAGTCGTGCACTTGATCAGACAAAATGTTGAGCGCAACAATCAGAAAAGCTAATAGGAGCTCACTGGCTTTTCCAGTGGAGCAAGCAAAGAAAAAGCTGTATTTATAAAGAAGAATCCCTGAATAAACATGAGAGAATTCAGATGTATAAATCCTATGAATGAAATCTGATCTATTATTGTGTAGCAAAAGCAAAAACAGGTTCCAGGTGTTTTTCATCCTCCTATTATGTATTAAATATTGTGTCTCAGAATTAATAACAAAGCTAGAACAAAAGCTTTCTACCCTTGTGCTGTGCATCGAATTTCTGTTAGTGAATAACTCCTCTTGGAATCAAGCAGCACCACTCTCTCATTCTGAAGGGTGACTGTTGAGCTGCTTCAGAGGCACTTGCAATCCAGGGTGAATAGAGCTAGCAATTAAACCTCTGTACCTTGTGGTAACCGGCCCATCTAATGGAGAAACTGTCATCAGCCTCTGTGCTTGTCCTTCACATATCTGTTCTCTGTATTTTTATGTCTGACAAAAACATCAGTTTTCATCTGGTGTTGAGCCATCTGACCTTTAGTACGCTGTAGTCTGGGGAAATTGGGTGTTCAGAGGAAAATGTGAGAGATACATTCTAAACAAATGGCATCCTACATGGTCTACAAGGGTGCATTTGTAACTGAAGTCAAATAAATAAAAAACAAAGGTATTTTTATTATTATAGGAAAGAATTTCTAGACCTGATGGATAAATATGGATCATGCAGTAACACAGGCTCTGCAAGATGTTCACCAACACAACTGCTAGCTGGTGAGACATTGAATATTTCTACATTTTGCACTACAAGGAAGTAATAGAGGATGCTTGATCTCTAACATTATTTCAGGCTAACACTGTAGTCATCCTTGCATGAAATGTAAACCAGCACTTCAAAAATGTAGGTTGGGGGTGGGTGGGATGGGGAGTATGGCTTTGTGATTAGAGCAGGTGACTAGCAGTCTGGCAGGACTCCTGTGTTCGTTCATTCATTACTTGAGCATTAACTCACTTTGTGATCTTGGGCAAGTCACTTAACTTCTCCATGTCTATTTCCCCATCTATATTGTATCACCTACCTCAAAAGGTTTTAATTATTGAATGGTTTATAAAATGTTATGAAATTCTCTGCGGAAAGGTGCATTAACATTGCAAAGTGTTGATACCTGAGAGATTGTACCGATGCACACTCCATTTGGGGTTGGTGCACTCGTAAGGATGATTTATATACTGCATCTACCTTCCTCTTTAAGAAAGGTAGATACAAGATTATTTTGCTTCACCCACTCTTTTCATTTGAAGGGCCAGTCTTCACATGTCAGCAAGTGATGTCTGTTTCTGAAAACCTGAGTGCTTGACTTAGCCCCCACTCTGAAGCTGTGTAGCCTCAGGCTTCTTTGTGGTTTTGTTTGTCCTTTTGACAGAAGCTTTCTTTTATGGGATCCTCTCTAAGGATGGAAGGAAGGAAGGACTGGGAAAGTGGGGTGAAACACCTGAGCTGTTGATTTAGAAGTAAGAGGGGGCAGAGGGATAAATAAAGCATTGCAGAGATAAGTTATTTTCAGCAGCTGCTATGGAGCTCTCAACTCCAGCGTCCTATTTTTCTGATTTTTCAGATCAAGTGCACATGTTATACAATGAATCCAGGTGCTAAATATTGCCTTCCTAGAGCCAAAAGGAGGGGGTCAGATCACATTCATTCCCTCCCAGGAGTAGGTTTAGAGCCTTCACATTTTTTCCTATTACCCAGAAGGCTGGATATGGCTGATTGCAAGACTTGCAAAATGCTGGATCTTGTGACAAGCTGGATATTGCAGAGAAGCCTGAAATGCTTGCTTGGGAAAACATTCAATACCAGAGACACTTCTGTTCTATTCAATATCAAAATTAATAATAAAAGACTTGGTCATAATGATTCAGTTTACCAGAACTAGAACAGGGTATTAATTTAAGTTCATGGGGAAAAATCATGCTCCTCTTCCTGACATGTACTGAACTATTTGCCCGAGCAAGACTTTCAGAAATTGATGTTATAGGTCCATGAAACACTTTGCCTTCCCTGAATGTGGTTTTTATTTCTCTTTTCTCACTATTTCTTTCTTTGAGGAAAACATGTTGACAGCCTTTCTTCTGGATCATCCTCAAGGTCACAAAGTCCTCAGCTTCCGCGTCCAAAGGGTATTGTCATCAGCTACAATGGAAATAATTCGGTTACCACAACATCCCCGCAACTCACAAAGTAATTCCTGAAACTGACTCTAGCTATCTTCTCTGAACTCCCTTGATCAAAAGTAGCTGTGTGTAGGTCTTATGAATATTTTGGGTGGAGCTCACTAAAGGACTACGAAGATTATATTTTTAAAAATCATGTTACTAATAACACTGTTGATTGTTAAAACTGAAAGAATTTTTACAACTAATTTATTTTGGCCATTTTCTGCCATTTGTTTACTTTTTGTGTTCATTTTGGTGAAATTAGGCTGATCAGATTTACTGTTATTTCTAGCCAGCTCCCAGTTAGTTTTGGTTCTGGTTCATGTACACTAGCACTTTGCCACAATGCTTAGGTTGCAAACACTGTAGGAGGGCTGCCAATCCAATAATATATTTTTTAAAAGCCAAAAAAGAGAAAAAACATAAAAATATATTTGTTACGTATTCAGTTGAAGTCACTAGGAGCTAGAAAGGTAGGTATGGTACACGAGCCCTAAATTCACAAGCTCAGCACCTCGGAATGTCAGGCCATATTTACTTGAGACATCCAAGTTTGAAAATTTTGGCCACGTTATCCGAGGTCACGCTGTGAGTCAGTGGCAGAACCAGGGCTAGAATCCAGGAATCCTAACTCCCAGCACTCTGCTCTGACAACTTTTTGAAACAAGTTCTGTCTTAATATAAATATATATATATAAACAGCTTTATAAAAATGCTTGTGTTGAACTGAGGCAGTTGAAAAATATGTATACCAAGTTTCTGGAAAACAGTAAGCAGTAAAAATGCTGTAACAGTTTTGTGGATGGTGTGACAGCACCACCTCCTGGCAGTTCTGGGGATTAGCTCTGCAAGGTCAATGCCCCTTCCAATAGTTCCGCTCCTCCCTCCCTCCCTCCCTCCCTCTCTCTCTCTCTCTCTCTCCCTCCCTCTCTCTCCCTCCCTCTCTCTCTCTCTCTCCCTCCCTCCCTCCCTCTGTGGCTTAGCCCTCTGGCATGTTTCCCCCTTCCGGGATACCAAAGCCTTCCAGCATGAATTGTCCCAGGCAGTCCACAGCCTTGTCTGTGAACCCAGTCCTGCCCTCTACTCTGGGTTCCAGCTCAGGGGCCCCGCTCATCAGGAGCCAAAGTCTGCCCTATCCCTGCTTTTCCCCTGAGTTTTGCTACCTTTCTGGCTCTGCAGCGCAAGCTTCCTCCTCTCAGGGAGTAACTGTAGACTACCCTGCTGCAGTTCCCTTTCTGCTCTCAACTCCTGGACTTTATACAGTCCCCTTCTGTTCCTGTCCATCTGAGCCTCATGTCTAATTAATCCCTGTTCCCTGGCTGCTCCTCCAGGTGCAGCCCAGGCAGTTAATTAACCTACCTTGCTACCTTAACCCCTTCTGGCCTTATGTGGAGTGGATACCCCATCATAAACTTGAGATGGAATGGACACACAGCAAGACAGCTTTGCAGTTAGATTTACCCAAGAACACCTACTTTTATTTATAAATACTTTAAAATAACCTTAAAAAGAGAGAGGTGACGTGACACTTTCCAGACGAATGCATTTTTATGATTTCTTTCAGATCCCTAGAAATATGGTTATGTCTCTAATGAAAGTAGAGAATTAGACACACTTTAATTCTATCAGTGTATATAGCACTGCTTTAATGCTTAGTTTAACTTGACTTTCTATTTGTAATTGCTTAAATTAGTATTGAAATTAGTAATTTTGTATTAAGAAGAATGTGGACTATATGAGTCTCCTGATTAAATGTCAGCCATTTATGTCAAACTAATTGTTGCAACACATATGTGAAACCAACAAGAGAAATATTGCACATGGGTCTTCATTGCTGCTTTTTTCAAGCTCCGCAGCCTGTGTAACTGACCTTTTAATGCTAATTTTCTTCTTTTTTTTCTCCTAGTGATAGTGCATTTCAGATTATCACTGTTTCCAAGGGAACAGGCCTAGGCTTGAACATTGTGGGAGGAATTAACAGAAATGAAGGTCCCTTGGTGTATATTCAAGAAGTTATCCCTGGAGGTGACTGTCATAAGGTAGATATTATAAAGTCCTCTTTTATTTATAGTTCCTTCCCATGCAGCTCCATTTTTTTCTTTATTTATTACCAACCTCAGTATAAATGCTCTCCAATATCAAGATTGATCTACTTTGACTTGCTATGCTAGCAGCAAGCCGGATCTAAAAAACAGCATTCTGATAGGTGACACTAGACTTTTTTTAGATAGTGGCTTTAATAGAGCATCCTGTCAAGGCTGAAATCTTGCCTTGTAGTGACTATCCTGTATGGGAAGGAGGAGGCAAGTGTGTGTAGATATCCTTTCCTTCTCCTCCTCCATGCATCCATGTGGTAATCGGAAGGCTTACAGGGCACTCTGGAGAAAACTAGGAAAGGAATCCAGTTGTTCCTGCTGGCATGCCACAGCTCGCTAAGGGTTATAGGATTGGGGCTAGTTGGTGGCCAAGGTTAAAGTTAGGGCTGGCTGGCAGTCAGGATCCCAGGCAGCTACATACTAGTTGGGAGTATATGCTTGCTCTTCTTTAAAGAAGCTTAGTGGTCATAGGCACAAACTTCTGCACTTCTTCTCTTTTCCTTCTCCCTTTTTCTATGCCATTTTGTATCAGCAGAATGGCCCTTCTCGCCATCCTGCACTCATCACCATTGCAACTGATTGCCACCGTTAATGAGCTAAGATATGATGTAGATAGGAATCATTATCCACATCTTTTACCTGAGAAGACTGAAACACAGAAAAGTTGTGATTTGCTCAGGCAAGGTCACACCTGTATGTGGCAGAGCTGCAATTAGAACTCAGATCTCCTGATATCCTGTCACATTCCTTTATCACAAAACCTATCAATTTTTTCCCAGTTGAGACTCAGACAGTAGCTGTGGCCAGGCCAGAATAAAGGGAATATCCTGTAGGCCAAATAATTAAGAGTTATGCTGAACTCTTTGCATACTATATCTTGCATCACTGAAAGTATGTAATGGACAAGGAGGACTAATAAATCACAAAAAATTCAGTTTTCAGAGCTAGATTTTCTAAACATAGCCATTCTTTTTGAACCCAGGGCTATTTATAAGTGTGATGTGGGTCATTTTAGAAATAAGGAGGGTGAGGTAATACCTTTTATTGGACCACCGTCTGTTGGTGTGAGAGACAAGCTTTCACAGAGCTCTTCTTCGGGTCTGGGAAACTTAGGTCTGGTCTACATTACAGAGTTACGTCAATGCAAGGCAGCTTATTTTGACCTAACTATAGAAGCATCTACACTTAAATTTTGCTCCAGACAATGTAACTGCCCCGCTACGCCAACTTAACTCCACCTCCACGAGCAGCGTAGAGTCGAGGCTGATGTATTTAGGTCTACGCAGTGTCAGTGTAGACACCACATTGCTTAGTCAATTGTTTCTGGCTTTCAGGAGCTGTCCTACAATGTCCCACATTGACAGTATGGTCAATACAAGTACTCCTGGTGAGGACATGCACCACAGACACAAGGAGCCAAGTGTAGACACACACAAGCAATGTAATTACTGCGGTGGCTGTATGCCAATGTAAGTTAGGTCAACTTAATTTTGTAGTGTAGACATGACCTTAATCAAAATATAACAGCTAAATACCAAGTGAAATAGATTGTTTAGCATAAGTAGTGAACACATATTTCAAGGGACCATTCCAGATGAACACCCCTCCAGTCATACGAAGGAACAGAAAGGGGCGGGGGGAAGCAGTTGGGCGGGGAGGGCTTTTAGTGGCTTATAGATTGTTGTAATAAGTCATAAATCCAGTGCCTCTGCTCAGTCCATGATTTTTAGCGTCTAGCAAAGTTATGAATTTAAGCCCCGGCTCGTCTTTTGAAAGTGTTGTGCAGGTTTCCTTTCAGAATGAGGACTGATAAAGCTTCCCAGACCAGAAGAAGAGCTCTGTGAAAGCTCAAAAGCTGCTCTCTCACCAATCTAATTCTAATAGAATTTCACCTACCTTGTCTCTTTAATATCCTGGAACTGACACAGCTACAACACTGCATACAGCAGTGGGACATTTTGACATGTAAATATTGATTGTGTCTGCAAAGCAAAGGCATGGATGTTTAACAACATTTATTGCACCTGCAATGATTTGTGGCCACAAAATTCTGCCTGTGATTATTTGTGATCACAGATTTGCAGGTACAGAAAGGGAGGGCAGGTTAAGGCCAGACTGCAGATCGGGGAGCAAATTGGAATGCTACCTTAAAACTGCTTATTCATTAATAAAAATGATTCTTATTTTGTTATAGCTACCAAAAACATTTTACAGACTTAACCTATGTAATTTAGTGCTCATTCCTTCACAGTTGTGGTCAGTGGGAGCAAGACTAAGTCATTTATTTTCAAACTGTACTGTAACACTAATACAGTTTAAACAGTCAAAATCTGAGGCTGTATTTAAATCCTCATCTTTTTGAAATTTCTCAATTTAAAATGACAGGTTTCAGAGTAGCAGCCATGTTAGTCTGTATCCGCGAAAAGAAAAGGAGTACTTGTGGCACCTTAGAGACTAGTGAAATTCCACTGCATGCATCCGATGAAGTGAGCTGTAGCTCACGAAAGCTTATGCTCAAATAAATTTGTTAGTCTCTAAGGTGCCACAAGTCCTCCTTTTCTTTTTTCAATTTAAAATGTGATGTTTGCCATGTGAGCCACCAGAGGGCAGCATTGTAGTTGGTATTTTTGTATACTGGTGGCAAATAAAAAACAAGCTATTTTTCTTTGTGGTCAAAGACAAATATTAAACAACAAAATATGATGTGTTATAAAATCATAGTGTTCAAGCAGCTAAAATATAAGTATATGTATGTTATAAAATTTTATATATTTGTTCCTTCTCAGGCCAGCATATTTAGGTTTACTAATTTCAAAATTGTGTTTTTTCTGGGGATTTTTTTATGAAATATTAAAAAATTGAATGAAGGTAGAATTTTGTATTTCAGATCTTCCAAATTGTCCATGCAATGAATTTGTATGGGTTCAGAAACACAAGTGCATCTTGAGTGTGTGTATTTTTTGGCCATATATTAGTGAAATATAGTAATTTTACAATCTATAAGCGTAAGCTAGAAAAAAATATGACAATATATAGAATGATTAATAATTCTCAATTCTCAACTGAATTCTCAATTACACTGTGATTTATGCCCACTCTAAGGCCCATTTACACAGCCAGAAGAGAATAAAAGGACCTCGGTGTAAATGAGAATTCAAGCCCCCTTTTTAAAAATGTTGTCCTATGACTGTCTGTAACAGAAATATGGTATGTCTCTGTGTTTGCAGAAAGTTGTAGATCAATCTGCTTCTCCTGTCGACATAGTACTGCCTCTTGTGGGAGGTGGAGTTATTAATCCAACAGGAAAGCTCTCTTCCATTGACTAAGAGCCTCTTCACTAGACCTACTACAGCAGCAAAGGTGCATCTGTGCTGATGTAAATTTGTAGAGCTGCCCTCAGTATCACAGCTAAATACAAGGTGGAAGAGATTGTTTAACATAACTAGTTAACATATATTCTAAGGGACAATTCAAGCTGAAGAGGCCCATTAAAACCTCTTCAGTAATAGGAGGGTTAAAGATTGGGTTAAAGATTGTTGTAACATGCCATAAACCCAATGTTTTTATTAAGACCATGATTTCTAGCATCTAGTAAAGTTATGAATTTAGCACCTAGGCTTGTGTTGTGCAGGTTTCTTTTGAGCATGAGGTCAGAGTAATTGCTTTGTAAAAAGTAAAAACAACAAGGAGTCCTTGTGCTTATGACGAAATCAATTTGTTAGTCTCTAAGGTGCCACAAGGACTCCTCATTGTTTTTGCTAATACAGACTAATATGGCTACCACTCTGAAATTTGTAAAAAGTGTTCACCAACAGGTGATATGGTACTTGTGTCTTTCATCATTTTTTTGTGAGAGCTCTTTTGAGAGCATAGTGATTGTCTGGTTTCACCCACATAGTTTTAGTTGGGGCATATAGTGCACGAGCTGAAACACACCCCATGTTGTGATAGACATAGGACCCGGGGATCTTGAAAAGCATGTTGTGGGAGGTATTGATCATTGTAGCAATGGAGATACCTCTACAGGTTTTGCATCTGTTATTCAGGCAGAGTCTGGTGCTGCTTTGAGTTGGTGTGTCCTGTGAGGAGCTTGCTTCGGATGATGAGCTTGGAGAGGTTGGAGGGGTGTTTGAAGGCCAAAAGAGGGGGCTGGGAAAGATTTTTTGCAGTGTATAGTCCCCCATTGAGTATGGGCTGTGATTGTTAAATGATACCCTGTATGGGTTTCAGTGGGAAGTAGTAGGTGACAACTAGGATTGTGTGGTTGGAGATGTGGGGTTTTTTTTTTCCCTGTATTGAATCAGGTTCTCTTTCAGTATTTGAGTGGTCTGTTCCACGATGCGATCTTTACCTTCAAAAGATGAGCCTATAACCTGCTAACCCCCATTTTTTTTCCTTTGACTACAGATACTGAAATGGGCCATTTCAGTATAAAAGGTCCCTTAGAATATGTGTTAACTACTTATGCTAAACAATCTGTTCCACCTTATATTTAGCTGTGACAGCGAGTACCTTTTCCAGACCTGATCTGTGCTCAAAATCTTCTCTCTCACCAACAGAAGTTGGTCCAATAAAATATATTATCTCACCCACCTTGTTTGTCTAATACCTTGGGACCAACATGGCTACAAACTGCAAAAAGCAGATAATGTTGTTCTTATTCCTACAATTCTCTTCTGCCTCTATTGATGAAGTTAGGGCTAGTCTACACTGACAACATTAAAGCCACGGCAGCGCTTTAACATGGCTTGTGTAGTCGCAGCAGAGCACTGGGAGAGAGCTCTCCTAGCACTCTAAAAAACCACTTCCACGAGGGGCGTAGCTCTCAGCACTGGGGGCATAGCTCCCAACTGGATGACTTTGAATACATTTCTATGATTCTGTGTTTGTCAGGCAATTCATAATATAGCATTTATTTAAAATGAATAGTGCATAGTTGGGTAGCTGGAAAAACTGGTCAGCATATTTTTCCCTCAAAGTAGTTATAATAGTGAGTCTGATGCAGTCTGGTGCATCCATAGCTTTTCTGCACGGTAACAGTTGTTGAACGTTGGATACTGATTTATAGAACCAAAGCGCAGAATATAGTATTGATGATTGTTTCTTTGTGCCTTTTGAAATCTAACACATACAACACATTCTTTCATTGCACAGTTATTCTACTAAGCAGCAGTACAAAAGATGTATATTACTAATGGATTAAACATATTCGTCCAGGCAGAAAGTCTGGCCAGCCTTGACTGTTTCTTAAATTCATGGGTTCAAAAGTACATGTTAAACTGTTGCAGTTAGAAAATTGTTTCAGTTACATCTTCATCAACAATGAACACAGAATGTCACACTTGGATTCTTTATTGTTACTGATTAGGATGGACGACTGAAGCCTGGAGACCAGCTTGTATCCATAAACAAGGAGTCAATGATTGGAGTCTCCTATGAAGAAGCAAAAAGTATAATCAACAGAACAAAGCTGAGGTAATTATTGTACTACAACAGCTAAACCCCCAAAGTGAAATCTTGTACAAGTTTTCTTTTGAGTAGTTTGAAGTAAGAAGACAAGTTCATGGCTCTGAAATATTAAATACGCATATTACTCTTAAAAAAGCTCAAATATGTTACTAATCCAAGTGATGCAAAATTGTTAGGAAACTTTACTAGCTCAGTCACAAATGCTACTCACCAGTCCTCCACCTTCATAACTGATGATAATGAGGAATGAAATAAAAACAAGTGTCAAAAAAATTCTCACCCCATGAGGCTTGGACAAGTAGAATTTTGCAAGGCTGCTTTATCATTTTATGAACAGTGTTGCATATAATCTATGTAAAAAATTTATTTTTAAATTTAGATCTGAATCTGCCTGGGAGATCGCTTTTATCAGACAAAGAGTTTTTCCCGGTTGCTTTGAAAATCCTCAAAGTCCTGGCAGTCTCTTGGCATCTTCTGCTGGATGTGGACAGCAACAGACACTACTTGCGTTTAATCTTCTTTCACCTCCTAATGAGAATCCAGGTTCAAAGGTGTCCACATCCTACACTGTGAGTATAGTCTTGTCTCTTGTTTTAGAACAAACCAAGGAAGAGATTAATTTTCTAAATTATAGAAATCCTATTGCAACTTTTTTCCATATTTCAATATTAGATCAATGGCAAGTAGTTACCATTCCAATAAGTAAATGATTAGACTCCTCCTCAAAACCCCCTGGGGTATTAGGAGCTTTCTGGTAGATGTGTGAGATCTCTCTAGAATCAACAGTACTGGCTAGTGGAACGAGAATATTAATTGAAATCATTAGTTGATTGGTCATCTCGCTTCTCAATTAAATCTTAATTGTGATCCTAGGTTGTCAAATTCTTCTTTTGAAAAAATAAATAATATCTAACCATTTCCATTTTATATTTCAGATATGGAGGAGATTTTGAATATTAGTAAATAGTGAATAATAATAATAATAATAATTTCTTATTTAAAGATTTTTTTTACAGTACTTATTACCATAACAGAGGGTTTATATACAACTTAAACCAAAAAATGAGAATTACATGAAGCCATGTACAATTATTGAAATTAGAAATAACTGTCATTTTTTGAGGGCTAAAATCAAACGGGACATAAAATCTTTACGCCTCACCAAAACAAAGCCAAAAAAACTAAACCACACAAAAAAGCCTTTAATCTAGTGCAACTCTTGCTAAACTTGTGCTCCAGCAAACCTCCCAGGGGCGTGAGTTCCGTTGTGGGGGGGCTCTCAACTGAGAGTGTCCTTCCACTGGTCATGCAGTATTTAACTCTGCTAACTGAGATCAAGAGATTCCCATCTGATTTTAGCTGCTGCAACATTGTGTAGGGAAAGACCAGATAACATATGGGGCACTTGACAGTCCTTTGGGGACTCTTTGGCACCTCTTCCCTTTAGATTTCAAACCTTGTTCCTTGCTGGGGTGCCAGCTACCTGTGACTATTTGCTTTATTTGCATGTATCTTTTCTGGTACATTGTATATCTGTATAGCTTGTTAGTGTGGAGTTGCACACCAACTTGTGTTAATGGATGTTTCTCTGCTGTGTAAAATGTGTTTCTCTCCCTGGCTTTAGGAGACGGTTGACAAGTTCCTTCAATAAAAAAGAAGTTTTTTAAAATAATAGATTTTTACACCTTATGATGATGATACAGTTTGGAGATGGAATGTAGACTACTATAAAACTTTGTTTAGAACTCAGAGTTTTATAGATGTTTTATCACACTGAAGGAAAAATATAAACAAACATTTTAGTTAAAGTAGCACATCGTTAGTGCAAACGAAACTATCATAGTGTGCGATGGTGTGAAAGTTTTGAAGACCAGAGAAAGCTGACTATTTTAGAACTGCCCTCTGTTTTCTGGCATTTTTAAAATATATTTAATTTATAGTTCTTTTTAGAGGTGAACAAAATATTCTCTTTCAATAAGCTGGACTTATAAAGTTATTTTTTAGACTCTGTAGTCAAAGGAGGTGGTTCCCCTGTGCCCATATTTGAAAAACATGCCTATGTATTCCTTTTCAGAAACATCCTGTGTAGGGTGCAGCCTCCTGCGCAGCCGCACTTTTTTGGTGTTCACTGTGATGGTTATTCTGCAGATAATGAACCTCAGAGACTCGAAAATATTACCATGTCTGTTATATTGCTGTAGTATAATGCTAAGTTTGTGTACACTTATGGCTCTGCCAGAGGGACTGAGCCTTTCAACTATAGCTTACCAGGTTAAGTTCAGCTGTGGCCCCTAATGACCCATTGTTATTTGATAGCTGTTCATCAGCCTATACCTAATTACTTTGGTATCAGTCCAGTTCCCTGTTCCATGTCTCATAAACGGTCACATTTTGAACTAATGCTCCGTCTGCCAATAGTCTTGGCAAAGAGGCAAAAATTGGATGCACCATGAAAGACCGTCACTGTTGCAGCTTTCACCAGCACTAAAAATTCAGGTGCGGAAAACAAGACGAGGGGAAAACAATCCCTGTAAAACAACAAGAGCAAGTGTTTCAGTGGTATAGAAGTTTTTCTAATATGTTACATGATTTACAGTATACTGCACCCTATTAAATATGTGGCAAAGTGGCCCTCTTCTGTTTCAGCACTAGCTTTGACACTTTTAGTACAAACCTCATCAGTAATGATCTATAATACATTTTATTAGAAAATGTCTCACTTATGGCTTTTTATTAAAATGTCTACATAATAGAAATCACATATGCTTTCTGAATTGAAAAATAAGTCTTTAAAAGCCGTAAAATCATCAATGTGGGCTACACCTCAGACAGAGCATGGTTACATTGGCTTCAGTTACTTTTTAAATAGTACCATATGAAAAGTACTCTGTAGTGCTGAGGCACAGTGGGTATACCACAGTAGCCTTTACATTCTGAATGTCATTGCTTTTTTATGGTGCCTGTAAGAGTTTAAACATAACATAGGGGTTTTTGGTTTCAGTGTTCTTCCAGTATTGTTTGTCTACCCATCCACCCATTTTTTTTAAAGGTTAACATTTGTTTCGAGTCTGGTCTTTGACCTACTTTAGCAAATGTCATTTCATGACTTGTGATTTTCTTTCATAGATGAAAACTGGATTCAAGAAGAGAGAACAATCTCCAATTCCTTCTGCAGACAGCAGCCCTGCTGATGTGTCTGCGGCTGGTAAATGCTTTATTTAATTTTTTCCCCCTCTTATTTTTTGCAATTGCTCTTCCACAGAAAGTAGTGCACAATGTGATTTACTAGGCTTTAAGGAAGGGCATGTGGGCCATTTTTCTAGCCGTGAATAAAAGTCTAAAATGAATGGATTGTTCAGGAATCCATGTCAAATATAACTTATGTTGTCCAGTTTCTTGGACAAATAGTTGAAACTAAACACAGATGAATGATCATAACGTTTCAGTACAGCAGTAGTAATCAATAGACTCAGTTGAAACCAGGTAATGAAGACTCACATATAAATCAAGACTAGGTTGCCATAGAAACAGTGCTTTCTCAGTTTGATAAAATGCTGTAGAAGTATATTGCATGTACTTTTTTTTATTTTTATTTTTTTAAGGAGGACATTTTTTTTTTATTTTAGGAACAAAAATAACTGTTAAAGTGGCTTGTATGCTCTTTGTTACATAGAGGCTACATTAGTAAACTATCTACTTAAAACACTGCTATGGAATTTTCTGTATGTATTTCAGAACCTTAATGTTCAAGCAAAGGTAATAATCATATCATATCTCTAGATATATATTTTGGAGGTGCTGAAGGAAAAATAATTGGGGATCTGATCTTTCACAACAATTAGATCTGAATTGACAGTGATAAATCCGTCAGAGACGATTTGCATAGTATTTATGAACAATGAAAATGCACAGGAATGACATACTTAACACCAATGTAAGTATGTATCGCTAGGCTAATGGTTGTGCTCTGTACTGCTATGCAGGAGACAAGGAGCCCTCTTACCGCTCAGTTGGTACAAATGAGGGCAGTGTGTTCATTACATCTGCCTCTCTAATTGATCAGTCCACATGACCAAAAACTCCAGTCTAATTTGTCAAGAGAGGGAGGACCAACACAGAGGACCGTAGTGTCACTCCACTGACATTACCTAAATTGCGCTAGGGATTAACGTGGCCCATAGTAGATACCCTAATTCCAAATGAAGCAGTCGGATTGGGATCTTGACCAACTTGGCATAAATAGAGATATTCCAAAGGGGTTAACTGGCTGAATACCAGCTTTTGGAACTTGAGACGTCATGGTATTTCATACAGCTTGAGTTAAATAATCAGACCTCTCGATCATATTGCCCATGAAAACTACCATGACTAGATTAGATCAGAAGCATTACAAGACAAAGGCTCCTTTGATCTACGTTTAGGGCTTCTTATTTAGTTAAAAGGAAGGGGTACATGTGAGCTGAGCCACTACCATTTTTCTTTTCCAGATCCAGACTTCTCCAACCAATGTATTTTTAAATGAGGGATCTATGCAACAGACAAAATGCAGTGATTGGGAGCTTAATAGCGAAGAAAATATCCCCCTTCTCTCCCTGCTTGAAACAGTGGGGCTCTATATCTATTTTGATCACAGTTAAAGATTTTGGACATATGTGGTAGAGTGTAAGCTTGAGAGATTGTCCTCTCACCAGCAGATGGTTCAATAAAAGATACTATGTCACCCACCTTGTGGCTCTCTGACATGCAGTTTAGTGAGGGCCAGATCCTCAGCTGGTGAAACTTCACTGGCTTCAGTCCACAAATAGAATTGAATTAATTGGATTAAATCAGAAGAAGTCAGTGACACTACATCAGTTTATACCAGCTGCGAATCTGGACCTCAGTTTCGGACATTTGTTCCTGCGTCTCCACCACAAAAAATTCATTTGCCAAGGACAGTCCCCATGGGAACAGATTCCCAATGATATTTTAAAAGGGACTAAGAAGGCTACAATGCATAATAACATAAACAAGATGGCTCTAGCAGTTGCTGTACAATCTATATTATGCTATCCCATATGCTGTCTCTGGACTTCCTTCGTTCCATCGTCATTTGACAACATGTCCTTGACTGAAACTGCTATTTGTGTCACACACGTCTTCTTCAAGGCTAATGTGAGATAAAGATCCAAGCTCTTGGATCAAAAATTGCTGTGATTAAGAAAAATCAGCATAACTTCGAGACGTGCTTGAAAAAATTTATGCATAAAGCCCATGACCCAATAGTTTTGTGAGCTTAGTATCCACACACTGACTTCAGGGGAGCTATGCCGATTTACTCTAGCTTAGGATGTAGCCTGCTGTCTTTAGAATTTAATAAAGCATGCAAACAGTATTAGTGTTACAGGTTTCCAAAAAGATGTTTTGTTGAGCACATGTGGAGAATATAAATTAGTTTGAGCTTGGAAACAGATGTTTTGTGAATTACGAAATCCGGTTTTGTTTTTTTGTTTTTTTTTAGTTTTGTTTCTATTCTGTGTTTTGGAGATGGTCCCAAACTGCAGAGTCCTGAGGTTTTCAGATGCAGATTTTGGTTTGAGCCCATCTCAGTCTCCTTCTTGATGAAATAATAAAATAGGACGAAGAACTAATTAAGAACACCAGTTAATATGTGATTGTTCCTCAGAATTTCAGCCTTTTAATAAGAAGTGTTTTGGATGCCTTTCCAAATTAGGCAATTTAATAACTTCACATTGATAAGCTTGTCTATAGCATGTCCCTCTTTGTACCTGGCCGTCTGCAAAAACTCAGCAGTGGATTTATTGTTTGTCCTATTTTAAATAAAATATTAGTGCATGTAAAATCTAAGTGAAGCTACAAATTTGCTGCAGTGCATATAGCGAGCAGTCAAAGGCCCTGAAGAGCCTTCTGCTATTTTCCTAGTGTACTGAGATGTTTCTCCAACAGACTGAGAAAGCCAGAGCACTCTGGCAAAGCTATAGTTGATTTTTCCTGTATTGTTTTCCCTGCAAAAGAAATCTGTAGGTGTGAAATCTTTTGTGTTGGCTGCTTATAATTTTGGACTCACTTTTCCTCCTGCATTTATAATTTGCACGTAAGGGAAACTGAACAACTGCATCCGAATCCTAATATATTAGTGCATTGTTTAATTATGGAAAATTGTTACACTCTTATCTGAAAGGAGGGGCACAGTGGGTGGACAGGCCCCGGAGAAGGGGAGTTTCCCATTCCCACTAGGCAAGAGGAGAAGCCAGAAGGGATTCACTCCAGGCAAGATCCCTAATTCAGCTCTGCCCCTCAGTGGCAGGAGATAATCCTCCTCTTGACACAGTGCCTCCTGCTATTTCCTCAGAGAATATATAGAACCGACCAGTTCCTTAAGTTAAACACCTGGAATTGACAGTAGCAGAAAAGCTAACAAATGGGTGACATCTCTGAATTCATAAATGTTTTTCCCAACCTGTTTCCAAAAGCACTCTGTATGTATTCCATGACAGAAGGTAGTATCACAAGTGTAAGTCACGTTTTTCTGTTACGACATGACCTCATGTTACATACTTCCCTCCCATTTTGATGGATAATTATAAAATGGTTTAACAGTGGTTAAACGGTGCCTGTATTTCCTCTTTTGGGTATTTAATGAATATTTTAGTAATGTACCTTTTAGCATTTAAGAAAAAAGTCATAATAAACATTAGAGTTCATTCCTGCAGTCAGGTGATTAGCTGGAATTATTTTGAACAGCAGGACTGCAGAATACATTCTTCAGAGGGAAATGTTCCAATTAAAATTCCAATTTATGTACAATCTGTTGTCTCTTAGCTATTGCTTCCAACTGGACTGAAGATTATGGACCTCAAGAAAGGAAGATTTCTCTGAACCCCACTGTTCGTCTCAAAGCAGAGAAACTGGAGATGGTAAATAGCGCTTAATATTGTTTTCTATTTTTTTCATAATCAGTGAATGTAAAATGTCTAAAGAAAACGTCTAGCTTGACTACTGCTTAAATAGGTAAAAAAGAACTGATTACTTTCCAAATGTATAGATCTCTCAGGCTCTGTATCCATATCTGACTTTACTTATTGGGCAAATAGTTAAATGGCTGGTTGGGTCAAATAGTTAAATGGCTGGTTAATTTCTAAATGCATTATTTGCTGAGCATCTTAAGTGTACACAACATCGTTTTGAAAGAGGGTATTGAAAAAAGGAATTTCACTCATTTCTATCCATCCTTCCTTCCCTAGGGTTTTATACTGCCACCTATCTCTGTACTATCCGAGTGCCTCCCACATAAAATTGATAGCAATAGCAAAGTCCCTAGTGAACTTTGTGGAGTCTCTGGCACAAAATTGTAGCCAAAACATTCAGAATATAAACAACGTGAAATAAAATCTAGGTACGGAGGAAAGAACAAAGTGCCAAGGGCTCATAAATAGAAAAAATAAATGCAAACAAAGCCACGTACATAAAAGTCTTCTTTTTTTTAATTAAAAAAAGGCAGGGAGCTAAAATTTAAGGAGAGAAATATGGAGATACGCACAAAGGTATGTGGAGATATGATGAGTAAAAGAAGATGAAAGAAGTCAAAGAAATTGCGCCTACAGAGAAGTAACATCCTGGAGAAGATTCATGTGGGAAAAGTAGAAAACAGATGAGAGAGATGCAGAAGGAAATAAGATGCACGCAAGTACTGTAGAAGGACAGATCAGTCACATAGATTTTTGCTGAAACATGCAGGACATATTTAAATTGATTATTTCATTTGCCCTAGCACTGTCAGCATACAATAGTTTGATCTATCATTTTTATTGATCTTTCCTCCATGACACAGTGTATTTCAGAAGGAAATACAAATAGGCATATTTTACCAACATTTTTATTTGTTTCTTGTTTTGATCATAAGAAACAAGTGTCAATAAGGGGGTAAAAGATAACAAACAGTGTTCAAAGTAACAAAAAGATCTTCTAATTATGGTTTGGAGTTAATGTGAGAGTGCTAGACTGCATTATAAGAAGTTCAGTTGATCCCTTTCAACGTTCCATGAGAGACTGCAGTAGAGGAGTTTGCAGTGTTAACATTACTTTACTTTAATAATACTCAGGTCATTGGAGCAAGAGGATCTAATTGTGAGTTGGAGGAAATGTAGCTATACAGTGAAAACTGTCTTCAGGTGATCAGCCAAGAGACCATTAAAATCATCTAGCTAATAATACATGGTAAAGATGGAGGGAAAGAAATCTTTTGGGTCCTCTTGTCCATGTCTCTGCCACTGCAGAATTGAAGTTGATAGGTCAATATTAAGTACATAAGTAGGTCCTATTGATATACTTAAAGTTAAGCACCTGCCTAGACATCTGGTACCCTGGCCTTTGATGTGGAGAACCATCTTGCATGTTGCCCATATAAATTGATTGCCAGTTGACAGCTTGTAATTTATGCATCAAGTTGAAAGCTAACAGATTATAAGGATGAAGTGCATAAGGCTTCCTAATTCCAACCAGCCTCTCTCCCTGTTTTAGTCTCTCTCCCATTTAGTCTCTCTCCCATCTCTCGTCCATCTTCTACCTTATCCCTCCATATCTGAAAATATTCTGGAGAAATGAACATGTGATGAATGTGGGGATGCTCAGTAATAATTATTGGCCTGTAACCCAAAATCTGATTATATGCCCCAAATTAGATGGCATGCTAAAATGGTGTGATAGATTTCCACTACTAGAGGAGTTTCAGTGATTTCAACACCCCCACCTATAGTGGGGAGACAGTAAGCAGACAAGGGATTACAAGCCTTTGAGACAGAATGGTTCTACCTACCAAACAAGGAAGCAGCTGTCAAACAATCTGAGGCAAAAGGAAGACTTCATACATGGGTTCGGAAACAAAGAAATTATCAAGCAATATAAAAATTGAACCCAGGCACACAGACAGTAGGGGGGGCATTTAAAAATGGAGCTGCCCTGAAAGAGGAAAATCTGAGACAGTCCCAAGGCAGGTAGTCTGAGAAGAACAGCAGGGCATGCTGTCATTTGAAAGTTCCACATTGGTCCCCAGTCCAGCCAGGGCACTTAAGTGCATATTTGACTTTAAACACAAGAAGTCACTTTGTATGCAGTAGGACTTACATGTTTAAAGTATGCATGTTCTTGAGTGTTTTGTTGGGCCAGGCTTTAACCAGCAGGTTTTCTTCCTTGAGCATTTTGCCTTTGTCATAAATTATTGTCTTGTGCTACTATCCAGAAACTAATTCCATGGTATTTACTTTGCCTCAGCCATTTTAATAACATTTAAAGGAAAACCGGTATGAGCAATTGGCTGTCCATTTAATGATGATTTATGATAAACATCTTTGTGTGCAATATTCAAAAATTTTTGAAGAAATGTTTTTAGAATATGACATTTTAATCATTCGTTAATTTAGCAGTCCAAGCCTCAGTACAATCTAAAGGACTTAACATTGATTATATTTCTATCTTGAAAAAAATAGTCAGTCATTTTTCATGTTTTGAAACTGGTATGTCTTTTTGGTTCAGTTAGCTACTTCTGCATATAACTTAATTTACATTAATATTTGGCTCTTTATTACATACTTTATTGTCTTTGATATAGCATTTGCAGACTGTTTACATGCCATTGAATGGTTTGTTTTGCAAATGATTATATTTATATGCAATTTTCAGGTATACTCTACCACTCCATTATGTTTAGTCTGCCCTACTTCCATTAGCACTATAAAGAAACCATTACCAGTTATATATATCAGCATTATCTCGTGCTCTGTATAATGTGTGTTGGGTTATTTACTTCTTTTTTTTAAACCTAGTCTTATAAAAGCTATTGAGGTACACAAACTAATAATTCCCTGGTTTCAGAGTAACAGCCGTGTTAGTCTGTATTCACAAAAAGAAAAGGAGTACTTGTGGCACCTTAGAGACTAACCAATTTATTTGAGCATAAGCTTTCGTAGCTCACGAAATTGGTTAGTCTCTAAGGTGCCACAAGTACTCCTTTTCTTTTTAATAATTCCCTGTGGCTCAAAAGCACAAGCACCAAATTTAGTTTAACTTGACAAAAAATTAAATAAATACAAAAACTGTGAGTGAAAGCAAATGCTGAAACTTTGATATGAAATCATTTTTGTGCTGACGGTCCAAGTGAGTCAAAATAGGGATACTGTGTGGAAGCATGGGCATAAGTGTGGCAACCGTTACCCGTTTTCCTTCATTAGTCTAGTATAGTGAAAGTTTCTTAAGCGTCAGGTAGCTTCTGATAGTTTTGTAAACCAACACTCTCATACTATGGTGATGACAATATTATAAATACGATGATCGTTCTAACCTTAACGTTTTCAGACCAAAATATCACGATCATGGAAAAACTGTACTGAGCCACAAGTAGTACATATTAATAAAGACAGCTACACCTGGGGAGTCACCAGAGCCCATTCTGTCATCTTTCTTATTTATCTGTCCTTGACGAGGTTTAAGAAACAGTGACCCCACAAGACACATCATCTTAGTAAAGGAGAGCTATAATGAAAAGGGTTTTTTCCCCCATTTGAGGCAGAGACCTCTAACCCCCATTTAAAAAAAATTATTTGTTTTCTAGGCACTAAATTATCTTGGGATTCAGCCCACAAATGAACAGCAGCAAGTCCTGAGGCACCAACTCCAGAAAGATTCTAAAGGCACAGTATCTTTTGGAGGTAACCATTTGTAGAGTGCCCTGGAAAATAATGTAACATAGAAACAGAGAGCATATAATACCATTGTATATATTTTCAGTTAAAATAACCTTCCCATCTGTAAGTTATTACGGTAATGAAAATTCTACATGGTGAGGTGAGATTGTGATTCTACTATTTAACAATGAACTTGCAATTCTGGAACTAGCCATCTGTAATGGAAATCAGATTTCTCCTTTATGAAGAGCAGTCTCAGCTCACTAGCCCTTAAGTGCACTTTGCTCTCACTTGTACTAATGAATTTTCAACTTTGTCTTGAAAATAGGGTATTATTAAGTCTGGGGGTTTTTTAAATGAAAATGGCTTTAGTCTTTAAGAAATCACTGCTTTCTTTCAAAAATAAAAGCACAAAGTATCTGTTTTATAGCAAATTCATTTTTGCAAACTACTTGATTGTAAACAATATTTCTTGTGTAATAGTTTCCTAAGAAATAGTCATGAGATTGAAGCATGCAGTGTCATTTTAGTGGCTACTAATTTAGGCATCACGAACCTTAGAAGTTAACCATTTTTCTTCTCTAAATTTCTTAAATGTTAAAGTGGGCTTCAAAACAATAAATAAAAATATAGGTATACATTTTTTTTATTTTTAAATTGCATAATAAATCAAAGGAATTATGTGTCAGGTCTCCAGTCTGTGTCATCCAGCTGCTCTATGAATAACCTAAAACAATATTCGTTTCTTTCTATTTCTTGATCTCTGAAACTGAATTGTAGAATTTCTAGTATCTTATTTATTTAATATTTGTCCAAACTATGGGACTGAAACTAAAACACAAGTTGAGAAAATATTAGCAAGCTCCTGAGCATATGTTTTTAAAACTCTATTTTCTGATTTTTTTTTTTTTTTTTTTTACGAACTTCCTCAAAAGAACTCGGTGCTGAGATAAGAAGCTGTAGACAAAATTGCAGGTAGATTGTTTCATCTTTCAGGAAGTTAATGGAGGAGTTGAAAATTCATACTTAAAGGGGAGCTCAAAGGTGAATATGGAGAGGCTACTGCTACTCCATAATTTAGGCTGTCAGACCAGCACCTTCCACAACCGCTGCATTCATTTTCAATAGTAGTTGCAAACAGTTTTAAACTAGGGAAAAACAAAGTGACTCCTTTAAAATTGATGCCACAAACTACAGTAACTAAACTCTGTTTTAGATTTTGTTCAGGTTGCAAGAAATCTATTCTGTTTGCAGTTGGATGAAGCAGGTCGTGGCCCAAGACCTATAACATTTGGGGCCAGTGAAATTGCCAGTTTATTAGATTCACAGGTAAAGTATCTGCTGGAGCTCAGTAGTATTTATCTATTGTGAAGAATAAGCTAACAAAGGTTAATTTACTTAAAACTATTCCAATTCTTGTACAAATTTTTGAAACAGTTTCATATCATGGTTTTCTTTAAAGTAACCTAGTTCCTAAGAACCCTTTAAAAAACCTTGTTAAAGCAACCTAGTTTGCAGAGAGCAATTCACATAAATATGTTGTGAATTAGCATGAGTGGATAACAATGTTTTATTGACGTTCCTTAAAGGGACTGCTGATTGCTTTCTGCAGTGTGAGTAATAAACAATTATGTGGCACAGTGATTTGGACCTCTATTGCACTTGGAAATCACTTTACTTTAGAGGTAATTTTTAAGAATGAAGGCCTACCTAGAACCCTGATGGGATAGAAATACTGAATGTAAGTTATTCCTTATCTGAGATAAAATAGGAGGGGGAAGGTAGTTAGTTTTATTGGCACTGTTGTCTCAGAAATTTTTATGGATAATTTTTGTTAATCCATTTTAGCAAACCAAGTTATTTTTTCATTGCAGGAAAACCTCTGGCTAGAGCTGGTCAGAAAATGTCAGTTAAAAATGAGTTTAAACCAACATTTTTTTTGTTTTGTTCTCAACTGAAAGTTTTCATATTTGGTTGCTGAAAACCTGCAATATTTTGGAGAAACAAATTGCATTTTCATTAATGTTTAATGGCTATAAAAAGTTCTTTTGTCAGTCCTACTTGTGACTTTCTTTTAACAAGACTCTGTTCTTAAAGAGATCAAGCATTGTGATAGATGCATTTAACCTAATTTTAGCTTCTGTTAATTTGCCCCTTGTTTCATATTTTAATACATACAGCTTGTATCTTGTGATTCTTTGGAAATGGATGATGTGGAAAGACTTAAAAGAGAAAGAAATGAAGCTTTAAAAGAAATAAGTAAACTGAAGGTAATATTTAATTCTGATCATTTTTTAAAAAATGAAATAATCCATTTAAGGAAATATAGCATTTAACCTGAATTTGAATTGTCTGTGTATAGCATAAAAAGTATTAGTACAAGAGAGGATAGTATTCGCTGGTATCCAAGGAGCATATGCATACAATGTGCTTCTACAGAAATTGACCTTTACTCTCTATACTGAATCCCTGTGCTTTTTTTCTAGCTTGAATGTCAGGAGAAATTAGACTAGAGACATGTCACAGAGGTACATTGTGTGTATGTGATTTATCGGATCTATTTAGGAATTTATGGGGTCCCACATCACCATAATATCTGATCACCTTTTAGTACTTGTGAAAGATGCCATATTGACAGAATCGGAGATTTAAAGTCATCTATCCTCAAAACAAGTACAGCAAAGAGGCAGTAGCAGTGCAAACTTCCCCCAGTCAGTACCTGCCAGTCTACCTTAACGCTAACCTGGAGAGCCTACCTGTTGGGGTAAAAGACAAGCTCAATCTCCATGCTCATTCTCAGCTATGACTACTATCTAGTATGACAACTAGTGCGAGTTGTGGTGGTTTTTGTGATGTAGACAACTGTCCATTGGTAAGTGAATCAGACTCATTCCACATAGGACAATGAGCTTTTCTCAACTTTTAGCCACTAGTTACTTGAGCTGGACTGGAATTAGCAATCTAAGAATATGGAGAGAGCACTGTATAGCCCATTTTTAATCTTTTGAGCTATCCAAATCCCATAATACTATATTTCTTAAATATGTGAACATTTTTTCTAATCTCTTAAATAAAAGTCTGTGTCAACAACTAAAAAGCCCTCACTTATCAGATGAATCCGTAATATATGTTTGTTTTGATTTTAATTCTTAGATTGAAGCAGTACAAAGTAAATAAAGTTTTGGAGATTTATCATTCAGGCTTCAGTTCAGGAAAGCATTCCTATTAAAGCCAGCATATAAACATGTACTTAACTTCTGTTGAAGTCAATGGGATTTAAGCACATACTTCAAGATAAGAGTTTTCCTGAATCAGGTCACGTGCTAGCATTACCAGCTTTCCTTCTACAACCAGCAGGTATTGGGTGCTACCCTTAATCAGTCATCCAAAACACACCTAGCATTTGATCCTGAATGATACCAAGGACCTCTTGGGATGGGAGCTGAGGATTCTTAGTACCTTGCAGGAATCTCTCCACACCTTACACAACTGAGCCCTTTTAGTGCGAAGATCTCCAGATTTGTTTGACTGGCATGTCACCCTCACTTGCCTCCCACACATACACACCATGGAATAATTCATCACATTAATAAAGTCATCTCAAAACTGGTTGCTTGTTCCGTTCTCTCCTATTTGTTGTGTTTAACCTCAGCCATGTTATTCTCTTAAAAGGCTTTTTGTGATAGGAAGATGGCACCTTAAGTCAAAATTTGTCTCGTAGCTAGAGCAAAATCCTATACTTATTTGATCACCTCTGGAAGCGCTTTGCTCTTCTTCCCATTTAACTAGTCTAAAAAAGAAATACCTGTCTGGGGTATCGTCCTCTCTTTTTAAAATAAATAAATAAACTAGGTGGTGCTCATTTTAGCATATGGATTAGCTGGAAATAAGCATTGCTGCTTTAATCAATTTTTGTTTTACTATTCCTCTAATACTCTGTTCTTAAATGTCAAGGGCACCGAGAGCTTTGGATTCTTGTCCTTTTGTGTGGAGTTTATTTCAGACCAAAATAAAAATAAATTTATTTAGCCAGTCTGTTGGGGAAACACATTCCCCTTTTAATCCAGTTTAATCAATGGATCTTCTTATTTCCTAGATACTAAGGATATATGCATCTTAGCAATACTGCAAACATTTGCATTTCTAATCTTATATCAACATTAAAAAAAACCCATGTAAATTGTTTCTTATTATAGGCATACCGTGAGCTTTTCTTGGCATACCGTTTCCCACTCAGTACTTTATATTTCAGTATTTCCCAGCCAACCTAGTAGTATAATTGATGTTCCTGAATGACTGACAATAAGTTGTCTTAATTTGCTCAATAATAAGGCAACACACTGCTCATGTCCCTTTTAGAACATTAGACATAAAGTGTCCCTGGGCTTCTACAGTAAATTCCTGAGATCAGAGGAGTTATTGCCTCTACTGTATACTAATGCTGTAGTATTTTAATTTGTTTCAACCTTTGTAATTTTTTCAATTTAATTACACTCGTGTTGGATACTGCAGAAAAGTTCTGATTGGGTATACTTAAGAGAAAATACTCAGATGGTTACAGATTCTTAGAAATTTAGGATACCATCCTACAAAGTGCTAAGTGCCATTAACTTCTGTGTTGAAGGCACTCGGCAAGCTGTGGTACCCCAGATACTCAGCATACATTCTCCTTTTCTTTTAAAAAAAAAATCTTGGTTATTCTTAGTAATGCCACTTTTTTGCACTAATAATCCCTCTCCCTTCAAATATTTATAGACGGTTATAATATCTTCACCCCCACTAAATTGTTAGTTCTTTTAATCTTTACTCAATGCCAGTCTCCCCAGATTTTTTTTTAGAATTTTTGCTACCTTTCTCAGGTTGGTTTAGTGGTCTGATTTTTCATATATGCTGGTGGAATTCAGTGGGATGAGAAGGGTGTTCTAATGGATGGGACTCTGAACTGGAACTCATGAAACCAGAGTTCAGTTCCCAGCTTGGCTACTGACTTCCTGTGTGACTTTGGACAAACACTTAGTCTGCCCTGTGACTCAGTTCTCCATCTGGAAAATGGAGATAAAGCCTACCTACTTCAGAGGAGTGTTGAGGATAAAATCCATTAATGATTGCTATGCATTTTGATATGATGATGATTATGGCCATACAAATAGATAGATTTTGAAGATCCTAATCTCTGAAAATGAGTACATTTACCTTGCCTGTAATGAGGTGCCCAGAATTACAGGTGTAGCTTCAATGGGAGTTCCGTGCACAAAGGGTTTGCTGGACCAGGCCCCATGTTTACTACTTTTAATAGCTTCTGCCATCATTTCCATACTGGTACCAGCTACCACAATACAGAAAATATTATAATAGAACACACATTTTTTTGAACAGATTTTAATGAAGGTTTTGAAAGCTTTCCATCAGGATGATGTCAGGCTATTAGGATATAGTTTTTAGATGTCAGTGGACAGGAACGACAACCAAAGAAACCATTGTCCTTGAAGCGTTGGCATCATTTGTAAGATTGTGCAGTAAATTAAGTCTATTTAATATTTATTCATTTGACCGCCACATAAATGAAATGCAAAGAAGGTACTAATAGCTAACGTGTTTCCAGAAGGGGGAAAGAAGCATTTCAGTGTATGTTCATCATAGGCGTTACAGGATATACAGTATGTGACTGAAAGCAACAAACAAATCTGGTTACTTCCTTTACTAAGAATAAGTAAGGTCCTTTTAACCACTTCATTTTATCTCTTCTTTTTAATTATTTTAAGTGAACCACTGCATGTGGAAGGTGCTCTATTGGCAGCCCAAGAGATTGAAGTTCTGGCACTGTACAGGAAGTGACCTCATCCTTGTTTGTGAGGACCACTGGTGGGCTAGAAAAAGTGGATCATTCTCTTTGCTGAACCTACCAATGCGTGCTAATTTGAAGACAAATTTTTTTTGTGACAGGCACTGTGCAATAAGAACTGAGTAGAACTACGAGTTCATTTCACACAAGCCACATAAAAACTGTCAGATAAGACCAAATCTCATTACTTACTTTATCTGATCTGAATTTCAACCAGTTAGCTATCGGCCAATCAATGAGTATCCTGATAGCAGTCTCCTGAATCATCTGTTCTTGCTCACCTTACCTTTTTAAGTGTTTCTGTGCTATCCCAGATAAGACTGTGTGTGTGTGTATAGGCCAGTTCCACACTGGTGTAAATCATCATAGTTCTATTAACTTTAGTGGAGCAAAACTGATTTACACTAACCAAGGATCTGGCCCGATAAATATAATTCACAAATAAAAATATTATAGCCATCATGGCTCAACACAGAAAATTATTAAGAATCTGAATAACAGTCCATTTGGTCAGTAAATGAATGCAAGATTCCTGTTGATTTCCATGAGCTTTGGATCATGCCCGTAGCTACTCCCTTTGGTGCATTGCAGACATTACTAGATCTCGGTACACTTAACAGTATCCTTTAAGAGAGAATCTTTTATTAAGTACAAGTTGAGGCGAATTTCTACTGACACTTTTCAAATTCAATATTCAGTCCCACATGGGAAAACTCAAGTGTTTAATTCACAGTACAGACAAATATTAAAAACATTTGGATACAAAAAGAAATCTATACAGGGGAAGATTTAATTTCTACTGATTCATTAGGTTCCTTCCATTTCTTACCAAAAGAAAAAGAAATAAATGGCATTTTTTTTTATAGATTACATCAAGTAGTTATATAACAGCTGCCATTATTGGGTAATGGAAAAATGCCTCCATTAGAGGATTTTTTGAGATGTTTGATTATGATTATATGTAGCCTGAAAGATGCCCTTTACAAATGGGTTAATATTTGTGATAAAGAATGTTATTTATATATATTATTGGGAAAAGATATGGCAGAATGTCAGCAATATGTCCAGCTCATCATCTTTATGATTTCTACACAACAAAGTCTTAAAAAGTCTGCCTACAGAAAAGCTGTTTTTGCTAACCATAGCAAATGCTGGAGATGGCACAAATTACAGGAAATACTGGTGCAATATATCTAAAGGTCTCTTCACAGTTCTGAACACACAGATCTGTTCCTCAGCAAAAAATCTCTCTACTGGAATTGGTAGAAGAACAGTTTCTCTGTGAAAAGCAAGAAAATGGATACTCACATCTTTGTTAGTGGCAAAACATCTAATTCTCTGAAAATGGAAATCTAACACACCTCCAGTGTTTTCAGAATGGTTGGAAAAAATGGTCAAAGATTTAATGGAAAAATAACTTTACATATGTTACACAATAGTGGTAAATGAAGTAAAATGTGAAGGATGTTTCTATTGTTTTCTTGAAAAATTAAATAGAATTTTAAAGAAATGTCTACAAATCAATACAATAAATTACATTGTGTTTTCTAAATATGGTCTTATGCCTCACAGAAGTTTGCCAAAGCGATAAAAAATAATCTTTGTCTACTCTTCTATATAAAGAAAAATACTACAACAAAATTGTATTATTTTAAATGTATAGATATTATATTAAATAAGTGTATGTGTCATAATTCTCAACAACTATTCAAGAAAGCTAAAGGAATAGATGGACTAAAAAAATCACTAGACTATCTAAAAAATAACCTCTAGAGCAGTGATACTCAATTAGATCTACCCGTAGGCCAATTTTAGAATTTTATGCCAAGAGGTGGGCCATTGGAACAGAAGGCTAAGAAAATAAAAAAATCAGCTGCTACTAAATAAAGGCCTTGATTGCAACATAAGTATTAGTATTTCTATCTTTTAACAAAGTTTATTAATCAACATTATGACCTGTGCTTTGATTTCCAAATGGGCAGGGGACATGGGAGAGCAGCCCTGCCCCCCAGCCATCCCCATTGTTCTCTCAGTGCCGGCAGGGCAAGAGGGGGTGAGTGTTAATTTTCTCCCCTGCCTGATGCATTGCTCCCATACGAAGGGGCGGCAGTCCCCACCACCTGAACCTGGATCTCTCTGCTCTATGCCCAAATTAGGGTACCTGCCCGACTGGAATATCCATGGGGGGGAAAGAGCACCCCACCCTTCACACAAGGGGGTCCAGGATCAGGCCCAGTTCTCACCTCCTCCTGGAACAGGTCCACTGCATGGGACAGAATAAGCAGGGGGCCTCTAGCAGCTGGGATTGCGGGCATCATGGTGGTGGCAGCGCCCTCTGGCTGGAGCACAGAGCTGATGCACCTTGAGCACCCTGCTCAGACTGCTTTGTGCACCTGATCTGCCTCCCAAGGTGGAGCCCTGCCAGAGGGCCTCCCTTCTGCCCCGGTGCTCAGCTTCCCCTGCTGTGTCCTGACTGCACAGTCACCTCCCCAGTTCCTGATGCCTCACCTCTTGCCTCGCTGCCAGCAATGTGGAGTCTCTGCCCCTTCTGGGTCTTCCAGGGCGCAGTGGACTTCTCATCGGAGCCCCCACCCAAGAAGCCAAGTGAGCACTGCCAGGCGGTGGTGGCCCCAATCCCAAATGACTCGCTGCCCAGGAAGCAGGAGCTCAGCTTGTGCTTGTTTAGCCATAGCTGCACCCACTGGGCATTTGGCAGGCTCAGTGTGCTGCTGGCCTTGCACAAGGGCATAGCGAAGCAGGGGTGCTGGAGCCCCAGCAGTGAAAGGGCACATTGTGAGCAGCATGAGCCTCCTGCTGCCCACGCCAGGACCAGTAACTGATGCAGCAAGCCTAGACGTGCCAGGATTACGAACTGCCAAGCCCCGGCTCAAATTAAGCACTGGCTGGCGGGCCCACACAAGAAGCCTTGGGTGGGCCACGTTTGGCCCAGGGAGCCCCCTGTTAAGGATCACTGCTCTAGAGATTAAGATTTGGTCTGGTCCCAGTCTTTACTAAGGTAGTCATTTATTTGTGTTGAATGTTGTAGCTAGAACATAGTACCTGTCCATATTCCATGGATATCATTTTGCTGCTGCATAAATAATTAGTCACTGTTTCTATTAACAGGAAGAATTGTCTGAATCTGTAGGTCTACGAAAACTGTTAACAGAGGAGCTACAAACTGTAAAACAAGTATGTTGTTGTGGGGTTTTCTAATCTCTTATTGATATCTTATTACCCTAATGTGATTCTGAAGAGTTTTTTTAAATAATAGCTTTTTTGTGCAGGGGAGAGGGTGGAATTATTTGTGCACTTTATGGTTTTCCTCTCCGCTACACTGATTTCACTTCATTGGAGTTACACTAACATAAAAGTAATATGATAGAGTGAAGAATCAGCCCCTACAGATGGAAATATTTTTGCTTGAGCAAATGAGGGATACCGGGGCAGATGTTCACAGCACATCTCCCATTATCTTCAAATAGTGATTGAGCAGGTAATTCCCAGAGTGTCATACAGAGTGTTAGCCCTTTATGTTTTCTGTCTGCTTTTTCATGAACTCTGGTGAAGATGGTTAAAATGTAATTTAAAGTGCAGCAAAAATTCCATTGGTAAATGCCACATTAATTCCCTGTGATTTATATTTGAGATTTGCTCAGTTTTCTCAAGTTATAAAATAATCTCTAACTGCAAGTGCTAAATATTCAACCTGGGGTATGAAAATCCAGCTGTATTTTTGTGAGTCGTACAGACGATTGTTAGTAGAAATAAGAATTCTGCAATGAGACCTTTGCTCATCATAAAAAGCAAAATTATACGCTAAGCCAAAAAGAACCCTCTCCCTTAGCTGTAGTGATTCTTCAGTGGTAGCAGTAATGACAAAGTTTTCATTAAAATACAAAAATAGACTCAGAAGCATAAAGGGTTAAGTTGGCTTAAAAGGTGCTGCTTTCAAACTTCTGTACATAAAGGGGTCATAGTGAAGACCAGTATCCTGCCAAAAGTGTAAGAAGATCTCTACCCCAAGAGCATACAAAAATAAGATATTGCACAAAGCCCAATCAAGGGAGGATGCGGAGGGCATGACAGGTGGGAGGAAAACAAGGTAGGAAAGGTTCTGTGACCTGCAATGTGCAGGAGGTCAGGCTAGATGATCACAGTGATCCCTTTTGATCTTAAAGTCTATGAGATTCCTGGAAAGACCCAATGTTTGAGGGAAATAATGAGGAGAGAGAGAGGAGGCCCAGGTAGCCAAGTAGAGGCAATGCAAAGACATGCACAGTATTGAGCAAAGTGAGCAAAACTCTGCTCACACTGACCTGAGCACTGATGTGTAGGGGACAGATGGGCATGGAGGTTGTGGGTAGGTCATAGCTATTTAAGTACACTCCAGTGAACTCTGCTGATGCCATTTTTAGGATTTCTACTACTGCTGTTACCAGTTAGAAGAACTGACTCCTGGACCTTGCTTATATTGAGGTTTAGGGAAATCTCTCTCTGTTGCTGCAGCACTCATGCTAGCAACAGTGAAAGTTCTACTGTGGACATGCCACTGACATCCTTACCTTCATAGCATCTAAGAGAATGTCTACGCTGCAGCTGTGAACGAGTCTCCCAGCCCAAGTAGACAGACTCGCATTCGTGGGGCTCAAGCTAGCGCGCTAGAAATAGCAACATGGATGTTTCACCTTGGGCAGAAATTCGGGCTTTCAAGCCCATCCGACTGTCTAGGCTTGAGAGCCAGAGCTGGAATGTCAACATTGCTATTTTTAGCACATTAGCTGAAGCCCTACTACTGCTAGCTCGAGCCCTTCTAATGCAAGTCTATGTGATCTGGAAGGCTTACTCACAGCTATCCGTATAGACCAATGGTTCTCTACCTGTGGTCCAGTCAGCACAGAGCTGCAGCCCAGGTGACATCCTCAGGGCCATACTGCTTACTTGCATGCTGTTTGTAAGTTCCTATCGTGCCTGCTGACTGCAGCAGGTCTTCTGTTCCAAATGAAGAATTTTTAAACATTTCTCTTCTGTTCTTATTTTGGGATTAGATTTATACTTCTTTGACTTTACTATTTGTCAGGGTTTTTTTGTTTTTTGTTTATTACTACCCTTCAGTACCCAGTTAGAATCTAGTTGCTATTTCCAGTATTGCTATGTTGCTTTACGTGACAATCATTATTAAATTAAGACTGTAGACACTTAAGCTACAGAAATGCATGTGCTTAGTATTTTTAGTGGTAGCAATGCCCATTGCTACCACATGAGGCCCTCATGTATTTATTTCTCTGTCTGCATTGTCATCACGTAATTTTGAAGGTGAGCTTTGCAGTGAAAAGTTCAGGCCTCCTGGTGCTGAACAATAGGGTTTTCCCAGCTGAACTTTGAATAATGGCTACTGAAAAGGACACAGCCAGTAAAATCAAAGAGCAATAATTAAATCATGGAATGTTTCAACATATTTGAAACATTTACTTAGAGAAATATTTACTTCCGTTCATATTTTAAGTATATTTTATATTATTTTATGTATTTTTCTGTTATATATATTCTAAGCAAACACACACATCTGCATTTCAATTAATATTGAAATTCATTGTTTGAGATTCACTGAGACTCAAACTGTAAAAAGCCAGGCTACTCACAGATCTGGTCGACACTCTGTTCAATCTTCAAATTTGGCCTTTCTACTTGAATACCCACATTGATGCTTACTCATCTAAAACATGTATTTGCATGCTTCAGTGTCTGATCCTGCAAGCTGCAGAATGCTTCCTGACCCTAAATCAGCAAAGCACTTAGTGCATGCTCAACTTTAAGTAAGCATTTAGGTGCTTTGCTGAATACAGATGGACTTAAGCATGTGGTCAAGCGCTTTGCTGAATCAAGGCCCTTGTGAGGTATTGCGCATTGAGGATGCTCAGAACTTCACAAGAGGTGCTCGGTATGTTTTAGGACTGGGTGAGCCCTAACCAACAATTTGAACACTGAAATGTATAATTTGGTTGCCAGATTTAAGTGCAGAAGATTGAAAACCAAGCTCCCTCTCTAGAACTCTGTGGCTAGGCCTTCACTGGGGAAAAAGGTGTGCGTTTTACATTGAGATATCTGTTTAAATGTAAAATCCTGTTGGAGTCATTTGTCACAGGCAGTTTGTACCTTGATGTAGTTAATCGAGGTCAACCCTCTTCAGCTGGTTTTCGCCTTGACTAGCTACAGTGAAGTAAACCTAAAGTGCCATGTCTTCACTAGGATTTTACATCAAGAAACGCATCTTTTTTGCAATGAAGTCATAGTCTAAAAATGCTGCGTTGTTTCGGCTTATCAGTTGGGTATTATCAGTTCAACATGAGACTCCTGCAATACATAGATACAAAGGGATTATAAAGGAAGGGGTTTCTGTATTATAATGAAATCTACTTATCTTTAAAAGAAAAAGTCACAAGTTGAATGCTCATTAGCATTTGGTGTGTGTCCATTTCCTTTTGTCAAAGGCAACTAAAGAACAGTCCCTAGCTATTAAACCATTCTTGACATATGAGCTGTTTATGTATGTATTTAGGGACTTTTATAAATGGAATCTTGTACCACACAGCAAATCCATGAGACATGGCAGCTTTTCCCTTGACCTTTTGGTCTGTTATGCCCTCCAGAGTTTTCCAATTAACTAGATGAAAGAGCAATAATTAAACTGATGTTCAGAGAAATGCTATTGTCTTAAATCATTGATGTAATCGATGTTCAGTTGAACGGGTCATTTATCATAAAGAGTATACCCAAAAAATACCTCCATTAATTGCCTCCCTGGCTGAGAGAAGGCTCCAATATTTAGTCATTCTGTATCTGTATATAGAATGAATGTGTGTAGCACAGAATGACCAAAGATTAGAGTTTTCCTGTAGATAATATAAGATTAGATTCTTCCTATAATATAATCTTTCCGTGAATAAATAAAATATCATAGTTGTTGGAGTAGATGCTATAAATGCTTGCCTACGGTTAAGTACTGCCATGGTGAGTATATATAATTTGGGAGCACCTCCTCCTCCTTGTTAATCAATGAGAATAGCCATCTACATACTTAACTTAATTATTTTCAAAAACAACTATTTAGCAGGCAGGTCTCCGTGCTATCACAATGACCTTTGATCTTTCACTTGCTAAAACCTTCTCCCAGGCTGAGTTTATAAAAGTTGTTTTAAGCATCATTAAAAGTTCAGTGTTATGACCTGAAACAGTAAAGTAGTGATCAATCCAAAACTGAAATGTTTTACCTGTCTTGGCCAATCATTCGCCTGTAGGAGGAGGGAAAATCATTCACTTGGTAAATTCTAGGCTGTCATAATTAGGGTGACCAGACGTCCTGATTTTATAGGGACAGTCCCGATATTCTGGGCTTTTTCTTATATAGGTGCCAATTACTCCCCACCCCCGTTCCGATTTTTCACACTTGCTATCTGGTCACCCTAATTGTAATACATGGGTGCAGGCACAGGTAACTGTACCGGTATGTATCAGGTGTTAGAAAGAGACATTAGAAACATAGATTCTGAGACTTTGATTTTTTTAAATATATTTTCAAACTCTTTTCTTCTGGGCACTTACAAAAATATTTTAAGATTTGAATAATTACATCTGTCTCTTATCACCTTTTTTTTTCCTTATTGCTAACCAAGCTATTTCAAACCCCTGCCATCTGAAGATGTTAATCAGAAGGCTGCAGGGCAGAAAAGGAGCTTTCAGCAGTACCCATTGAGCTGTGTAGGGATATACGGGCAGCTTTTATTGCTTCAGGAATCCCCCTCTTTGCAGTGTGTTACTGCCTTTATAGAATTTTTTATTACTCTCATTTTTAGAACCAAGAAGGAAAACATGTTTCTTATTTTTATTGTTGAGAACTTAAATAGTTGTTTTCTGAGGAAAACTAAGGAATTTTAAAATGTTTAAATTGTTCAAACTTATTCCCAAACTTTTAATGATAGAACTGTTGATGTATTTTAACGTACATTAGTTATCGGCTAAGAATAACTCCAGTTAAAGTTAGACATCCTTATTAATTATGTTAATAGTGGTATGTCTATACATGTAAAAACCTAGGGATGAGATTAAAGCACAGAGTCGAACTGACAACCCGGTGGGAGAGGGAGCTAACGTTTCTTTAAGTCACCATTGTGCCCTTCTGATCCCAATTTGCTTCAAGGGCTCCAAAAGCTCTCCAGTATAATTTAGACAGTCCTAGAGGCCTGTGTAAATTATGGCAATCTGTACTTTGCTGTCCCACGGGCCTTAACGCTGCTTGGCATCTGTGTAGTACTATATGCTGCAACCCTACTCCTGACACTTCCCTTCTGCACATGGCTCCAGCACACCCAGGGCTTGTGAAGGGACCCTCGGAAGGAAGCCATATGGTTATGTTCAACATAATCCTCCCCCCTCCCATCAGAAATGTGGCTTTAGGGCTACTTTATGCCACTCTGGTCCTTTTACATGTGTAAAGAGGTTGGAGCCGTAGTGAGGATCTCACCCTAAATAGTTAGTGTACATCAGCGTAGCTCCATGGGGTTCAGTGGAACTGTCGTAATTTACACTTGCTGAGGACCTGGCCCAGTATAGTGCAATACATAAAAAGTATCTAAAAGGGAACTGCCTCTAGGATTCTGACTTTCAAGCCACACAGTAGTAAAAAAAACTCTATGAACTTTGTAAACAGCCCAAAAGGTCTAGGTATACATGTATATACAAACATCAGCAATGCTTGTGGGTACAGAAACAACCACTGCCCTGAACTGCTGCTGGAGCTGTAATATAATTCTTATTGCTGGCAGCCAGATGAACACATCAGCTACTTAAAGTCCTAATTCCAGTGTTCACTGATCAAATAATAAGCTTTTTTAAACTGAGTTAAGATTTACCCAGGCCAACGTGGCCATGTTTTCCATTGCTAGGTCTCCTCATCGTCACTCGGGAAGGTGTCTTGGTACAGATTAAGTTGGTTATATGATCAAACCCATGCTGGTCTGAAAATTGGGTGGGGGCTTGCAAGGATATATAAACTTACTGGAATTTTTTTTCCAGTGCCACTAACCGAGGCATAAGGTCCCATCGCAGGGTCCCAGAGCTCAGGCTCCAGCCCAAGCCTGAACATCTACACAGCAGTGTTTAGCCCCACAGCCCAAGCCCTGTGAGCTTGAGTCACCTGACCTGGGACAGCCATGGCTCTTCTTCAGGTCTTTTATTCCAGTTTAGACGTACCCTTAATGGTCTGGGACCTACCTACCTGAGGGACATAAGAATGGCCATACTGTGTCAGACCCAAGGTCCATCCAGCCCAGTATCCTGTCTACTGACAGTGGCCAATGCCAGGTGCCCCAGATGGAGTGAACCTAACAGGTGATGATCAAGTGATCTCTCTCCTGCCATCCATCTCCACCCTCTGACAAACAGAGGCTAGGGACACCATTCCTTACCCATCCTGGCTAATAGCCATTAATGGACTTAACCTCCATGAATTTATCCAGTTCTCTTTTAAACCATGTTATAGTCCTAGCCTTCACAACCTCCTCAGGCAAGGAGTTCCACAGGTTGACTGTACGCAGAGTGACAAAGAACTTCCTTTTATTTGTTTTAAACCTGCTACCCATTAATTTCATTTGGTGGCCCCTAGTTCTTATATTATGGGAACAAGTAAAAAACTTTTCCTTATTCACTTTCTCCACACCACTCATGAGTTTATAAACCTCTATCATATCCCCCCTTAGTCTCCTCTTTTCCAAGATGAAAAGTCCTAGCCTCTTTAATCTCTCCTCATATGGGACCTGTTCCAAACCCCTAATCATTTTAGTTGCCCTTTTCTGAAAATTTTCTAATGCCAGTATATCTTTTTTGGAGATGAGGAGACCTCATCTGTATGCAGTATTCAAGATGTGGGCATACCATGGATTTATATAAGGGCAATAAGATATTCTCCGTCTTATTCTTTATCCCTTTTTTAATGATTCCTAGCATCCCATTTGCTTTTTTGACTGCTGCTGCACACTGCGTGGATGTCTTCAGAGAACTATCCATGATGACTCCAAGATCTTTCTCCTGATTAGTTGTAGCTAAATTAGCCCCCATCATATTGTATGTATAGTTGGGGTTATTTTTTTCCAATATGCATTACTCTATATTTATCCACATTAAATTTAATTTGCCATTTTGTTGCCCAATCACTTAGTTTTGTGACATCTTTTTGAAGTTCTTCACAGTCTACTTTGGTCTTAACTATGTTGAGCAGTTTAGTATCATCTGCAAACTTTACCACCTCACTGTTTACCTCTTTCTCCAGATCATTTATGAATAAGTTGAATAGGATTGGTCCTTGGACTGACCCTTGGGAAACAGGCCCTTGGGGACCAAGGATTTTCAGAGGTGTTAGATCCCAGCTCTTGTTGACTTTCAATAGGAATTGCATCCCAAAGCCCTTTGCAGACTGATCCACAGATTAATATTCTCATAGAAATCAGTGACAAAACTCCTGCAGAAATATAGCTCAAACCTTGTGTAATATATTGGAATCTATTTACTCACCACTGTGGCGGGAAGGATAGTGGCTGATTAATAGTGCACAGCAACACAGCACAGCAGTTTAGGATTGGGAGTGAAGAAGAGTATTGAATCCACTTGAAAAGTCATAGAAACTTTTTGATTGAATCCTATCATTGCCATGAACAGGACACCAAGGTGTGCACACCTTTTCTTACAAAATGTGCTGTGGGAACTTTTAGCAAAAGTTAAATCTTGGGCAACCCATTTACCTTTTCTGTCATTCAGTTTCCTCATGGATCTAGTAACAATAAAAGGGTATTATGAGGCTTAACTACTCTTTCCATAGCTTCTTTGACATAAAAGGTGCTACAGAAGTGCAGAGTATTGCTAATGAAGAAAGGAGAAAATAATATATTTTGATCTATTTTGCACCAGATTTGGCCACAAAACTAGATATAGATTTACAATCTCCTCTCTCTCTCTCTCTCTCTCTCTATGATTTATCCCTTTTGTTACATCTGTATTTTTATAAAGCTGGTTTACTTTTAAATGAAAAGATAATGTATATATGTAGCTAGGTAATTTTTGTTCTGAATAGGATTCACTGAACTGCCTATTTCATCTACACATGCTACACAAAACTCTGAAGTTTAATTAGGAGCAACCCACAACAGCATAAAATTTTTCATTGCATCTGAAGGCTTGATTCAGTAGCAGACTGCATCTGTGGCTACTGATCTGTGAAGTGAACATCAGACAATCACGGGGTTAATCCTAATTCCTTAAGGGAAATTTAAAAGGATTCCCTCATTGGAAACCTCAAAATACCACATGTTTCATTTTTTGTTTACAGCACAAAAATGATGATTCTGCCAACTTGATTGTGAATGGGGGACTGAGGGTCTGATCCAACTCCCATGGAACTCAGTGGAAAGGCCTGGATCTGGGCCCTAAGAAGGGACTCCTCTGAGAGAGCTTTGACTTTGAATGGAGTCTTCAATTGTTAGCTCTGCAGTTTGTTCCTGGCTTCAGCCAGAAAATAGGCACAGAGCCTGATTCTTTTCTCTCTGACCATGGTTTTTGTGTTGGTGTAACTCCATTCACTTCAGTGTAACTGCTGATTTCCACCAATGTAAGAGGAGAAGCAGGTTCATGGTTCTATGGGGTTGTGGTGAATACAGAAAAAAAATGTATAATTTGTAAATTAGGGCACAGTCCTTCAAACAGTTAATCATGTGTGTACGTAAGTAGTCCCACTCAAGTCTGTGAGACTACTTGCATGAGTAAAGATTTGCAGGATTAGGCTCTTAGTTTAACAATACTCAATTTACAAATTAACAGAAGTTAATGTGAATGAATATTCAGTGACAAACTTAACTGAGAACTTCTACACTTCTCTATGTTGAAGTTTTGTAACTGTTACATTCTTTCACAGCTGTTTTTGTAAGCAGGGAATAATTTATCTACCTTGATTTTAAAAAGTTCGCAAATGTTTTTTATTTGAAAAAATACCATAAAATTTCCCCTGCCTTCTCCTATGTCTACTTTCCTCTTTTTTTCTATGGCTCCTATATAGAAAGCTCTCCTTAAATAATACAGGCGTAAAGAGTTGAATGCAAGAACCTTAAAGAAACAAAAAGCAATACATTTTTAAAGGAATTTAATTTGGCCAGGACACCAAGGTTAATAATTCATACAAAAAATGCTGTGGAAACTATGGACTGATTCACTGGATTCAGGCAATAAGAAAACCAGATACCTGTACTTATTTGGAGGCTTTCCGCTGGTATGGAGATGGTGGGCTTCACTATGAATGTCAGATACTCTGGTGTTAAATCACCTTTACCTCCATTGGATTTATACCAGAGTACTAGAGCTGAGAACCTGGTTTGGTGGTCATGATTTCTTTAGGTTTTGTTGGTCTCATTTGCTGTAGAAACTGAAAATTATTTTTTGTTGAATACAGTCCATTAAAATGTTAAAAGTCAAGGAAAGGGCTTGTCTTACTTTACAGTTGTTAAAATTCTCTCTTTTTTTTTTTTAAATACCTTTCCCCCTTATTTTCACACCACAAATTTTAAAAAGAAAAAATGGAACTCTCTAATCATCAATCCCAAAATTTAAGTGCTTGCCAAAAGAAATATTTTGCCTAAATCAGAGAATTGTTCACTTTGACTGTATTTTATAGGAAGCCAAGGCAGCAGTGGAAGAGGCAAGAGCCCTGCGAAGTAGGATTCATCTCGCAGAAGCTGCACAGAGGCAGGCTCGTGGAATGGAGATGGATTATGAAGAAATAATCCGTCTATTAGAGGCTGAAATTACAGAGCTGAAGGCTCAGCTCACTGATCATTCTGGCCAAAATAAAGTAAGCAGAACAGTCATCGCTCATAGTTACCATGGTTTCCTTGCTGTTGTCATGTATCTTGTTTTCATTTTCTTTTCATCTGCTCTTCTAAAGTAGGTCACTGTTTTTTCTTGTATTATTCAATAACTGGAATGATGCATAGTGAAGGGGGCAATGTGAAGGCTATGAGCCTTCCTTTATCTAGATATCTTTAGGCTGGAAAAACAAGAGCCAGAAGCTTATTTGGGTCATTGGTCAATATGGCACATCTCAAGCATTAAAGTATAAAACATTGAATATGTTGGTTTTCTGTTTTGTTTTAAAATTTATTAATATATGTCATAAAAATTGAGGCAAAGAAAAAGCATTTTTGTGGTTGATTAAAGCTTTCAAGGAAGTCTGAGAGATTGAATGATATTTTAGATTCCTAAGCAAATTCACACATGTTCAGTTTCAGCTTTTTCCTGGTTTCTGTTTTAAATCAATGTAGATGTATCTTCAGTAAGTGTGTTTGTTGTTTACACTTGGCGTATTGTTAGTATTTCTAGCTTGTTTCTCAGTGATGCACAAATAATAATAATAATATAAAATTCAGGACTATTCTTGAATAAATTCAAATTTACTCAACTTAATTTTTTGAAAGACACTAACAACATTAGTGTGACCTAAATCTGATTTATTTGTTTTTTAAATGAAAAAGATTGTACAAATGAGCCTCACATTCGAAGCCACCATATTATCCCCAGTGATTTTTAGAGACCAATTCAGAAATAAAACAGTTTGGGACAATTTTTAATGAACCTCCATAACTGGGAATCCATTTTCATGCTGACATATATTGTTCATTGTTTCTTCGTACTTCCCTGTTGTCTGTCTATAATCATCTGTTGTCTCTTGTCTTATACTTAGATTGTAAGCTCTTTGGGACAGAGACTGCCTTTTTGTTCTGTTTGTTCATTCAGCTCCTAGAACAGCAGTGTGCTGGTCCATGAGTAGGGCTCTTAGGCTTTACAGTAATACAAATTAAAAAATAGTAACAATAATAATTGGCATCTGTGTGTGTAGTTATCTAGTTTGCTCATGAAAAAAATGGATATGTCCAATCATTTAAAATAAGGGTGGCCTGCTGAAATTTTCAATGTGAGAATTAGTTCAATATTAAAAAGTAAAAACTGTGTTACAAGAGCTATAAAGTGCATGGACCTAATACTTCACTGCCTTGCGCACTCTTCGTGCGATCACTTAGGCCCAGATTTTGAAAAGAGCGCAACTCCCATTTAAGCACAAAATAAGTGTCCAGATTTTCAGTTACGCTCAGCACACTGATGCATGTTGGGTGCTAAACTTTCTTCAAAATCTGGTCGCAGATGAATGCTTGTAAATCTGGACTTAAGTGCTTTCAAAAATCTGACATGGGGCCTGATCCTCCACCCATCTTGTTTAGAGGTAACACTCCCATTGACTGCAACAGATGCAGGGTTAAACCCTTGTACTCGTGCAGAGTTGGAAGCTGTCCAGGGCTGAGACTGTCTACTAGTCTGTGTTGGTACAGTGCCTAGCACGATTAGGCCTCATTCTTGGCTGGTACTTTGGCATTACCATAATAAACCTGATAGATTTTTAAAAAATAAGTTGGTGTAAAACGTTACTATTACAGTTTGGTAGCCTTTTCCTCCCACTTTGTGTAAGTGGTTGTACAAGGAGCAAGGCAATAGAGAATAAGGTCTCTTAAGTAGCATACTTTGAAGTGCTCTTCTAAATTTAATTTAAGCAACTGGTAGTGTAAGTAAGAGATATTGATCAGTTCACCTTGTTTCTTTAGGTACAGTACATGAAGAAGAGGTTTGCTCCACTTTGTCTTTTGATAACATCTGTAAGCCAGGGACACCAAAACTGTACTTAGTAAAGCAGCAGCAGTTGGCTGTATTTAATAAAATCTTCCCTAAGTAGGCTTAGCATCTCCTTTTCCAGTAATGAACAGTGCAATATACATTACAGAAAAGAAACTTTCTAATCAAGCAGACTTTCTGATATTCAGAATAATGGGGATTCTGCCACATAAAGCTGTGTGCATGTGTGTTTGCTTTCAATAAAGATATAGTTAATAGTAACAGCACTTTTTAGTAGTTGCAAATCTTATAGTAGATTGTATTCAGGTGATGGGCTTCAAGAGAAATGCACCTACAGTAATGTCAACCTTAGTTTTTGTAGAGAGTGGCATTTTCTTTCCCTTTTACTGGGAGGTATTTTGCTCCTAATCCTCTGCCTAGCACACAGATTGAGGAAACAAATGTTCCCATGTATACATGGTGGCCTCCATCTTGTCCAACACCACCAGAGATTGAACCCTTTAGAGCTGAAGAGCCAGCCTCTTGATGGGGTTGTACCAGACTCTTATCCTCTGTGGATCAGGCGCAAAGGGGGACATGTAACAAATACTGAACGATGCGTTACACATATGTATGTAGAAAAATCGGAGCGGTTTAACTCTGTTCAAGGCCTGTCACAGAGTTATTAGTTGCTTTGGTGAGATCCTCATGTAGTAGTTAAACATAAAACAAAAAACAGTTTAATTCAGAGTTTTAAAATAATTCTGATCCAGCAATTTATCAGAAAAGGAGTGGAGAACATGGCTTCCCACCATGATCAAATCAGCACTGTGGACTGCTGAGGCATCCAGCCCCAAGCTGGTGCCCTTTCTAAAAGAACAAAAAAAAATGGTTGTAAAAAAAGAAATGGTGGTTGCAGTCTGTCAACAGCACCTTGATAGCAGCAGGAGCCTGATTCCCAACATGCATGTCCCATGAACAGCTGAAGCAGACGCTTTCTAAAACTTCTGATTCAACTGTTTCACTCTGAGATCTAAAGTTGAGGCCTTGTAGAATACAGAGCATGGGCTTGTCTATGTGAACAATTAGTTCACACCAAGCTGGGGTGTGAATCTACCGTGCACTAACCTGCCGCAGACCAATTGTCCTTGTGCACCCTGCTGATGTGTTAATAGTTTGTTAGAGCGCTTCGATCTAGTCCTCAAAGCGCTGTATCGAACTGTTAACACACGTCAGCAGGGAGTTTGTCCACAGCAGGCCAGTATGGGGTACAGTCACACCCCAGTTTGCTGTGAACTAATTGTTCATGTAAATAAGCCCTCAATTACTTGGACATGGAGGAGATAGAGTGTGCTACACTAGGGATGCAAGGAAAGCATTGAGGGGACGACATTTTAAAATCTACAGTATCTCTCAAGTTCTGAATTCAGATTTTATTTTAAACATCATGTGTGTTTTTTAGGCAATTCTAGGGCCTTCAGGATCCATTTTGGTAAAACAGTATTTGTTCCCTTCTTCCTCTTTCCTTAAAATTTGGAGAGACAACCCCTTCACCTTCACTGTTCACTCAAAAAGGGAGAAAAATGACAAATAGGATAAATAAAATTAAGTCTTGAAATTAATTAGGTAGTATTGACTGAATTTCTTCCACAGGATAGTGTTCAAGATTTAAGAAAGAGAATTACTGTGCTTGACTGCCAGCTGCGGAAATCAGAATCGGCTAGGAAAACCTTTGAGGTGGCCACCGCAAAACTGCTGCAGTTTGTAGAGGTAACTTTTTTGCACTGTGGTCTCCAGCAACGTTTTATTTGGGAAAAGATGTGTGTTAATATATCTAAGAGACAAATATGATGAATTAAGCATGAATGTGTAAAACTCTAGTTTGAAAAAAACATTCACAGCTTATACAACTTGCTGAAATATGAGCTAAGGCAGAATTCCATGTAGGGATTTTTGAGACCTTTGAATGTTACTGTGTGCCTAATTGTAACAAGCATTCTTTTGTTTGTGCAGTAAAACCTATGATCTTAACATTTAGAGGTCAAGTTTCTTTACCTGGAAATGGTAAAATGATGCCCATTTGCAATATTAAGAGGCAGATATACATCAGTAAACAGAGGTTATGTTGAAAACATGTTTAAAAAAAACAGAATTGTAGCTTGCTGTACGCTTAATCCAACTCAGCCTGTTCTGCACCATTTTATACTGAACCAGTTAGTCAGTGTTGCTGTGTCACTTCATACTAGCCGAGGATGTGGTCTACTCATATATTTATTTCACGTAGTAGAAAGGTTTATAACATGGACGTATAGATCATATACTCACAACATGGATGTGTTTTAATGAATCTTGGCCAATTCGTCTTTGCCTCCCCCATATGGTGGACCTGAGTTGTCCATTGCTGTGAAAATAGGATGATTTTGTATGTTATAATTTTCAGGCAGCTTAAAATTGTTACAGCTCCTTCCCCCCATGCTGACTGCTAATATAAGAAAATCTTCCAGACTTTGTTTTTGAATGTCAGATATGGGGGAAAGGTGTAGCCAGCTTATACAAAAGAGTTCCGTAGGGAGGGAAATTATGTTATTTGAACTGTTGTCTTTTATATCTCAGCAATATACCTTATTTGCCTCTACAATTTTACTTCCATGGAGACTGAAAATTTTCTCTTTTTATAATCCTTACATAATGGCCTGCCAATAGGAAAATGTTTGATTTAGCAAATTAGCCTTTCTACTAGTAGATCTGTGGTTAGGGAGATAGAGTAAAGTCCGTATGAAAAGTGTCCTACAATATATTGTTCATATTTGCATAGATGTGGCTGAGGTGCTTTGGGTTGATAGATTATTGTCCACATGAAAAATCATTTAGGGTCCGTTAGAAGAAAACGGAGACCCCAACTCATTCTCTGTGGCTAGGAATACAAATTGTGTGTACAAAGTTTGCAGGGAGACAGAAGGTCTTTAAGTAGACAACAAAGCAACAGAAATAGTATGTGAAGCTTATAAAACATTAACTATTCATTTCTTTGATTGTTTGCCAACAGGTTGTACATGAAGTACTAGCAGACAACTCCATCCCCTTGTCAAATTTAAGGTAAGAAAACCTAAACTTAACTTGTTTTATTGAAGGTAATGTGTGAAATGATATGAAATATAGCAATACATGTTGTTATTGAAAACCTTTGTGACAGGTTTAGAAGCTCCAAACAACTCATACTAAGCCTTAGCTGTTTTCTTTCTTTACTCCTACGCATTTCTGAATGCCTACTTTTATGAACAGTGGAAATAAAAACACAACACTGGTCTCGGGGCTACATCTTTCATTAACAATTTTAAGATAAATCAGTTAATCAGAACATACCCAGCACATCTATGGGCATCTCCATGCTTGCATCAGTCAAAGACACTATATCCCTAGCCACAGCTTTCCACCTTATTCTTTCCCCATGCAAAGAGTAAGACTCTTTTTTGGTAGAGACTGCCTCTCGCCTATGTCCAGTAATAAGGAGCATCACCACTGTTAGTGCCACCAACATCTGTTTAGTTCCGTTTCTTCTGAGAGTTTAGCATTTGGTTAGGAGGACTTTCAAGGTTACTTCCTGCACCATTTACGTGGCCAAGGACCCTGCCAACAAAGGTGGAATAAAAGAAAAATGTGCATATTCACATATGTCAGAACATCATCAAACCACCCCAACAGGGCTAGGAAGAAAACGCTTGGCCCAATGCATCAAACAGCTTACGAATGAAATAACCAGCTACCTGCCACATAATGCCTGCAATGAGGGAGGGGGAATAGCCTCTTGCCACTGGCTAGGGCTGTCTGCCAGAGGGAAAAATTCCTTCCTGATCCTAAATATGGTAACTGGTATAACCTTGTGTACCGTGAGGATTGTACTAGCAAACTCCAGTAGCACTACCTGCTTTTGTTACCAAGCAAGAAGCCTTCAAGCCTGGAATCAGAGAAACCATATTTATCTAAACTTTATGAAAGTGAACTGAATTATTTTAATTAAAACACGTTGCAGCTCAGATGTATTCAACAGGATTTAGAGCAGCCTTTGGCCTCTTAAAATACCAATATAATACTATCCTGTCTCACAGGGCAGGTTTCTCCCTGTTCATGTTCAAGAATAAATGCTAAATAGGACCCTATCCTGCAAACCTTATTCATGCAAAATTCCTAATAAAGTCAAATCTGTTTAACTGAAATTATTAGGGGTTTTGTCTCACTGATAGTTTCAGGATCAAGCTCTCAGTCTGTAATTGATGTCTGTTAAGTAGCAAACAAATTCTACCCTTATGTATATATGCACTAATCCCAGTTGGGTCAACGGGAATTGTATTTGACTAACAGAGATTGTAAAGAATGAAATGTTGCTAAGTTAGTATACCCTGTTTTCATCGGAGATTCTGAGTACGGAAGCCAGTATAACTTTCAGGTAACTGTAGCACATTGCTGGGGATATCCAGAGCTGTGAGCCACTGTGTTAACTCTCTGCCTCAACGAGAGTGAGCTTTGCTAGAGATTAGACTGCGTGTCAGCTCCCTGCCGTACCACTCTGTCTTCCTCACCAGTCAAAATCCTCAAGGCTCCGCTGGTCCAAACCTTGCCTAGCTGGTAACAATCAGTAAACTCAAGCTTCCGAGTTCTTCGGAGATGTTTCTCTGCAAAGCACAGCCCCTACCACTGTGCATTCACAAAGGATATTAAGTTTGCTGCTCTTTCAAAGAGACAGTACATCACAGCTTATTAACTTAACTGGGTAAACAGACCCTTCCCTTCAAACACAGCACTGCAACGGTTCATAGTAAAAACTAAAACAAATTTATTAACAAAAGGTCATAAGTTAAGTGATACCACATAAAAGGGATAAAGGTCGAAATGGCTACAAGCAAATAAAAGTCAAAACACGTATCTAAATGACTAAAACTTAATCTAGCAAAATAGAGTCTTTGTTCAATATGGTTTCTCTTACCCAGGTCTCCTTTCCAAATTTTACTAGCTAGGATCCATCACAAGATCACATCGCTTAGTTCCTTTGTCTCCTAAGGTGAAGCATAACACACGGGTTCTTTACTCTCTTATAGTTCAGTGAACCTTTGAAACATTCTTTTGAAGGGTGTACCACCAGATAAAGTTCATTAGTTCATGCCAGGCAAGGAGTGATGGGTCTGGAGGATAAGGCTCCATGCTGGTTCCTCTCCCACTGGTGGTTGCTACAATGCAAGTTGATCTGTTCCTGCAATCTCCGATATTCAAATGAATAACCAATTGACTATGATTGCACCTGGATGGAGGCTTCAGCCTTTCCTTTGTCGGGGACATGGTACACAGGTTTTTCCCAATTTGTCTGATTTGAAAACATTTTAGTCCCATATTTCCAGCACAGCTGTGTGGCCCTTTGTGGGTTTTCCATACATACACTATGCAAGAATGTTAACGATCAGTGTGGTGTTAGTTTTCCAATGATACCTTACCCTACATCTGTAAGATATAGATTATGACATTAGTGAGTTGGGGTACACTGAACTGTTCTGCTGAATCTCACTGCTAGAAACTGGGGAGCCTCTTGCCCTCTGACATTGGCGTCTTGTCAGGGTCACAGTAAGTCTGCTGAATTTGATAGCATAATTCCTCTTGATGTTACTGGAATGAGAATAAAACCAACCAAGAGATGTGTTCAACAAGGTGAAAGGATGCCTGCTTTATTCTATTAAAAGGAACATTTTCCCTTGTAATCTTATAGACAGTTGATCTCTTTGCTGTGTGTTCCTTCCAGTGACCGAAGAGGCACATTGTCTACCAAAACACTCCTGGCACGACTGGGGAGGAATGGACGTACTGTCACAGCAACCCTTGCAGCAGAAGCCAAAGAACTTACTAAATCTGTCCGTGCCATTCTGGAAGTAGATTGTGAGTGTGTATATATTCTATCCGCCACCCCCGCACAGCATTTCTCCCTTTCACCTTTTGACTGGCAATTCAGAGTGGAATATTTCAGCAGTTATCAGTTGAACAATAAATCTAATCAGTCATTACCGTAGGCTCATCAGAAGAGAGCACATTTGAGCATAATAGCCACTAGGAAAATCCTCAGTGAAAACTGCTGCAGTAGTTCAGATAGTTGTGGCGTTTACATTTACTATAGAATCATGAGCTGGAAGAGCAGAGAGGGGATGGCATGGATGCCAGTTCTGTGAATTGGTACCACTTAAAGATTTCCCAAAGATGAGAGAGTCATCAGGGGCTGGTTACATGGTTACATTTATGGCTACTTTTTAATCATCAGAGCAGCACAGAGCCCCCGGAGTAGAGGCCAGGGTCTGGCCCAGATTGGGGAGTCAGGAACCTTCTGCAAAGTAATCCCAGCTCTGCTGCTGATTTGCTGTAAGACCTCTGCCTCATTTCCCCCTTTTCTAAAAGGAGACTAATGTCTGCCTTACAAGTTGGTCCTCCCAAGGATTAATTAGTTGTTTGTACAGGACTTTGAAGATCTCAAGTGTGTTACTGGGTAAAATTTTCCAAAGTGCCTCAGGGCCAGATTTAGATACCTAGTGGGATTTTCAAAACCACCTGGGTGCCTATCTCCCATTGATTTCAGTGAGACTTCACTTCAGCTCTCACTGGTAAATCTTTGCACAAAGAAGGTTATGCAGTTGCAGGCACTGATCACAGTAGACCTATTCACCTAAGTAGGGGCTGCAAGTCCAGGGCCTGATAGAAAATTATCAAGTTTCTACTCTGTTAAATTGATTTGGGGAATTTTTAGTGCCGTTTGTGTTACTATATCCACTCTTCTGTTTATTTCACCATTCTGGCTGCTCAGGAGGTACTCAGTATCTCATAGGACTGGGGCATAGATAACTATATCTCCAGAGCAAGAAGCTCGTTGCTGCCTTTAAAATTAGCAGCGTTTTTCCTTTCCTGGTATACTCATAATAATAATTATCTATCTCCTTAGCTTTAGGCAGATATGCCAGAATAGTTTATTACATACATATTCCACTGTTCATTGAGAGAAATAATAATTGATTTCATTTATATGGCTGGGATGTGTTCTCCAATTCATTGAATGTCATGTAATAAATCATAGCTAGCCTTTTACAGAATGCTTGTAATTCCATCCAAAGAAAGTAGGCTACATGAAATCCAATCCCTTATTACAGCCAATATTTAGAATTAAAACTAGGCCATAGAAGAAAGTGACATCACTCATATTCCCTTATGAAAATTAATTAGCTATTTCCTTGAATTATTTCTAACAAATTGTGTGCTGCTCGGGTTATTTTCAGTTTGGAATTTCTGACATCTGTATTAACCTAAAGAGAGAGAGAAATCCTGCTGTCTCTTTTCTCCTAGATAGATCAGCTTTCATTCACAGCATAGCAGTTTAATAAACCAGAAAAATATTTCTTCTGAGGTTTAAACTAGCTACATGTAGACATTTCTGAAAGAGATGTTCTGATCAGTACATCGCATTCTTCAAATGTTTGCTGGGCAAATAAGTGCCATGAAAGCTTCTTACATTAGATGCCTGTAATGAAGTGCAGCAAAGCGAGAGTATTATAGTGGTGATTGCAGCAATTTGGTGCCATGCAGCAAATCATTTAGAGAGCTGCCGTAGTATCTAAGGGATCAAGTTTTTCATTTTAGCTTTGTGCTTCCACCTTCCCTTCTCTTTTGCACACTGCCTTTCCTCCTAGGTGGTTCATGAGCAGGCACTCCACTGCCAAAGAGATCATGAAGGTAGGAAATGCTGGTTTAGTACATGGACATTATTTTAATCCAGTTCAGTAATATCCATCACTCTTCATAAAACACGTGCCAGGGACTTCAGATAATTTGATTGCCCTAGCCTGTGGAAGTCCAGGAGGACAAGCTCAGTTATTCAGAATGAAGTACCGTAGGGGGTTCCAGAAATTTGGGGTTCTCCTTTCACTAGACCTAATCAAAAGCTCACTGAAGTCAGTAGAAAGATTCCCACTGACTTCCATGGGCTTTGGACCAAACTGATGATGATGATGTGCAGCCTAATTTGGGAGCCCTCCAGAAGACGAGCTTTAAGGACTCAAGTACTTAAACCAAACTGTCCCAGTTTTTCCTTCCAAAATATCAAAGTTCCATCAGAATGAGTGTGTGTTCTTTAAGGTCTTTGAATATTGTCTTTCATAATTGATGAAGTGATGAAATGATATAGTGTCGAAGGGAACAAATGCTCTCCAAGCTTCTAAATCTATTAGCAGCCCATCAGAGGAGGATGGGTGTTTTATTTAATATTGACTCTCAGCTGGTGGAAGGGAACCATTAGTGGCAATTGTACCAGGGACTATTTTGGATTGATACTAGATAAAACTCATCCTAAACCTCTAATATGTTTTTATTTATGGAGAGGCATAGACTCAACTATTGTTAAGGCTGAAACTAGTGTTCTCTCATAAGCCACATTTTAATATTCAAACACACCTTTGTTAAAGTACAATCAGTGCACCTGAAATGTCACAGTGGTGAGTTTATCCCAGGATAGAACTTTCCAGGAAAGTTTAAGGCAGATTAGATGAGGAATTTTGGTGTTGTAGAGGTTCCGGAATTGTATAAAACGAGCTGAATTTCTTAACTTTGTAATGCATTACTTTTACGTTATTTACTGTGATGTATTTTTTGCATCTTAATCCCATGTTAATGAAGGGTGGGTTTTTTGTTAGTGTTGCTAGGGAATGAGAATAGACTAGTTGTATTCTTGAGATAAACTTAGCAAGTTTTACAATATTTGTGTATTTCTAGGTTGCCTCTGTAAATCCATTGTTACCTGACATCTCTGTCCAAATGCAAAAGTCTTGCCAGTTTATAACTAGAGATTGTACTAGACTGCATGAGAGTGCAAAACTAAGAGATTATGGTGGTTTATGACAGGATCCCCAGTAGAGAGCATCCAAAGGGCTGTCTATTTTGATCATATATACCTATAGTTGAGGGGATGTGTCAGTGATGATCTAGCTCAGCTAGCTTAACTTTTAAAAATAAAACAAAAATGGCCCTACAGATACATTACAGGATTTTTTGGTTAGCTTTTTCATCCCTTTATGGAACACGTGAAGAATTTTGGTGGGAACAGCCATTACAACAAACATTTATTTTATCTGTCTGCTACCTGCCTTTTAGACTGGTACTAAATAAGTTTCTTTGGCCAGGTTACGTTTCAAACAGCAAGTTACCTCAAGTGCCTATACACAAATGCAAGAAGCCTGGGAAACAAGCAGGGAGAACTGGAAGTCCTGGCACAGTCAAGGAATTATGATGTGACTGGAATAACAGAAACTTGGTGGGATAACTCACATGACTGGAGTACTGTCATGGATGGATATAAACTGTTCAGGAAGGACAGGCAGGCAGAAAAGGTGGGGGAGTTGCATTGTATGTAAGGGAGCAGTCTGACTGCTCAGAGCTCCGGTATGAAACTGCAGAAAAACCTGAGAGTCTCTGGATTAAGGTTAGAAGTGTGAGCAACAAGGATGATGTTGTGGTGGGAGTCTGCTATAGACCACCGGACCAGGGGGATGAGGTGGACGAGGCTTTCTTCCGGCAACTCACGGAAGTTACTAGATCACAGGCCCTGGTTCTCATGGGAGATTTCAATCACTCTGATGTCTGCTGGGAGAGTAATACAGCGGTGCACAGACAATCCAGGAAGTTTTTGGAGAGTGTAGGGGACAATTTCCTGGTGCAAGTGCTGGAGCTAGGGGCACAGCTCTTCTTGACCTGCTGGGCAGGATCCCCTGGGAGAATAACATGAGGGGGAAAGGAGTCCAGGAGAGCTGGCTGTATTTTAAAGAATCCTTATTGAGGTTACAGGGACAAACCATCCTGATGTGTAGAAAGAATAGTAAATATGGCAGGCGACCAGCTTGGCTTAACAGTGAAATCCTTGCTGATCTTAAACACAAAAAAGAAGCTTACAAGAAGTGGAAGATTGGACAAATGACCAGGGAAGAGTACAAAAATATTGCTCAGTCATGCAGGAGTGAAATCAGGAGGGCCAAATCACACCTGGAGTGGCAGCTAGCAAGAGATGTTAAGAGTAACAAGAAGGGATTCTTCAGGTATGTTAGCAACAAGAAGAAAGTCAAGGAAAGTGTGGGCCCCTTACTGAATGAGGAAGGCAACCTAGTGACAGAGGATGTGGAAAAAGCTAACGTACCCAATGCTTTTTTGCCTCTGTCTTCACGAATAAGGTCAGCTCCCAGACTGCTGCACTGGGGAGCACAGCATGGGGAGGAGGTGACCAGCCCTCTGTGGAGAAAGAAGTGGTTCGGGACTATTTAGAAAAGCTGGATGAGCGCAAGTCCATGGGGCTGGATGCGCTGCATCCGAGAGTGCTAAAGGAGTTGGCGGATGTGATTGCAGAGCCGTTGGCCATTTATCTTTGAAAACTCATGGCGATCGGTGGAGGTCCTGGATGACTGGAAAAAGGCTAATGTAGTGCCCATCTTTTAAAAAGGGAAGAAGGAGGATCCTGGGAACTACAGGCCAGTCAGCCTCACCTCAGTCCCTGGAAAAATCATAGAGCAGGTTCTCAAGGAATCAATTCTGAAGCACTTAGAGGAGAGGAAAGTGATCAGGAACAGTCAGCATGGATTCACCAAGGGCAAGTCACGCCTGGCTAATCTAATTGCCTTCTATGACGAGATAACTGGCTCTGTGGATGAGGGGAAAGCAGTGGACGTGTTGTTCCTTGACTTTAGCAAAGCTTTTGACATGGTCTCCCACAGTATTCTTGCCAGCAAGTTAAAGAAGTATGGACTGGATGAATGGACGATAAGGTGGATAGGAAGCTGGCTAGATTGTCGGGCTCAACGGGTAGTGATCAATGGCTCCATGTCTAGTTGGCAGCCGGTATCAAGTGGAGTGCCCCAAGG